TCGCTTCCAATCTACATTCATAGTACTTTTTCGTAATTTAAAATAGCATGAACGTTGATTCTGAATTTTAACTCGTTATTTTTATGATATTCAAATTTTTATTATTTTATAGTGCGATATGAGATGTATTTTACGCGACCAGTCTTTTGAGATTAAATTTTAAATTTTTGTAATGTGGCGTTGCCGGAAAAATGTTCATTTTCTCTAGAAATTATTTTTAAATAATTTTGAAAGCCTCTATTAAAAGATCAGTTAGTAATGCCTCAGAAGATGATGCCATGTTTGAGGAATTTATGATGCTGTGGAAAATTACCAACATTTACAATTAAATTCAGCTATATTAAAGGTTATTTCCACAATTTCATTGCATTTTCTTCCATTAAAGAAAGCAATAAAAAGCTGTGGCAGATAGTTAAAATATGACTTTTAGAGAAACATTTTCTTACTACGATATTGAAATGAAAATTCTCGGTATGTATTTGAGTTAAAAATGAAATCTGATTCAAATATTGGTTTATTTCAATATAATTTGTAACAATTTGTTAATTATTTTTCATTTTTTTTAAGCAAAACATCTTATAAAATTCCTTCATTCAAATTTCAATAATAATAATAATAATATAATATTATGCAACTAATATTATTTATGCATTTCCACTCAAGAGAGATTTGAAGCCCTCAATATGACCAAACTTACTTCCAGCTTGCTTCAAAGTAAATGGTTGGAAACCCCTTTTCAAGTTTAAATATAAGTGAAGAATTATATAAATATCTTCATGGTCATTGAACAAGGTTTCCACAGAAACGGTTGGCCTTTGCCAAAATTAGGCAGAAATTTCCACAATCGTGGTCAATTTCGCAACACGCCTGGATTTAAAAATTATAGATTTGTTGATTTTAAAATGAAAAAGCGAACACATAAAATAATAAATCTTAAAATTTACCTGCATCCCTTCAAGAATTATTTAAATTCATATAAAATTTCATTAAAATAAAATCTTTGAAGGTATATTTATAGATAATATAGATAAAAAATGTTTTAAAATGTTTTCACATTGGTTTTTATTTTTATCAATAATATTTTATTTTTTCAATTACGTCAAAGAGTCAGAAAGCGGCGAGAAAAAATGTAGGGTGCGCGATTAAGGATGCAGTTTGCGACTCGGCGCGCGTATAATTTCGTAGTTTTCTACCGAGAAACGCGGGGCATGAATTATTTGCCTCACACATCGGCCATAAAGAGCAGGGAGTGCCAAATCACCTGAAGACGCAGCGAGCGAGTGTCCGTCGGTGCTCGCGGCGACGGTCAACTGAATACAAATGCAACTGGCATTGTTGGCGTGTGATTTCGTACTTTGAATAAATTGCCATCGGAGTAGAGCTGGTGCGGGTCGCTGCACCTCTCGATTATCGTTATACCGTACTTGTATTTGTGAGTGTGTGTGTGACTGACTATCTGGTCAGCAAATATAAAAGAGTGCTGCTGCTCTTTGGGACCGTGAGAAAAGAAGAAGGCTTTGGGTCCGTGACATTTTCGCTACGTGAGCCAGCGGTACAAATTGAGCGATTGGCGGCATATCAATGAGAAGTGAATGTACACACATGTCGTGCGGCGGGCGCTCCGCGTCGTCGATGGAAAACAGTAGCACAGACCGTGCCCGTTTCGCCTCTGATTGTTTTGAATTTGCGCACAAAGAGCAATATTTCGCGTGAATCATGCTTGCAAAGGCATGTTTTTGGGAATTCCGTTACTTTTATAGGTTGGAGTTAATAAAATATATATTTATCATGAACGTTAATAAACACTTTTTATACGTTTATAGCAATTTTAAACTCGGTATCAAACAAACCTGGTTTCTTGAAGTAATGTCTCTAATTAAGTATTCCTTTTTTTTGTTCAGAACATATTTCAGATTTATTTTTTAATGAACTGTAGGTCAGATTACTGATTATAAAATTTAAATAAATTAATAGAAAAAAATAGAGACAAAAATAATTCCTTTTATTCCAACCAAAAGGTTGCTCTTTTAAATAATTGCATTGTTGCATTGTGTTCAAATTTAATATTAATTCGGTGGTGCAGAATATTTTAAGTTGCTCAAAATCACTCAATAACACGAGAATTTCAAATGAAAGCTTCAATTCTTCCGCAGTGGAAAAAGGAACTTGGCAATAATTCTATCAAATTTGGCTGAATAACGAAATTTATCACAATAATTAAAATTTAAATCTCTATTAGTCTGAAAAATGATGAAATAAACTTGTATTTTGTCTGAATTTGTAAGTTTAAAAGCATTTTTGCAGCTTCCTTTTAGACTTTGAATAACGAGTAGTGAGCAATAGGATGGTGCTTGCATTAAATTTGTTAATTTTAAAATTTGATTGATGAATATCAAACTGTGCTATTATTTGTACATCGAAATAAGGTCGCAGTTTGTGACTGAAACTGCATCGTAGAGCCATTATATCTTAATAATTAAAAACCATATCTCAATAAGTCCCTGTTTTACTTGTTTGCTGAACTAGCATGTTCTTTAATTTATCTATTTAGCTTCCTTTTTAAATAATTTGCCTATAAGTAAAAGTTACAAATACATTATCAACCATTTTTTTTATATTTTATAATATTTATTTATTTATTAAACCCATCTGGGTACAACTTTTGATACATTCATACATAATATATAATTTTCAAGTAATTAAATGCACTATTAATAAATATTCAACCAAATATTATTTAAAAATATTCTTCATTAGCTAATAATTCCAAATTTTTTGTCCGAATTGCTTCATGTTTGAACCAAATTGATTCATAAATAGAGGGACAAGGTACTTCTGTGAGTTTTTATTTAAAAATTCAGATCAAAATTAATATTTTTCAAAAACCTATCCTTCAAAATGCAGAATGTTTAATCAATTTGAACCCCAATTCCTCTCTCTCTTTCTCCTATTTTCAATTAAAACACATAAATACATTTCACGATGCACCCAAGCCGCTCGACTGTCCCATTCTTTCGTCTGGAAAGCAGGAAGCGCCCTATTAGTTTTGCTCCACTGTCTTTTCTCTCCTTTCTCTGCCGGGGCTCCCCTTGCCGTCGCCGCGTTATGCAACCGGGACATCGGGGCCGACCGGCAGTTTGCCTAGCGAGGGGAGGCGGGGGCGCTGCTTCAGCCACTGCACTGATTTCATCAAGTGATCTGATAACGAACCGTCGAGCAGAGCAAGAGAGAGAGAAAGAGCGACGCAACTTCGGCCATAAGACATAAAATTTGCTCTCAGCAGCTTTTTGTTTGCCCCGAGATTTGATGCGAGGCCCACTCCACTTTATTAGCACGCGTTTCGGCTCGGGAGAAATTGGATTTTTGCGCTCAGACAAATAAATTTTTGCTCCGATCTCATCGATTGACGTACGTGTTAACATTTTTTCCATTCATTTTGAGGAAAATGTTTTTTTCCGGTTTTTATTTTAAACTTTTTTAGATAGGAAGCTTTTGTAGATGACGTATAATTAAGAAAGAACAACTTCCGTACGCCAGGAAGTCAACAACCGCAGTGCAGCAGTTGGTGATGAAGTCATTCACTCCTTCCTTGTGTGCGTTTAACCCTTGCTGCATCTCTCTAGTTTTTTCCCCAACGCACACTCACAGAAAGAGAGACGCCGACGGAATAGAAAAAAAAGAAATAACCCCCGGAATGAAGAAGAGAACTGGGGGGAAATTATTTTTACGCGCGCCCCGTTAAAAATAAATACGGCGTTTGAAGAGATGCTGCTGGAGAGAGACAAAAAATATAAACGACGCGAAGAGGGCCTCACCTCAAGAAAGATTTAATTTGAGACTTGTGAAATCCTCCAGATTTTCTTGTCATAAAAAAATTAAAGAAATCGGATAAATGCTGCTAGAGAGGGATCATTCTTTTATAGAATGTGGAAAATTTAAAGTAATTAAAAAGCATAATACACTTGTCGATTTTTTTTATTGTCTGTAAAGAATTTCTCAACTAAGAATGAAGAGATATTTTATTTTAAATCTAACAATAATTTATGTTTTTCTGATTCACAATAACACAACAAAAAATTAATGATTAATTCACCAAAAGAAGAAGACTAACACTTCATTTTCGCACTTCCCGCCACATAAACGAATTCATCTGTATTAATTAATATTAGAAATTTGAGAGGCTATTACAAATTATTTCAATTTACGTCTTGCACATGTCTTGTTCAAATTTTATGCAAACTTTAATTAAATTTTTTTCCAAGTTTAAATGTAGATTATTTTCTTTTCTGTAAATAATTACCAATTACCATTTGTAAAAATTATGCATGATTATTATTTTTATGGTAATTCCAAGAATACTTAATATCTTTTTTTTCTATTATAGCAGGATTATAGTTTGATATTCTTAATTTTAAAAAAAAAAATGTTGGAATCACCATCAAACTCTTATTTTTCTTCTTCTAAATTTTAAATAACTTTTATTGTATCAAAATTTTCCAAATTTTTCTAGAAACATCTGCAAAATTGCAAATTGTTTTAGGATTTTGTTTGCCCTCGGCAGCGGTCAATAAGTCTCGCGCGAGTCGCAGTGTGTGTATGATCGCGCGGAACGAGTGACCTCGCGTGTATATTTATAAAGTGGTCCATGCACAACATAGTGATGCTGGATTCTTACTAGAGGCGCGCGTGTGATCGGGCGGGCGAGGAGCTTGGCGGCGGGCGGTCGGTCGGACTCAGTCGTCAGCGAGGCGAGCCCGCGTGTCCAGCTCTCGGCGCCCGTTCTGGCCGCCCAAACCAATTTTCGCACTGCCCGCAATGGATTCGCGGTGAACAGCAGCAGCATGGTAAGCACGTGTCTTGTTTTGGGTGTCGTCGTCGGTGGGTCGGTCGGCCCGAGCGAAAGGTCCCCGCCTCCTCGGCGCTCCACCCCCGCTCGTGCGCCGCCGTGCTATGCAACCGCCTCGGCAGGGCACCAACTGACCTTCCTTTTGCCAGTCCGTGTCGGCACCTCTGCACACCAACACACAAACACACACACTTTCCTTCCTCGCGCGCCATGTTCATTCCGGACAGTCTCCGCAGCTGCATGGTGGAGCCTGACGTCTCGACATATCTCCAGGCGCCCTCCTCGGGACAGGTTTTGCCCAAAATTTTCAATCTGCAATTCTCGCGATTTTTCACTCCAATTTTTACTCCCCTAAGTCCGATATCTAGATTTGCAAATTCTAGACTTCCTTTTTTTTACAACAATTTATTAATTAAGTCTGACATTTTTGTGCTCTTTGTCGATTTAGTCGTTTTAAAATTTAAAATATTGGCCACAAAAATTGCAAGATTACCGTTTTAGAGAATGTTTGCCATCATAAACGCATTCAAAATTTCCGATTTTTCTGCTAAATTCAGTTTGTTTTCTGCAGATGTTTCGTTCAGTGAATACTGTTTGTAACGCTGAAATTAAAAACGATTTGAAAATATTTTAATCGCTATGAATTTGCAAAAAAAATCTAGTTATTTTCATTATTTTTACTCTAATTTTAATCTACAAATTTTATCACACTTTATAGCAAACTGAGCATATTTTAAATATATGATCAAAATATTATTTATATTCAGCTGAAATTTACAATAATTTTGCTAACGATTTGTTGATTTTAAACACGTCTTAGATTGACTAGAATTTGCAAAACAGATATCCTTCTCCTGCCTCTGCTTATAAAAATAATGCGTGGACCACGTGTTCCCGTCGTTAATTCTTTTCCACATATGCTCGCCGCTTTTTATTTATTAGGCACGCATGCCATTCAGAAAGTTCTTTCGGTGCACCCCCGTCGGGACTTTGAACCTTTCTTTATTATTTCCGATGTCGCGCGACTTGGGGTTGTTGTCCTTTTTATAGAGTCGTTAAAAACTAAGATAATTTACGTTTGTATCTCGGTTCTTATAATCCTATATTGAAACTTCAGATGATAGTTCAAGAGGTTCTTTGCCAATCAAGTTTTTTGTTGAAAAATATTTTAAACTAAACTCACATGAATACGCAGCTTTTTCATTTTCTCCTCTTCTATTAAATGGAGAGCATTTTGAAATAAATATTTTAAGATGTAATAATATGATTGATGAGAATCAAGTAGTCTTCAATTTGATAATTCTTTATAGATTGACAAAAATTAGTTGTTTTAAGCAACAATTAAGAAATGAAAAAAAATTAGCTTTATTGAGAATTTGAGTGCTTTTTCAGAGCATTTAATTTATTACTCATTTTATTTGCAAACTTCCACCAAAATATTCTAAGGCTTGATTGGCAGAAAAACCCTACCTGTAGTTCCATTTTCAATTATAATTGATTCCGAAATAAGTAATTTTGAAATTTGAAAAAACCCGCACGCTTCCTTTCTGTCTTGAAAAAGTTAATTAAAAAGCATCCTCTATTTCGACCTCTTTCTCTCGTTGTTGTTGTTCAGGAGGTGAAAATCTAGTGGTGTGGCGAGTGGGTTTGATTGCGAAACACTCGAAAAGTTGATGATAAACTCTAAAGTGTGGCTTGCTTGTCTTGTGCGGTAGAGAGCGTTTGAAAGAGTCGTTTTTGGCGCAGACATGTTCGCCTCGATGCACCCCCGAGTTAACATGCTCACCCCTCCTGCACACCAGTGCCACAAGCAGGTGACCTACGAGGTGAGACAAACGATTCCAAATTCTATAATTTATTTCATCTCAAAAAGGATCTCATTTGTACATAAACTGCGAATCCACTGTCATATAGTTGACGCTTATTGTAAATATTTTTGAATTTTCAAACGGGGACGCAAATTTTTGTAGCTTTTACTGGTGATTGCCTATTTCTACTCTCATGGTCGGTTTGCTTTATACAGATTTTGTACGAGTCATTGTTTTCCGGTGTAAATTTTGACCAATTTTTCATTAATTGGATTAAATTATATTCAAGTAAAATTTTCCAGATATTGAGGATTGCACACAATTAATATGAGAAACGATGAATTAGTTGTAAATTTAGTTTGTATGGGTGCCACAGCCTAACTCATGACCATGTATCATGTTTACAATTTAATTAAATAAAAACTTTAAATAATTAAATAAACAAGAGAGCAAAAAAACACATTCTTTACATTTTTCTGCTCAGTTTTTGGAAAACAGTTATAAATTGAAATTTACACGGTAGCTAGTCAATGATTATTAACTATTGTTACTTAAAGAAAAATTTTGAAATTTAAAAATTTCAAATTTTGTTTAGTAGTTTTGGAAAATTCATTAGACTGGCAAAACAAAATAATTTTTGAAGAAAAATTAACGCTTTACGCAGTTCCTGAAATCCTGAAAACTCACGCAACCAAAAAATGAAAAACACGTAATAATATGGCCTTCCAGCAGACATAATTATCCATCATTTCAGCCGTAGATATAATTTGAGGATTAATTTATATAATTTTTTTTACACAACGGATAATTATTATATTATAATAATTGAAATCAGTTTTATCTTCTACAATTAACTTAAACATGTGTCTTAAATGATTTCAATTTAAATTTTAAATGGCGTTTTTCTGTTGGTCTGGTTGCAGAAAACTGCGCAAAAAGTCTATTATGACCAATTTTCAGTTCATTTAATGCATGGTGAGGTCAATTCTTTCCTTGCCAGCCAATACAAATTTAGTCAAAATTGGCTAGAATAGAATCCTTAATACCAAAATAAAAAATTGGAAAATATAAAGAGAGATTTTGATGATTTAATCGCTTTGAGCTGCAAGGATTTGAAAAATCTGCCTCGTCTTCCGCCCTCGTAGCAGATGACTTTGCATAATTCGCAGAAACGCCGCGAATAAATCTCTCCCTCTGGCGGAGGGGCCGAAAGAAGACAATCAAAAAACCCTCTGGCCGGGAATTTTTCGTCAGCCTCCCCGCTGCTTCCTCTCTCGTAAATAATTTTCCTCGTGAAAAGTTGCTTGCTCTCTTCGGATGTTGAGAGATGCAGCTCTCGTCGTGTGCGCTTCGCTCGCTCGCCGACCGCGCACACCGCCGCGGCTTACGGGCTAATTATAGCCGAGCGAGCTCTTACGGAGGTGTCTGTCTGTCGGCTGCTTTATTTAGCCCATTCGGCGCGCGCGCGCGTCCCAAAATTCAGAGAAGCGTCAGACGTATTAGAAAACGGTGTGTTGCGACTAACCTGAAAACTCTCCAAAACGTGCGGAATTTCTGTTTCGCGAAACGATCCGAAGTAGAAGAAATAATTAAAACAAAAAACGAATGTAGGGCTGCAGCAGAGAAATTTTAAACCATTTTTTGTTTTGTTATAACAAAATTATTATCAAATTCCACAGAAAAGCAGATTTTTATTGCAAAACTTTTAGGGGATCTGTCTAGAATTGTAAAATATTAAACATAAAATTTACACAGAAAAAGCGACCTTTGTTGCAATAGTATAATTTTGTTTATTATCAGTTTTAATTTGAGGTACAAATTGCGATTAATGTTGTTCCCCAGGCAAACTCTGCCCTTAAATCATGATGCTTCATACAAATATTCAAAAATTTATTAATCTAACTACTAAATATTTGAGAGAACAAATGAACTCAAGAAATTGATGACAATAGATTTCCATTACGAAATTATATTTGCACATTCTTGCTGAAATTATTCCATGCTGTTTGTGGTCAAATATTTGTACAATCATTATTATCTTTAACAAATTTTAAGAGATTTTTAAAAATTAATTGACCAGAATAACTTGCAAAAACGTCCTTTTAAAATTAATTAATTAACAAAAAAATAGCTCATTACTAAAATATTAAATTATTCTGGAAAATTAATAAATTTATTTTTTATCTAATACAACAATTAAAATATTAATATAATCAAAACTAGAACTTCCATGAATTGAAATTTAATGGGGAGTAAATTAATAATTTTCTTGATCTTGGTCTAAATTTAAAGGTTTCTAATTAGAAGAATCACATAATCGTCTTTATTTTTACACATTCTTCTAGTCTGACAATGTTTTTAGATGAATATTGCACATTTGTATGCAGAAATAAAAATATTTAATCCAATCAAGTCTTTACAATAATAGTGATTACAATTTTCAATTTTATTCCAATAATTGTAAAAAATTGCTTCTATTGTTGTAAAAACTTGATTGCCTACCTTTGTAATTAACTCAAAAATTATCAAATTGAAAGAAATAATGATGATAAAAATATATTCTTAAACAAATTAAGAATAATTTTTCACGCTGTATTTAACTTCAACATAATACTTTTATTCAAGCAAGAAATTGCAAACCTCCATCTTATAAGTATATTTTTCCATTCTGGTATAAATTCATGTACAAATATTATGGCACAGAGCGGAGAGATATGTTAAAGATCGCAAAGTGATATTCAAAGCTCTCTGTGCACGCGGCTCTCTCAAAAGTCGAAGATCGATTGCTTTTCGCCAAAGCAGCAAGAATGATAACAGAGCAAAGAAGACGCTCGCTCGCTTGCTTTGTTTGCTGCGATTTCGTATATATTTCTATTTTTTCTTCATCTTGTTTTGTTTACGGAAAAGCAGCGACTGCTTAATGACAAGAGTTTGGTCGCGAGCCAATCCAATAGACTATATAAGAGACTATACGTGGTAAATTTCCGTGCAGGAATATATATATTTTTATAATGAACGGCCGCGCGCACTCAGAAGCATCAGAAGCAGCGAGAAATAAAGAGAGATTATTTGTTTTTCGCAGCGGCGGCCGCTCTGATTTTTTTCGTCTTGTCGTCGTCGCCGTGTGAATTATTGTTTCTCCGTGCATTCGGCGGCGCTAATGTTTTTCCAGCATTTGCATTTTTATGGCTCCATCATCTCTTTCGCTGCGCTTATCGCGCTCCACTTAATGAAACGTGCAAACCTCCCGCAAATCGCTTCCGCGCGCAACCCCCCGAAAAAAGCCAAACGCAGCCAGTCGGTCGTTCAGACAAACACACACACACCTATAGAGCTTTTACGGTGAAAATTTTGTTTGCCAACCTCGGATTTCCTCAAATTTAAAATATATTTAAAACCAAAATGTATCTGAAAAAAAAAATAGAATCTCTTGATTTGGTTTATAATTCTCCTCTTCATTAAATTTAACTTTGAGTCGAGAAGATATTGTCTACTTTTTTTATGAATCAGTATTTACAGGAATCTTTGTAATAACAGATTTAAATAAGTATCTCTATAAAACGAGCTGAATTGATCTAAAATTTACAAAATTAATTTTATTAAACTAGGATTTCTCAAGGTTTTCTTTCTTTGACACTTTTGCTCAAAATAAGAGAAATAACAAATAGTTAAAACAGATATAATTTCAATTTTGCCAGGATTTATATTTTAAATTGTATCTATATCTGATTCTGGTTTTAGAATTTAGATTTAAAAGTGATTTAATGACAAGTTAATTATAACTTATTTAAATTATCAAATAAATTCATTGACTGCAACTCTTACCTCAGACGTAAAAAAATAATTGAAATTTTTATTTTGACAAACGTTGCTTCCCTATTTTTAATTGAGAGACATTGGTTGAATTTTGAATTCAAATCTTAATTATTTGATTATATAAGAAGTCTAAGAACTCTGTAAGATCGACATAGTCAAAACTTATCTTCAAACAATTGAAACGAAAATTTTGCGATTATTGCATCACATTGGCTAAATCTGCCTTGTCCGTAATTTGCATATTATGCAACTGACTTTTGATTTTCTCCTCTGGTGACACAGTTAGACCTGTTAAAAATTCAAAAGATTTATTTAAGAATGTTTTAAAATAATGTACAATGGAAAATATTATTTTTAAATGATTTTATTTAATATTAATTAAAGTTTATTTTTTGCAGTAAAAAATAATTTAAAATTTGGTTGAATGAAAATTAAATTAAGATATTATTTACCAGCCGCTTGTGGATCAATCTTGGCGTACCGACGCAAAGGCTCTAATACTCCCATAGTCACCAACTCGCTACGCAAGTGTTTGACCCGATCGTACAAACATCCGACAGATTCAAGTTGGTCTCGTCCCTGTACAGGCGGTTCAAACCAGGTGTACTAAATATTGTATAATGATAAAACGGAGTGAAAAAAATTATCATTTTTACCGCTTTCTCGGTTGGAAATAAAGCAAGAATCTGATTTCGCACCTCGAGGTAGACTTCAAATGTCACTTTACTAAAAAATGGAAAATTTAATATTATTTCAATGATTTAATCGAGAAATATTGATTCCTTACTTGCCATAGTGCTCAAGAATGCACTTAGAGAGCTGATTTGTCAGCACCTTTCTGTAGGGTCAGAGAGCGAAAATTCTCTTGCATACACATTCATAATGCCTCTACAGTAAATGTCATCCTCAAAGACTTCAGCCACATTCTAATCAAAATGAGCGTTGTTATTTGTTCGTTTCAAATGTTCCAAAAATTTTTATAATTTTAAAAAAAGATAAAAAATAAACATTTTCTTTTTCTACATTTTCAAAACAATTTAAAAAAGTTTTTGACCTTATTTTATACACTTACAAATGTGAGGTTAAACTTGCTCTTCTTTGCTAGCGGTTCACCCTGCTGAGAGGTTCCAGAATGGTTAGCGAAACACTCAGGTTCAATCAGCGAAGGCCTCTTTTGGGGATTTTTCGGGGGGCTGGTCGTCAAATTGGCATTCTAAGGAAAAATTTATAAAAAAAATGCAAAGTGAATTATATAAAAGAGTACAAACCTCTCTGTCCGGTTCTTCATCAGTGGTGTCTTCTTTTCTTTGCCATTTTTTTAAAAAATGGATAAACTTCATTTCATCCTCAATTTTTAAGCCAAGGACTTTCATGTGGCTATCATCAAGCAGCTTGAAGCAAATAATATCTATTCCTTGGCCTGAATTGTAAAAGAGTGAAAAAACATTGATACCAATAAAATATAACTAAAAAAGTTAATACTTATGAAAATGTCAGCCAAATGCCCCAGATTCCATTCCTTGAGTAAAGCTAAACTTTCATCGTCTGCCATTTTTTCCTGCATAGAAAATAAAATTTTAGTCCATTTATCCGAAACGTTGCTAACCTAAATTTCTTACAAATTGCCGAACTTATTATTTAAACAAAACAATCAATGGCACATAAATAAATACTAAATTAAAAACTTTACCAAAATGAACACGCCTGCCGCCTGCCTTATCACTACAATAATCTCTGCGTGAATGATGAATGCAATCTATGCATTCATGCGCACTTGCAGGCACTGTGTTATGAACTGTACGCATACAGAATTTGACCGCAAAATACAAGACCTCAAATATCCTAACAATTTGAGTCAAGAAGAATTTTTATTGAACAGTAGCTGGTATTATAGTTGTGCTCAGTTCAAACATTTCTGAAATTTTTAACTGCATTGCTGTTTTGAATTCCTAGCAATTTTATATCAAGATTGGAGCTTCAAAACTTGCTGATTTGATAGAGGATGAAAAGAAGTTTAAAAATGTATTTTTCGTTTTTGAGATAGAAAAAGTACAAATAATTTAACTTTTTCAAACGTCACATTGCAAATTAAGTCTTTTCTCACTTACAATTAGTTTTTTCCTGCTTGTTCTTGTTCATTGCCTTCACGTCATGTTTGTCGACAACAATAAGGGCGCATTCCGAAACAAGAGAGGGTAGTTTTCTCTCTCTTTCTTTTTCATATATTCTTTTTATATCACTGCGTGTCTCTTGAACACACAAACGCAGGGCGCGCGATAAATCTGCCGCTCCATTAGGGCGATGGCCCGCTATTAAATAATAAGAGCTGCAGCTTTTTCCCTCTTCTCTCTCGCGCCGGCAATTCTTTTGTGTCAGGTGACGCGCCCGCCGCAGATCCATCTCTTCCGCAGAGGGATGCTGCTGTGCGTGTCTTTCTCTCTTGTGGCGACGGATGGAAAGCTACCCTCTGAGCGCGCAACAAGTTGCAAGAGCAAACTGATACACTTTACTGTGTATTTACGTGCGACCGGTTTGCCATTTTCAAACTCTTTGGTCAAAATTGTAAATTAAAGGGCTAATTTTCTAAACCAAAATACTTGATTTAAAAAAATTAAACTTCTGTAGTTCCTTAAACTTTGCTAATAAAATTAGAAAAATTTAAATTAATTAACTGACTTTTTTGCTAATTTGTCTGTTTGGATTTTTTTTACAACTTTTTATTTCATCTTCAAGTTAAAGAAAAGAGTTTTTATTGATAAAAATTTTAACTTTTGCACTGCAAGTGAAGAACATTCTTGGAAATTCAGTTATTTTCTTTTTTCTATAATGATAGAAAAATTGAGGCGTATAAGTTCCAAATTCTATAAAACCAAACAAATTTCTTTGAAACTGATCGTATCCTTGTTGAAAATATGAGGAAGAAAAACAAACAGTTTTAATTCTAAATAACATATAGTTTACTTAATTATTATTCCCCTCTCAAATTTTCAATTAGTTAAAACAAACTTAATGTAATTAATGCCCCAAATATTGTAAAAATATTTTATTTTCCAATAATTGTGACATTTGTTAATATTTTTGTCAATTAACCGAACAAAAATCTGTTGTAAGCCTTATGTGTCATATTCGGAAAAAATATTACGGACAATAGGGTGTGTGTAAATAAATCAGAGGGTGTGTTTTAACCTCTGTTTATCTGCGTGCGAATACAATATGGGGAAGGCGAACAACAATTCGAAATCTGCTTTCGGGCCCCGATCTGCAATGCGGCTCGCATCACCGCGCGCTCGTTCAAAAGAGAGAGAGAGAGAGAGCGAAAAAGTGCGGCGAAAACAGGGCGAAATATAAAGCAGCCGAGCTCGAAATGCATGTTGGAAATTCATTCCGCGCGCTGCTGGCGAAATACAACTCCGGCCTACGTTATAGGGTGAATGGAAACGATCTAGGCTGCCTGTTTAGTGGTCACGTGAATTCGGGTGTGGGATTTTAATTGATTTCAATCAGTTCTTTAAGTTTTATAAATGAACTTGTGACCAAAATGTTGTTTTATCTCCTATAAACGGGTAAAATTTTTGATATGAAAATTTTCAAGATAATATTTAAGAACAATATTTTTTTTTTAAAGAAAAAATAAATCATATATTTCATGTACAAAAAAAATCACTTTTTTGTAGTAGGTTAATTAAAATTAAGAATTACTTTGTATTTTATTATTAGATTTATATTTAAAGTTAAAAATTATTTCCAGATACTTGAAACAATTAATCGTTATTATATAACTTTTGAGTCCCAGAAAAAATTAGTTATATTAATTTTTTAAACTTAGATTAAATATAATCGGAGAATTGTTTAATAAAAAACTTTTCTTTTAGTTTTTAGTTCTCTCAATTCCATATTTAAATTTGAAATCAAAATCCACCACTCGCCAATTCAACGATTTCAACACCAAAAGCCGGTGCGCGAGCAAGCGAGGGAGAATTTATCGCCCGAAAAATGGGCGTGGCCGTTCGAAATAAATCGGCAGTCTCTAAAATTTTATTATTTACGCGTTGGTGGATGAGCCGGCGTAAAACGGGACGAGTCGGTTTTTAATCGGTAAGATGGGGCGCCGATTTTTGGCGGGCGGCGAGTCTGTTAACGGCAGTTTGGCCCGTGATGAATGGCCCTTTTGAGGGTTGCTGGAGCAGCGCGCTCGCATGCGCTGGGGGGACAAAACGCAAGCAAAGCAGATCACAGATGGGTGGAGATGGACCCTGCGCTGGACATTAGAAGGGAGGAGGCCGCACGCGAGATATGTTCCATTCAAAATAACACGCCGACCAGCAAAAGACTGCCGGATAAACAAAGATAAATGACCACCTTGGACCAGATTTAATTTCGCCCTGCTCTCCCGCCCCGCAGTCCGCCTCTTGCGTTTCAAGTGATTTTCCAAAAGTGCTTTTATCTAAAAATAAATAATATGTTCTAATAAAAATGTTGTTTCTATTGCTTTTAATAACAACAGAAATATAATCTTCCTCTTAAATTAAGTGAAATACAAATAAAAAATACCTTTAAAAGTTGACTCTAATAAAAAAAATGCATACAATTAATTAATTTCATCAAAACTTTTGGTTTGCAAGAAAAAAAAATGATATGCCATAAAAGACTTTTAGATTTTTATGTAAAAAAGACCCAATTTAAAAAAAAATAATAATAATTTTTTTCATAGAATGAGGGATTTTCACTTGTTTTTCCTGAAACTTTTGAACGTATATGATCAAAACATAATTAAAACTATTGAATTGAATGAAGTTTTTACTTCTATCATATAACAAAAGACTATTTTTTTTGCAAAATTTTTCTCCATTATTTTATATTGCAGAATCTGCAATAAAACGATAATTAAATAACTTTTCCTCTCAATTTTTAACCCTATGTGTTCATCAAAAGACAAGTTGGCGGTGTACGCCCTTTTGCTTGTTTGCGCTTGTTTCGAAAACTCCTCATAAAAATGTTTGGTTGTAAATCTAGAAAATAAACTACAAGCCCCGTCGGTGGCGCGCTCATAAAAATTAGGAGCCCAGAGAGTGGTCCAAAATTAGAAGGCGCACTACAAGCCGCCGCCACCGCACACAAAGTTTGTTCACCTGCAAGTAAATCACTTTACAGAGATTTCCTGTTTTCAATTTCGGCATTTTTTTTTTCTTTTATCAAAGGAATTAAGGGGGAAGTGCGTCGGCTGCTTTTTATTTTTCTTTCTCGTTCTCTTGTTGACAGGTATTGCCGAAAGCGGCGATAATTTTTCATCCTTAATTTCACTCCGCGTTCGCCAGTGAGAGAAAGAGGAGATGAGAGTAGTATGCGGCACGAAATTATACACAGAGGGGGAGGAGAGGGACAATAAAAATTATAAATCACTCCCCTCGTGCTAATTCTCTTAAAGAGCAGCGCCCCAGCATTTCATATACACACGGTTGCATTTGGGGACGTAAAACGCGCACTGCACATTCCCTGGCCGATTGTTAATGAGAGGAGGGGTGCTAAAGTGTGGGTTTGCAATAGAGGTGCATCTCGTTTCATAAAGTACTACCTTTACAACTTAAGCCAAATTAAATAATAAAAAAACCTTAAACGGAAAAATTTATTAATCATAAAAAATTACATTTAAATTTTATAATGAAATAAATATAGTTATTGGGAATAACATTGGAAAAGTTCTGTAAATTATAATCTCATTACGAATTGGTTACAAAATTCTAAGAAAGAAGAAACTTCCTTCTTGATGGAGATTGCAAAATGAAAATAAATTTCCAGAAAACATTAATTTAGTTCCAAATTTTCAGGTTCATAATATACCAAAACTAATTGCCAATTAATTTCTAATTTCTTTCTTCTTCGTTAGCTTCAAAATTAACAAAAAGCCTAATTCTGAAACTCAAAATTGATGTTTATACATTTTGAACTAATTCTAGTAAGAGAAGTTGCTCAAAAAATTTTTGCACTTAAATATTCGAATTCATTACAGAAAATTATTGCGCATTTTCTGACTTTTTCTGTGCTCTTTTTAAAGTTTCAAAAAGATCGCCAACAATAAGATCTATATTTTCTATTTATAAAATCTATTTCCGTTTGTTTTTCCAATCTTAACATGGGTTGCAAAAATATAAAGAAAGTTAAATACTCATTAGCATTGTCAAACCAAGTCTTTACCATCAATATTGGTTAAAATTACCTATAAATTGTTCTTATTGTTGACTTCAATTTGCGCTGCCAACAAGGAGTCCATAATTTTTAAAATACTCATTTGCAATTGATCTGACCATGTTGGGATTATTTCTTAAACTAATTTAATTGATCGATTTGTTTTAAATATATTTATTTTTTTAATCCTTGAATGTTTTCAACATTTATTTTCTTTTCGTAATATACTTAAAAATTCAGAATGTCAAAGTTTTGCGTCTCATGTAATAATTGCGGACGAGGCAATTAAGCGGGCAGCAAATGGCACACATGCGCGATCCGAAAGGACGCTTGCCAAATATTCGACGGCAAAAACAGACTTTTTGTGTCCAACTTGTGTCCGAGTATATTATATAAAAATACGCGCACACATATTTATAATAAGAAGTGGTTTTTAATGTCGGGCAGGCGGCGTATTACGGCAACGTGCATGCAGCGAGCACGTTGGAGTGTCTCGCGTATATTTATATCTGGGCCGCCGAGCTTTTCCACTGTCCTTTTAGCTGCGGCTATTTCGAGAGGCGCGACAGCTGCTGCTGCGACTCGGATGGAGCACTTTCTGCTTCTTGATCTTCTCTGCCTTGTCCAATATAATTCACCGCTCAAAGCAAACACACACACACACCATAATATTACACACACACTCCTGCTGCCATTTTATAACGTGTGAAATATAATATCACCGTCGGCCACATTATTAAACTTGCGTCTTTTTCTCTCGGAACGTTTTTTGGTCAAACTACTGCTGCTGGAAATGCCCCCTGTGTGTTTTCGGCCGGTTTATTTATGTCTGCGGCACTGCTTAAAGCGAGCCACTACCGGGGGCTGACCATATATATTTTTTGTGTCCACTCGCAGACAAGCGGGATGAAATCTTGATATGCAGCTGACCCATTTGCGTGTCCGACCGAGATGACGCGAACAAGCGTTTTAGTGCAAACAGGTGCTCCAATATGTTAATTCGCATATTTGACTGACAGACGAAATTATTTTTATATTTTATAATTTAGAAATTTAAAACATCTGCATATTTTGAGCACATTCTCTAGAGCAAAAAAAAATTAATAAATATGTTAAATTGTGGATATATCGAGAGCATTATTTGGATTATCATCTATTATTTATTTTTATTATTTATTAGAAAATTTTAAAAGAAGTACAAGCAAAGGTCTTAAAGCTAAAGCTAGAATTATTAAAATAATATATTATTAAGAAAAAGTATTTTACTTTTATTGAGATTAAAATTTGCAATTATCTTCACTTAGAATATAAATATATTAAATTAATTAAACTCGCTGAAAAATAAACTAAAAGTGCCGGTAAAATTCTTCTTGAATGTTTATTTTCAATTAAAATTCATCATTGGAAATCCGTTTGCGGTAATTTAATTGACCAACCAATTGAAATCTGAGAAATTGCGGCAAAAAAATTTGTTGTTACAAAATTGAGATGACAGGAAAACTTGAAAAGTGATGTGACAAATGAAGCGCGTGGTTGATGTGCTACAATCTGCGTTTCTTCTATTTCGAGATGCTGAATATATATCGCTGTCAAGGAGTTCTCTAATGCAAATGGGCTGTAAATCTCATTTTTGAACCAAATTTATCATTTTGATTTTTTTGTAGATCAAAGGATAAAAACAAGAAAAGAGCAACCTCATTTATAAATTTTATCTAGTGATAAAGAAGTAACTTATTATTTGAATACAAGTAATTTCTCAGGAAAGGGTGTGTAAAAATTTAGAAAAACAATGGCTTTTTAAACTCCATGTACGATTTTTCATTTCTGCTGAAAAGGAGAAACGAATCAATCTCATAATTTTTTTTCGTGAATTGAAAGAAATAATTTATATTTACATTTTCACTAAAAAATGTTAAAGCGCTGATTTTTTTAAACAATTTTCTACAATTAATTATGAAATTAATATTGCTCTCGCCTGACTAAACAAATTAGGCAATAATGGTAACGAAATGAAATTTCTGTTGGCACTGGAAAATGTTTACGTTTATCGGATGCTGGCCGAGGGGTACCTTTGCCCGTCGCTCTCTGCTCAGCGTCCAACTCAGTCAGCTATTCGGGTCGGTTTGTTTGCTTTTGCCGCTGCACTTGCCCCTAGTCTGACTGGCACTAAAACTGCGTTGCCCAAGGTCAGGGTCATCGAACGAACGAAAATTTGGCACAAACCGATTCCAAAAAGCATCAGCTGTGTGTGTGTGAGTTTTAAAAAGCTGGCTGGCTCGCGTTTTTGCAGCACTTGGACTTGTGACTTGGCTGCTGGCTCCTGATGCTCTTGGCTGCGGATGGATTCTGACCCTTCGCCATGCCAAATGGCACCGGCACAAACGAATCTTGGCTCTTTTTTGAATGAATGAACGGATGAGAGAAAAATTCCTCGCGCTTCCTCTCGCGTGCGCGCGTAGATCTGTTATTTGAACTTGGGCCGATTTGCACCCTCTCTTGGCTGTTGTGACTGCGAAGAAGGACCGGCTTTTGCTGCCAGACGCTTGGGCACTCGCTCGCCTCCTTATCGCCAACTCGCTTTCGAATTGGCCAAGACCTCGCTCGGGACTGCTGTTCAAACTGACGAGGGCGCTCGGACTCGCTAAACACGCCCAAGACTTTTCAAAGAGCTTAAAAATTTGGCAACGGTGGTTGCTTATAAGTTACTAAAGCTGACAATGCCCCCAAAATTATTATTGCCGCTTTTCATTTGTCCCCTTGTTAAAGACTTTCTATTTAAAAGGTTATTTTTCAGTTTAAATTTTAACAGTAAAATATTTAAATCCATTTAAAATTATTTAATATGTCGTTGTTTATTTCTCCAATCATTACATTAAATTTTTAATATTGATGAATATTCATTTGTTAGGAGGAAAACATTGAATTGCTGAGCAAAACAGCAAGAATTTACCTTCCAAGATAAAAATCCCGATTCGCCGAAGTGAGCCAAAATCAAAATTGAGGTTAATTTGGAAGAAAACTTTAATTTTCCAGTGAGTTTTTTAATGAATTGTAAATTTGGTGTAAAATTATAATTCAAAGTGATTTCTGAAAGCTGATGAAAAATTCAAATTCCTCAGTTGGCAGATTGCGATAATATATTTTCACTTAAAAATATCAGTTATTTTTATATAAAAATTTTCAAAACGTAGCGCTCTGAAGTTTTTCAATAGCACAAAACAAGCTTCCACTCAGAAACATCCCTATATTTTACTCAAAATAAAAAAACTATTGATAAACATAAATGGAATTGATTTGCTGAGGGCTCTAAATTTAAAAATAATTTTTTAAAAAGTTTTTTTGATAATTATTTTTTTTTTTAATAATTTTTGTGGCTCAAAAGAAAGAATTCTTCCATTGCAAAACTAACTCTTTAAATTTGTTAGTAATTTGCTATCAGGTTTCTTCAACAATTTGGCAACCTAACCAAGAATTTAAAAATTATATAAACAATGACAAGCGTCTCCCTTACAAAAATTTGTAAGAAAACCGTCTGGGTGTTTATTGTACGAGGCCTGTGATCGCCATCTGGCTCCTCCTTGCTCCTGTCTTCAGCAGAAAGCGCGGCTGCGGGCGCCAGAAGCAAAAGCGGCTCTTGGCCGCTGCCAACAGACAGAGGGCCCTCGTCCAACCAGGACAATGGATAATGCAGCCAAAAACAAGAAAAATCTGCCCCTGCCTTCGATGCCAGTCAATGAATCAGCTGGCTCACTCACAAACACTCACACTCGCCCGCGGCCACTTGTATGTGAATTAACTAACCCTTTTGGCACTGGGCTGCGGGATTTTGGCCCTCGAGGTGTCCAAAACTAACCAGCCTCAAGCCAAAACGGAACTCGCTCTCGTTCAAGAGCATTCCACACCCCCGCAGTCACTCTCGGTTTTAAATAATTCGCACTTTCATTACTTCTTTGTCGGGAAAAAATTAATTTGTAAATAAATCTTGTGTAATATTTATTTAAGATTTAGAATTGGTGATTAAATATTTTTTTTTATTTGTGTTGCAGGATGAGTTTCATCCATTCATTGAGGCTCTTCTGCCTTATGTGAAGTCTTTCTCCTACACGTGGTTCAACCTGCAAGCTGCCAAACGCAAATACTTCAAAAAACATGAGAAACGCATGTCACTCGAGGAGGAGAGGAGGTGCAAGGAAGAGTTGCAGGTAAGAATCCATTATTTTATTTTCTTAAATCGATTATTATTTACAAATCAAGCTAGTCAGAAGATATAATAAAAGTCTCCTGATTTAAAAGAATTGGCCCAAAATTTTTAGAACCGTGATTTTTTTTTCATTTTAAGATTCAATGAAAACCAATGGATTCATCTGTGCCTTTTTTACTTATAATTTAACTTTGATTCTCATGGTAATTTAATATAAATTTGCCCATATTTTCCTCATTATTAGTTAAAAATTTTGCTTGATAAATTTAAGGGTCCACGGTCTCCTCTCACGTTACTCTTTTGAAAAAATTATCATTCTTGAAATATCCGAGTGTCCTTAATTTAGATATCGTTGGAATTTTTTGGAATATTTATTTTGGGGTAGAGAAAATCTAATTTACCAAAGTTGTTGGTCCTCTCGTTAGTGTGTGCGGGCATATCAAGCCGCACCCCTATTCGACTTCGCAGCGCGGCAATAAGCGTAATTTGCTGCTTTCGCGAGGAAGGGCGCAAAAAGCGGAGAAGGCCGGTGCTGATAAATCATAAATACCGCAGGCATGATCATTTTGTGTCTGTTTGCAACGAGAGAAGTGCGGCCGGAATATTTATTGCGAGGTTAAGCTTAGCATGACGAGGTCTCTTTTGCCTCACAAATCACACAGCAAGTCATCCAACTCTTTCTTCCGCTGGCTGCTGCTGGGGGTGCTCCTAGTCGAGTGAGTGCGTGCGAATGTGTATAAGCGCAGGGGCTGCTCTTTCTCTCCGCTCTCGCTGCTTTTTTCATAGTTTTCACGCGCCGCGGTTTCTCTCTCTCTCTCTGCCGGCAATAATAAATTTCGTAAACCAAAGCATGTGTGCTGGCGCCGAAAAAGCAGCATGCAAAAATGAGATTGTTCCACAGGGGCAGTGAAAAACGTTCAAATGATTTAAATTGACTCATCATTTTATTTCTGCTGTTAATTGTTTAAAACGTAGAAACGTGTTATTGAAATACTACGCTTGTTAAATGAAATCTTGGTTCAAAAGTTGAGCAAATGCATGCCTGCATGTACAAAAAGCATCTTTGATATTCCCAAACAATGATGAATTATTTGTACTGAAGACTTGTTTTGAATTAGTAATCAAAGCGTTTTATATTAATTTGATTAATTTGTGTTTTTGAGGAGAATGGAATAAATAATTTTAATTATTCATTTTCCACTATCATCAGGCCAAGATTAAGATATGGTTCTATTGATCAAAGAAATTTAATCTGTACCCAGAATTCCAGTCTTATTTTGATTATTAATTTCCAATTAACGTTGGAGCCAAAACACATTAATCATTCATTGCCATTGTATGTCAAAATCAAGAAGGACAATTATGTGCTCTGAACTTACTCCCCGCCGGATTTCTTTATCTGATTGTAAAACTCGTATAAACTGCAAGAGTGGTTTTAGATTTCTGACAGTCACGTTCTCCTAATCTGTGAGTTTCCAATCATGGTTTCTGCTGTTTCTATCATTTTTCCCATTCTTCTCCTTTTCTCCTTAGGTAAGTGCCTTATTTTGCAGAGTCAAATTATTGAATAAATGGAGTAAATCATAGGAGAGGCAGTTACCAGAGGAGGAAGGGCAACCTACGTTGAGTATCAAGTATCAATTCGAGATAGTTCTTATGGGCCGCCTATTTGCGGTGGAGCAATCATCTCAAGTAGATGGGTCATCACCACTGCTCAGTGTGCTGAGAAGTAACGCGGGTTTTTACAATTTTAGTGCCTGCACTAATTGTAAATGAATTAATTTAAAAAGAATTTACACAAGAGATGGTTGGATTGTGGATGGAACTTTGGAAGCCTCTAAACCAGGATCCATTAGAGAAAAAGCTGAGGTTGTTTTCCACCCTGACTATAACAATCCTGTTGGCTACGCTGACATCGCTCTGATCAGGGTGCAGGACGTTTCCTTTTTAAAGAAATTTGAGTCTATTTGATATAATTTTAGGTTTCTAAGGACTTCTTTCTTGATGACAATACCAAACCAGTAACCCTGTCCAGCATACCTATTCTCATAGGAGAAACTGGCAAAGTATCTGGCTGGGGTGCTACTTACGTAAGGTCTAATTTTCCATAGTCAAAATATGCGAAAATGGTTTTATTTTTTATCAGTTCGGTGGACCCAATTCTGACGTGCTCATGTACCTGCATTTGCCTGTCATTGATCACACAAATTGCAGCGTAAATTTGGCTGAAGTAAATTATCAAGTACATAACGACCAATATTGCGCTGGGGAAATTGGAAATGACGCTGCTACTTGCACAGTGGACGCAGGCGGTCCAATGGTTTCAAACAACTATGGCACCCTCATTGGACTGGTTAGTCGTAATTCTTGCACCTACGATGGGCGACCAACTGTCTTCACCAACGTTGGGTACTACAGAGATTGGATCAACTCTGTTACGGGAGTTTGAATAAATACTTTTCTACTCCGGCACTTAATGTATACAAAAATTAAAATCTTAATAATTTTTGGCATCTACATATGTATGTGATAGCTGTTTTCTTTATCTGTAATTTTGGGTGAAAATTTGTCTTAAGAAGAAGTTAAATGACTTATTTCAAAAGTTGTCAATGCGTTTATAGTTAATTAAACAAAATAAAAAAATCTTTTCTGCTCTATATTCTATTTAAGTGTTATCTTATCACGACATAAATAATCTGTTTACTATAGCAATACATCTTTCCAATTGACTAATTAAGTTACTTTTTATCAATAGTTTAAACATGCACATGATGCTTTTCATTTAAGGAGTGGCATGCAGCTCAAACTTGTGACCTATAACTTCTGAGATGAAAGTAAAATATTAAAATCATTCTTACACTTCCCTAATTATTGCCGTTTGAAAAAGGAAAGCGCGTTAGCTGCTGGTCGGGTGCGGTTTTCAGCTTTTGCTTGTGGAGTGTGTGTCTCCTTCATTGGCGCCAGTGCCGGCCGGACCCTTTCCTTCGCGTGAATTTCCCCAAAACTAGAGATAGAGAGAGCTCTCGTCTCAATTTTTGCTTCTATTTCGCCTCCCCTAATGCAAAGAGCGACCACCCCACACTGTGCACGCTTTGTTGTGGGTGGCACTCATACTGCGTGGAGATGTCACCCGCCCAAGATATAATGCCCAGACCGGCTCGTTCGCGCGCGCCAGACGCAAATTGGAGTAAGAGAGAAATAAATAAATAAATATGCGCGCTACAGCAGCAGAAATTTGTATTCAACAGAAATTGCGCTGACTGCGCGCGGGACAAAGAAATTGCTTTTGACGAAAAGAGGACAAGAGTTTATGGGATAATTTTAAATAAAATGTGGTGGAGGATTAAAATTAACACCAAAATTGCCATTACTGGGATACGCAGGTATAAAAAATAAATATTTTGTTTTCAAATCTAATATATTTTTAATTTCATGCAATTCAAATGAAAAAGATATTATAAAAATCTCAATAGAATTTATCCTTTTTAAACGCCTTCCAGCAAACTAGGGCAGCATAGCAAAAATTATATAATTAATTAAAAATGTATAGAAAAATTCATGCCCGAAAAAGTTGCAGTTAGAAATTATTTAATTATTAGGCATTTTAAATCAATTAATTTAAAAAAGAGACAAATTAAATCAATTCAAAAAAGTCAATATTATAATTTAAATTAAAAATGTATTTTTATACAATAATCCCTAATTGAAGTAAAATAACAAAATAATTTTATTTGAATACTAAATTTCGGCGTCTCTAATTGCACATTAATTTGCTTTTTTTAATCTTTCACATGCAGATTTCAGAGGTTTATTCAATTATTAGCAAACTAATTTTTAATGCTTTAGACTTATTCTTACTTCTCTACGAGCCTAATAATTTTTTTCTAGTTAATAAATATTTTTACTGCCTGTAATTTTTAGATGCAAATCCAGTTTTCCAACTCTTTGACGACGCTTGCAGTAAAACTATAAAAGAGCGGATTGATCGTAATGACGATCTCATCTGCAGTTTGCAACCCACACGCATGATTTATTTCATAATCCGAGTCATAAAGCACGCGTAGCTCTCCTGAACGTATGCTACAAGAAAAATAATAAGGTAATGAGACAAGCGAGATAACATCAATAGCGAAATTGCCCTGCGCGAGCATCACAGTAGCTTTTTATTATTTTACTTTTGCAGCTCTCGCAGATCAATGGCCGACGATAAACGGCTTAAAAGGCCCCTCGGGTCCACACCAGAGTTGAAATATTATTATTTTTTTAAAAGAGCGCGCGGTGCCGGGTGAGCCACAAATTATTATTTGCGAAACTGCGCCGCCGCCGCCGTGTTTTTCGGCCGTGTAATTTTTGTGCAGCTGTTTTTTATGTAGGTTTAATAGATTGTCGCCGACTGATATTGGGCTCGTGCAGCGTGTTGTTCTTTGCGAGAGATGACCTTATTTTTATATTTGCCATGTAAATGTCAGACTAATATTCAGCTGATCGCGCCATCGATATTGTAATAAATAGTATGCGGGGCCGCTGTGTAAAAACGTAAAAAAGGCTGTTTGTTTATCTGAACTGCGCGAGTGCTCTTTTTTTCAAATGGCAAAAAACAGAGCGTGGAAATGCAATTCACGTTTGCACGATCATTTTAATTGTGTAATAAATTGTTTAAAAATTACATAAAATTTAAAATAATTAAAATAATTAGTGTAAATTTTAGAAGTGTGTAGCAACCTGATTAATAAAAATATCTAAATTCCTATGCTGAGAAAATTTTAAAACGTGAGACTTTGCATTAGATTTTTATGTATATGAAAAGCGAATAATTCTGCTAACCAATCTTTTGACTTTTCCTCCACACTTGCCATCCTAGTGGGGAAATTTCCAATAAAGCGGATTGGCCCTGCGGCGCTAATTTATTGCGGGAGCAGATTTTCCGATTCCTCTTGAGTCCCGTGCGAAGTGCTTTGCTGTCACTTTTGATGGAGGAGAGAGAGAGATCGCGTACGAGAGCCTCTCTAACTCGCAATAACTCAAAACAAGGACATAAGAAAAATCGTTCCAGATCTGTCATTGCTTTGCGGTATAGAATTTCCGTTTATGTGAAAATTGGGTAAGTCTAAGATTTTCTTGTGTTAAATTAAGATATTATTTAATCTAAATATATATATTTAAAAAAAAAGCATTTGTAACGATTTTTATTTTTTAACATTATTATTTTGTTTACTCTTGCGAGCTGTTTCATTGTTGCGAGGAAACAAAAAGATGCCGTCGTCTCTTTATTGAGAGGGTGGCTCTCCAGCTTTTGGTTTCCGCCTAAGTAAGACCCATGTCGGCGGCACGCGAAATGCAATCTAGCTGCGAGTGCCTAGTGCAATTTATTTTTATGGCCTCGACATGGCGTAGGAAAAAATCAAAGCGCCGCATTGATTTACGCGAAAGAAAGCTCGTGATAAATGCAAAAAGCAGGATGACGACGGTTTATTGCAATAATGGCCTATTTTCCTCACTTAAAGTTGTCTCGGAAAAATTGCACTCGGTGCCGCTTGAATGAACAGCAAAATAAATAAATAAATGCACGGACTCGCGCGCGAGAGATTATACAATTGTTCAAAGCAGATTATTTTGCTCAGCAATAACACGCGCATAAAACATACGGCTTGGCCTAGATCCGGCGCCAAAGCCGAAAATGTTTCATAAATTCGGTGGCACTTCCGCGCCACCAACTTTTGCGAGAAGCATGTGCTCTCTTTTCTTGTTCTCGCCAATGGATGTCTTTATTATGTATTAGGGCCATCATTACTTTTGTTCTTGCTCGTGTGGCGAGCCAGTCTTTATGCAAGAGGGCAAATTATGCTAATTTGCACACAGAAGCGACCTCGGCCCAATGCGGAAAAAGCGCCGATTGTTTTTGTTCTGAAAGGGCACGGCGGCATTTGCGAAAACTCTTGCTCGCTTCATTTAGTCCATAGTCTCAAATGTATAATTATAAATTAAAATATAATTAAACAAAATTATTTATTTGATGAAGAGAGATTAAATTATTTAATTAGAGTTCAGGCTTGGTTGGTGTTTTTTTCAAAAAATAATTTTTAATACTTATTCATTAGCAAATTTCATGACTCATAAGGTATCTAGTAAGTAAGAAATATTCATTATATTATTATTGCAAATTGTGTTTAAATATTTTCATTTGAAAAACCTCTATTAAGCCGTAATTAGCTAATCTTATTCTCCTTACAATAAGTAGCTTCAAAATGAAAATATCTATATTTTATACAGATCAAAATAGAGATTCTCATGGCAAGGGAATCAAACAAAGACATGCTTACCATCAAATGAAACTTAATTCCAATAAGTAAAAATTTTTGAAAACATTCTTAAAACACAGTGAACGCATTAAAAATGAAAAAATCAGGTGATTTTTGAAACATTTAATTATTAGTTTATTTATTTTTTACTTTTAGATTATAATTAATTCAAAATTGGTGTTGATTTGTTTTCAGAACGAGAAGATTGAGGTGAAGCAGAAGTGGGCCTCTCGTCTGCTGGGCAAACTGCGCAAAGACATAACCCAAGAATGCCGAGAAGACTTTGTGCTCAGCATCACAGGCAAAAAGCCCGCCATGTGCGTCCTATCCAACCCCGATCAAAAGGGCAAAATGAGAAGAATCGACTGTCTACGTCAAGCTGACAAGGTGAGTGAACAAAAAGCTTGTATGATTTTTTTATTATTATTTAAATCATCCGTTGTACTGGGACTTCAAGGTCTAGTTATAAGTAAAAAAAAATTATCCAGGTCAGCTGAAATTTAAATCTATTTATACGCAATCTAAAAATCGTTGCCATCGTTTGCATTTTTTTTTTCATGGATTCATATAAATAACAAAAAACTCGCCAGAAAATGTATCAATTTTAAAATTCATATATTTTGCCAAAAAAAAGAATATTTTTTCAATCAGTCCTTCAAAAATCAATATGAATGTGGGTCAAATATCAACATATTCCACCAAAATATATAGTTTCATGTAGTTTATAATTTTTTTTTATATATATATATAATTAGCACCGTCTTTTGACGCCTGACGAATTTTTCATTTCGCTTCGGAGCTGACTTTTCATCGTCTCATTTACGCAGAAAAATGCCATAGAGTGAATTGCATTCGCTGTGTGTAAAGCGAGCGCTTTGATGAGAGAGCAGGGACGGCAAATGTCGCCAACAAAAATTACCCGCAAGAAAAACGAGCGGCGCTTGATGATGATGAGGTGCTGGTATTTGAGCAAAAAAATAAATTGCTCTTGTCACGCTGAACTTTTGCCTGCAAAGGTGACGAACGAATCGCCCCAGACACGGAGTTGTTAAATTTTCCGAGGTCAGTTCTGTCAAAGTTGGAAAAGAAAAATCGAAACTAGCTGCACCTAAGGTTAAAGGGTTAAGGGATTTATCACGAGAGACGTGTTTATTATAAAGCGGATTAATTTATATTGGCGAAAAGCAATAAAAATATCGAAGCTGGCTTTCTTCTAATTTATGGCTTCTTATTGTTGGTTTATTTGTTTTACGCGCGGGGATAAATATAATGCTATCCGCGTGTTGAGTGGAGCGTAAATCAAGCGAGCCAATTGTCAATGAATGAGCTGAGGCCGACCAACGTTGTGTCTCTCGGCAGCGATAATAATTATTAGCTGCAGCCAGAGGTCAGCGTCGTCGAGCAAGGAATTTGAAAAACTAATCAAGTGAGACCGGTATTTTTGAATTATTCCAATCCATTTGCTCGTTGAAAGCTTTAGAAGAAGCGGACAAGATTATTATTGCTGCAGAGGAGAATAATATTCAATATCAGACCGAACCCTAAGCTTTGCCATGCAGCACGCTTATTTTAATCCTTGCCATCGAATAGACAGAATAAGCTTGTAGATTTCATCCACTTCGACAGACGTAAAGTTTTATCATTATTTCTATCATGTTCCTCTCGTCCAAATGAAGTTAATTTTTTTAGCTTTTAAGATATTTAAAACTGGAAAAATGGACCGTGAAAGTTATTATTTTTTATTAACACAGGCTATAATTTAACAAATTTAAACTGTCATACAATTTAATTGCTATAACGACAATGAAAAATTATTAAAAATTAAAAGCAAATTGTTTTTTGCTTAAGGTGGTTTTTCTTGAATATCAAATTTATACTAAAGATATTTGAATATTCTTATTGCTGATCATGATCAAATTTCTTTGTATCTGAAATAATAAATTATGGATTGAACCATTGCCACATTTAAATGATTAGTACTGAAGTATTTGAAGACGGAATCTTTAATCATTGAAAGGTCAATTATTTTGTTTATGTAAAAAAAATACGGCCATTTGTATTAAAACAAGTAAAAGGTGTTAATGATAATTATGAAAATTGAAATTATCCCTTGATTTGCAGCATGGCAGCTCTATCAAAATAGCTGAAATTTGAGCATAGTGGATTTTTTGCTTTATATAGAAAAAAAAATGTTAAAGTACCGATAAAATTGAGAGTGTTTGCAAAGGAATCAATCAGATTTTATTCTATTAGGAATAAGGAATAAATTAAAATAATTATTATTATTTGTATATATCGATAAGTTCATTTAATCTCTTGAATTATATACTTATCAAAAAGACCAAACAATTCATAGACTTAAGATGCCTGCACGCTGAGGGCTTTGCTTAGTAAAAAACTGATTCATTAAAAAAAGGAAAGCAAAGTAACAAAATGAATTTTCGCATCAGCTATTCATCATTTTGATTTTTAAACAAATTGAGGATTAAACTCACTAAACTTGTTTATTGTAAGACGGCGGTTTAAATGGCAGTTATGTTAAAATCTTCTTTTAAACTTTAATTAGTCGACTCTTTTTAAAAAAAATTCCTTGGAAAAAGATCTGCATTAAATTTAAAAATTGATATTAATTTTATAATTCTTATATCATTAGTGGGATCAAACACTTTTCCCTTAAATGAGCTCCATTGTCTTTCGTATCAGTCGAAGTGCACATTTACTTGGTTAGTCTTGCCTATAAGAGCTGTTGTTGTTACTTCTCCTAATCTGAAAGCGCTGCAGCGTGCTTTTGAGAGGAATTCTTGGCAGGCGGAATAATTATTGCGCGAATAGTGGCGGGTTAATAGGCTGAGGAATGCTGTAGGCACGAGCTCCAGACAGCAGGACAGGAGCCGCGGCAATTTATTTATACCCATAAGCGCGGACCTCCTGCTGCCGCGAGTGGTTCTCTCGGTAAAACACAATCCAGGGGATCTGTACGCGCGACTCGCGCACAAATTCATAATAATAACTCATCCTTTCCTTTGATAAGCTGCTTTGCCAGAGTTACAAATAATAATGCACCGCGCTTGTTCCTGGGTAATTATTTTTGCTCCTACTCGCTCGGCCAGCAGCCCATGAACTCTTGAACCTTTTGATCGCGAAACAATGCTAATTGCTAGTGTTTGTTCTTTTAAAATTACATACAAGTTCACACACCAGAAGCTTCAGGTATTGTTATTAATTTAATTTAATTGTAATTTGTAGACATGCAAGAAATGTAAAAGTGACATCCTAGTCTCACATTTTTAATAATTTAAAAAAATTATAATCATTTTGAAAGTCTTACCAAAGCAAGAAAGTATTTCTTCAGACTCATTTTATAAATTTAAGCAATTTAATAAAACATTAAAAAATTATTTCAGAAATTTTAATTTAAAAAATTATATCATAAATTTCATTTTTCCAGGAAAAGTTGTTTTTAGTTCTCATAATCTAAATGAAACAATGTATAAAGATTTGTCAGATTTATGACCGAAATTGAGAAATAAAATCTTTTTTTTCCCATTTACATCATTTTTTTTGTAATTTTGTTCTTGATCAAAATTATCTTCAACAATAGTTATTGTGAAAACATTTTTCTTTTTGTAGATTCAAGAATTAAATACTTTGATGATTAATGTCCAAAATCAACATCAGATTTAAATTTATATATTTTATTTGCATTCTAAAAAATTATTTTAAACTTTTGAATCCTATGTCTGTAAAACTGTGCTTGCTTGAAACTTTTCAAGGATCCGTTTCGTCACTTTTCTAGATGGTATACCAAGGGTAAATAATGCGTCCATAGGCCGAAAGTTCAGCCCGTTTTGCATACAATGAGCTCTAAGCAGCTTATGAGTTATTACCACGTATTAGAGTATATCGGCAAAACTCGAACAAGTTTTGCGCCAAGCGAGATTTGTGCTTCAACGTTAATTATTCAAATGTCATCTTTCTGCTTACACTTATCTCATAATGGAACGAGAAGTGTTTTTCTTAGAGCATGAAAAGTTGCGAAATCATTCGTTTGTGCAACTTTTGACTTGGCAACACGGGATAGACTAACATAATATTTTCGTATTAAAAATTTATTTCGTTTCGCAAGAAATTGTTTCAATCTTTTTTGAAACATTTTTTCACGGTCTTATTAATTTTATTCGTCATATTTGCTTTCAGGTGTGGCGTTTGGATCTCGTTATGGTGATCTTGTTCAAGGCGATCCCTTTGGAGAGCACGGACGGCGAGCGGCTCGAGAAATCGCCCGACTGTGCTCACCCTGGCCTCTGCGTCAACCCTTACCACATAAATGTGTCCGTCCGTGAGTTAGATCTCTACCTGGCCAACTTCATCAACAGTCACGGTGAGAAAAAACGTTTAATTTATTTCATCGGGGATTAATTTAATTTAATATTTTCACTGAAGTAAAAGTTACGGTTTTTTCAAAATTAATTCATTTATTCTGCGTAGATTATTAGCTTTGTCATTTGATCTAGAAAAATTTTGAATTGAATTTTCATTTTTTTACTAAAGATTTTTATTTTTTAAATTTACATTTTGTCCTTTTTTTAACTTTCATTCTCAATTATTTAAATGTTAATTTTTGACACTTTTGCTTTTTACTTCATTCCGGGCGTGAAATTCAAATTGAGACTGACAGGCGGTGCATCTCTCGGAGACTCGATCGGCAAGAGCAAATCGTCCGCCACTTGTTTCGCACACCTTCTCTCCTTTACTTGCCCGACCGACGTGCACCGGCAATTATTCACGGGTAATGTAGCCTTGGTTGGCGCCCACGCAGAAAAATCCTGCCTGTTTGCATCTCTCGCGCGCTCACCAGCATTTCATTATATTGTTCCGCGACGAGAGAAGAGAAGAGGAAAAATAATACGCAAGAACGAAATTGGACGTGAAATGAGCTAATGTGTGTGGCACCTGAAAAATAAAACGACCGCAAATTATAGGCGAGGATATTGTGCTCTTCGCTGCAGAAATGAGGTCCTCCCAGCATTCTTCGCCAGCTGGGCGTTGGAATTTTTCGCGTCTCGCGGGTTATTTATCGTTTGCGAAAGTTCATAGAGTACCTAACAAGGGCGAGGACAAATACTTTTAATCAAAATATACGCAAGAATTATACAAAAATGTCCTAAAATTGCAAAACTCTTTAATAAAAATAAAATTTGAAACTTAATATCTGGTAGATAATACCAAAATTTTAAGGTCACATAATTATTTGATAAATATCTGCACTTTTATTACTATCGAATTTTATTGTTGTACAAATTTCTTTTTAACTGCTTTAAATCTTGATGCTCAGATGATGTTATATTTATTTCATTTAAATGATTTAACTTTTTAACAAAGAATAATCTCAATTAAATTTATTTTTAATAAATTAAAGCCTAATAATGAATAAATTTTTCATTTTAGATTTTTGCACTTGAGACATTCATGGATATTTAAAATGGGCTTTATCTTATCCTCTTTAAAGAATCGTAATTTTTTTTTAATTTCTCTTGCTCTTGGAATAGGAAGCAGAGACAAAAATTAGTATAGCTGTTTTTTTTTTTTTTAACAAATTATGACAGAAAAATCATTGTTGAATTTTTATAGCTATTTGTTATTGGGAAAAATTTTTTAAACATTAAATATTTCCTAGATCAAAGTTTTAAGTTTTCACAGAAAACAATAAAAATGCTGCATTCAGATGTAATCCGATGCTATTCGAATTTTAAAATTATTAATTTTAATGCATTTAATTTGTACCAAGAAAGGACACATTTTTGTCCTCTCGTAAAATACAAGAGATTTTGGGAATTCATCATCAATCTGACATGGTTTGATTGGATTTTCTCTTGAAAATCGCAATAAAGCTGAAGGGCGTCGGAATCCAGAGGGCAAAAAGCGGCAGTCGCCCTTATTTATGGCGCGACCCTCAAAGCATTATTATCATTCGACGACAAGGAGAGAGAGGAAAAAGAGCAGCGAAATAGATGCAACTGCTCCGGATTCGCTTTAGGCTGGGCTCCAAATTTTTGTTTTGGTGTTAAATCTTGCGGACACAAAAAGGGATGGTGACAGTCGCGCGCGCGCCGCGTTTCCCCGAGCCGCAAAAATTTATAATAGCGCGTCCTCTGTGTGGATGGAGTACTCTCGTTTTTCCCACAAATTATTTTTGTCGTTTCTCTCGCGAAAAGAGAGTATATATCGAGGCAGCGCCGTAAATTTCCATTTACACGCCGCTGCAAAAGAAGAAGAAGAAGTCCAACCGACGACCAGCCATCCGACAACCGGTTCTATAAATTAAGCGAGAAACTCGGAAGATTAAATTTTGTTTATCGCAGAATGGCATAACAGCAGCAGCAGAGAGGACAAGTTGCACAGTGGGCGGGTCTCGCTTTCTGCTCCTTTGCATTTTCTTGCCTCCATACGCATTTCAATTTGCATGCAACTCGTCCAGAAATGACGTGATCATTAGCTATCACCTTCTGATATCTCTCACGTGCTTTGTTTCAAAGCCAACCTCTATACCGAGGCAAGAATTGTCATGGAAACATTTTATTTTCATTTATTTATAAATTTAAAATAAAATAGAAGCATTTGAAATAGTTAAAACTTTAAAAAATAATATATTCAATTTTCTGAAAATGTACATGGATAATATTTTAGTTCAAATTTATACTAATAGCGTTTTATTTCGTATTCATCCAAATAAATGTAACAAAAAATATTTATCTGTGCTTTATTTATAAACTTTTTTTAAATTAAAGTGTCAAATACAATACATATTTCAGTCTTTAAATTATTTTTTGGTAAAAGTAGCAACTAAAAAGGTCAAATTGTCCTTTTTAGTAACATTTGCGATAAGGCCTGGAAAAATTTAGTCTCCTGCCAATAAATTAACCAATTTGAATATATTCTCTATTATTTACGAGCATTTAAAAATATGTTCTTTCTAATTATTTACTATTCTATTAAGATTTATTTAAAAATGTAAAAAATTCAAAAGAAATTTCTCTTAGAAATTTCCTCAGATTCCATGTAGATAAAAGAAAGAATACTTTAAATTGCCTAATAAATAAAATAAAGTTATTTTATCAGAAAATTGTTCATTTTTCATAATAACAGTAATTTTTATACCACATATCTTTTTACGTCTTTGTTTGCTTGACGGTGGTCACTCAAAATGATAAAAATTGACGTCTCGCTTCCAATGTTTGGCCAGCATGGGGCTCCCTTTGCAGAATTCAAAGTTTGGTTTGTGCCGGGGACCGTGAGAAAGCCGCCGCCGGTCAGGTATTCCGCCGAGAATGTGCGTACCTGCAGGAATTGCATTATTAGATGGATAGGGAGGGCCGGTGACGGGAATGAGAAGTTCGTTTTTTTCTGCCGTGTGCGCGCAAATGTGCTGACCAACCAATATCATTTGATTGGATATTCCGCACACACGCACAAGGAAGGGCAAGAGAGGAGCGCGTGATCGACGTGTCAATCGCGAAATTATCCATTCACGAGAATTTAATTCAGTCGACGAGGAAAAGAAATTGCGAAAATAAAATTAGGTGTGTGTTAATTTCTGATTTTTGTATTTTGTGTGTTTCAGAAGTAATTGGTGGCATTTGTGATAATAACAACGAGAAAGATGACGACAGAGGGATCAAAGGTAAGTCAATTGTAATTTTTTTTCTGCGGCAATTTTGCATCCAACCGTTAGGCACTAATTAGATTCCATTGACGAGCGGCGAACAATAGAACAAATTAACACGTGCATTTGCTACAAGGTAGCATGCTAATCAGGGCCAACGTAATCTTACAATTAGTAATTTCTTTTACAATTAGAAGCAACAATAATACACTGAATTAAATAATTGCACTGATATAAGCCCATTATTTGAAATATAACAAAAAATTTATTTTTATGTTTCCATTGTTGAAGCGTCAAGGAAAGAAAAATAACATTAATTTAAATGTACATCGGTATTAAATTTTTAAACAAAGTAGCTTTGATTTTTAACAGTTTAAATTTTCAGTCTCGTAAATTGAATTTCAAATATTTTTAAAATAATGAAAATTTTCAAATGAACACTTTTTACATATTTTATTTAGTAATATATTTTTCAATAAATATATTTAATTTTATATTGATTAGATAAAATAAAAATTATTTATATACAATATATTTCTGATTTTATATGTTACTTTATTCAAGTTCCGTATGCCGAGTTGTGCAGGGCAATAACAACTGCTTCTTGTAAAGCCTCATTTTTCGTTCGCGCTTCGCAAGACACTCTCTTTACAATCAAAAAATCATCTGATCGACCCTCCATCGGACAGCAACTTCCTCTGTTCGCACCAAAAATGCTCAGAACCGTCTCGGAGAAAAGTTCCAAGTGCTCGACTAGATTGATGGTTCTGCACAGTGTTGCAATTTTCGCATTTTTCTTGATTTCTGTCACGTCATGAACAACTATGCCGATCAGTAAATTAGTCAGGATAATCGGCATTGATAAGATGAAGCTTATGAAAATTATCTGGACAGTCACTACTGAAAGGTTGTTGCTCAAGTTAGAGTTTCTTGTTAAGTTGCTGGTGATGGTGACGTTGGCTGTGGTGACGTTTTTCGTAGTGAAAAGGTCGTTGTAGTCGTACTCGCCCGCCATCATCACCAAAATCCTTGTAAGTGCCGTCAGGGGATTCATGAATTGAGACTTGTTTTGGAAAATTATGAAAAACGTCACGGCGTAACCGATGAACAGCCAAAAATAGGCTGTTAACACGGTGAGGTACTCCTTCATGACGATGTCAAACATGGAGATGTAGGTGCCGAACCAAGGCAGTTTTTCCAGCAGGGACGCAATGTTGAACCACGATAGTAAAACTATGAATGGACTAATTTCTTGGAAGAAGGGAGTGTCTTGCGGATCAGTGAGGATAACGCATAGGAATAAAATCATGCACAACCAGTCACTCACGTTGTGAAATGTCTTGAAGTGAATTAGAATTTTTCGAAGCACTGTTGGTTCTTTAGAAAGGACAAAAATCCCTACTAATTTCCTGACGATTTGGTAAAATAGAAGGGGAATGGATATGGCTCTGGCCAGTTGGACGATAACCATGGCGAATTGATTGTTTGAAGGAAAAATAACTGAGCAGCCTTTGTTCTTGCATCGCAGGGAGCTGAAACAGTGATAATTGATTTTTAAAAATAATTTTTTAATTGACTATTTATGCGTATATTGGTTCTGAAACTTATAAAAATTTCAACCAACCTTGAAAAGTTTGATAAGTCTGGTAAAGTGCATTGGCAGGTCCGGAAGGCCAAGATGGTGATGGTCGTGCACAAAAGAAGCAGTAGGCTAACAACAAAGTGTGGCGTGAACCACTTCCTGATCTTAGCCCACTTATCGTCAACCACGATTCTACAAACCGGATGCCGCAAACAGTCGACGCTATTCGAACTCGCAAAATAGCTCAGCAAGGACGTCCTCAGGCAGTCGTGCTCCTCCATCAGCACTTTCGTGTCAATGGTGACAATTCTGTACTCCTTGGAGTTCTCCAGCTTGATGCACGAGTCAAGCATGCTGTTCAACGCTTTCGGAACGTGGATCTCGACTAGAGACAAGGCTGACATTCCTTCAGGGGTGGTCGCCTTTAGGTTGGCCCCCATCAGGAGCAAAACCTCAGCGGTTAGGGTGTTGTCATAAAGGGCCGCCAGGTGTAGTGGCGTGTACGATTCCGTCCTGAGGATGACCTCAGAGTCAGCACCGTTTTCCAAAAGGATTTTGGCCCCGGCAGAAAAATCCAACATAGCGGCGATGTGCAGAGGAGCAACGTATGGATGAATCGTGGAACATTTGTTTATCTCCAACTCGTGTCTGATGTAATTCAAAATAACTTCGACGCTCTCTGCGCATTTGTAGAACATGGCCAAGTGCAGGGGCCAGTAGCCTTGGTAATTGGTGCTGAGCCACAGGTACCTCAGGTCTTCGTTTACCAGGAACGCTTCGACGCATGCACTGTGTCCGAAAATTATGGCCAAGTGCAGTGCGTTCAGTTTCCTGTACTGGATGTCTGGCAACGTTGGAGACATGGGGGACGTACGGTTGAGGAGCAAGTTAAGAGCTTGGAAGTCGCCCCTGACGGCTGAGGCCAGGAAAAGGACGTCGAATTGGGCGTCGGTGATATCATTTAAAACGTGTGTCAAGCCGTTTATCAGAGCTTGCTGGATGTCGTTCAGGTTGTTGAAGGCCACCAGGCCGTTCAGCTGACCTTTGATCTCGCTCTGATTGATTTCCAGGTGCTTTTTCACGGTGGCCAGTTCATGGTACCGCTCGTACATGTAGCTGTTCCGTCTTCTACGTCTGAAAATTTTAGTATTTATTAGGCCTTTTTTATTTATTTATTTACTATTTACTTTAAATAAATTAAAGATCAATTTAACCATAATAATTTTAAATTAGTAACATTAGCTCAAATTTAGATTCAAAACATGTTTTAATTCGTAATTTAATCAAACTTCTATTCGCATGCATTTTTGCATATTTTTCATAATTCAATTCACACTTCAAAATTTGTATTAAAATGAAAATTTTATTGTATCTTTATTAAATATAAACAACAAAAGAAAAGTCTCAAGATTTACTCAACATATTAAATAATTCAGTTGGTTAATTATTTGCTTTATAATTTTGGAGTACATGCATTGTTGTAATTAATTTCAAAATAATGCAAACTGCAATTTTCTGATAGTTTAAAAAATCTTACATATTAGAAATTCTATCCACCATTTTTCACCACTTTCTTCGTCCCTGTTCTGAAGCATACTGATGAGCTTTAAAATAAAATTATGGAATATCCTCAATGACGCGCGTTTCCTGTTTTTCACAAAACTTACATCCTGCCCTTGAAAGCAGAGCTCAAAAAAACCACGGTCGGATAAAAAAAAACATAAATAATATTCTTGATGTGTTCACTCTAAAAAAAATTGTCTCACAAATTCGGATCAAGTTTGTTTGGTGGCATGATTAGTCAAATTTTCAATCATTTTCGTGAACTGGTTTTTGTAAGTTATGCAATCCGTGTGGCAGCGAAATTCGGCGGATTGCATAACCTCAGCTCGTCTCACCTCATTCCAGACGAAGCTCGTCTGGGGCTTCTCTGTACCAACGGAGAAGAGAGTATGCGAGCGAGATAATCTTACTCGAGAGGGAAAGTGAACGCGTGCGTTTTATTCAAATGGGCCGCTCATTTAACAATAATCCGCAGCACTATTAATGCTCGGCTGCCGCACAAATGGGGTCGTTTCTATTCTAATAGGGAGATTCGCCCGCGATAATACATATTGAAGAAGCCGTCACGCAGTAGACGTAATTGCGGCAGCCACTTTCAGTTGCACAGAAACACTCCTTCGAACGGATCTTCTGCTTTAATTGGAAGTTAAAGGAAGCCTCGGAAACAAGCGAATAACATTTCCTTACGGAAAAACAGCAGTGTTTTTAGCACAGAAAGTATAAACTAAAAAGTTGAGTTCTAAATTTTGCTGAATATTTATGAAAATTATAGATTTTTTTATTTAAAGAAATAATTTATTTCTTGTTTTAGCAATTGTAAGTAAACAATGAAAGTGAATAATACATATGTTATTTTATTAAAAAATTTTATTGATGATTTTTATGACTTCTGGTATGGCAAGCTGGCAATGAGCTTCAATGAAACCAAACTTATATAACAGGAAAAAATGCAAAAGTTCTCAAGCCTATATTATGCGTGATTCTTCCAGCAAAAAAGCAGCAGATAAATTAAAATTTTCCGCTCAGTCGATTCGGCAGGGCGAATTTTCCGTTGGTGTGGATCTTTTTCACTCTCCTTCTCTGCCACATTAATACAACAATGAAAGACGAGCCCTTTTTATTTCCCGGCAACAAAGACGAGATACGCGCTCGCGAATGTACGAATGGAGTTTTGAGTGAAATACGCGCGCGACGAAATTGCTTCTACCTCGGTGAACTCGTATGGGCGGCTGGATAATAACAAAAATACTCTCTCGGGGCTGCTGTTTTTGAGGCGCGAGAATAAATCTCGGATTGCGAGCAGTCAGCTCGGCAGGATGCCGGCCGTCGTTATTTTCCCTTTCTTTGCACACTTTGGTGCACACGCTCTCTTTTTGTCCTCGAAAGCGGCGCAGTCAGCGCGCCGACAGATGAATGAATCGTGCACCAAAAAGCCATTATCGCGCACCAGGACGCTTTAATTTGCATGCGATAAAAGCGCACCAAGATCCTCGCCACAGGAAAAAGCGGCCCCCGCCTGCTCCTTTCTCCGAATGCCATTTTCTGCCTCTGCTTTTTGCAGGAGCAAAAGAGGCAGGCGCCTCTGCTCTGAGCAATCTGGAAAGAGTTAAAGTCTCCGCGGTATAGTCCCTCTTATTTCCACCGGGCTTTTTACAGTCGCGGAAACCGCAAACATAAGATGGAAAAAACCATAAGGGCAAAGCACTTACTATAGTTGAGGACTTATTGAGGGTTTGTGATTGATTCAAGTTTTAAAAATAGTAAAATTACAAAATATTTTATTTTATTTTAGCAAAATCTAAGTTAATTTGATCCTTCTGAAAATTAAATTTCTTATTAGCATGGCAGATCTATTGTATCTTTTTTATGAATTGTAAAAATTAAGATTTTTTGGTGATAATTGTTGCTATTTTTCCCGTAGTACCCAAAATTGACTTGTGAATATAATCAAAATGTTAAACGTTTGGATCAACAAATTTAATCTTTTCAAATTCATATAGCTGATTTTAATTATTTTGCTTACTTTTGCCCTAAACTGCAGTCCTCTGCAAGAGTTATATTTGGGGTAGAATTTGCCAAATTGCTCATACGAAAAAAATTGCACTCAAATTATATCTCTTATTTTCTTATTTTATTGACAGACCAAAGATGCTTCCTTCTTTTTATCACAAAAATATTCATGAGAACATTTGTTTTTTATGGATTGGATTTAAAATACGCAGTAATTTAGAATATCAAGAATTTTGAATATTTATCTTCTTTCAGAAAGAATTTCTGATAAAATTCAGAATTTCATCTGGCAAACAATTCATAGTGATGAAAATCCCTCACCAACAGAAACGAGATCCCCGCCTGCACGTACATCGCATTTTGGCACTTTTCCATAAATTTTCCATTCACAGGATCGTATTGCTTTTTTCCACAACTCCCCCGCGCCGAACGTATTGAGAGTGTATTTGCAGGAAACAACGCAATGAGGAAAATCAGTTCGAAGGGTCGGCGTGTAAAAAATGGGAAAACAGGGAAACTGGGCGGCGTTATTTTGCACAACGAAGAGATTTGTGGGGTTGGAGAACGTGATTAATTGAGTGATGTGCGACGGCGTGCGCGCACCAGCATAGCGGGGGTTTTAATCTGGAGCCGCGCTGCTTGTTCTCCGTTTGTTCGCCAATCTCTAATTTAGCCGCCGGTCTTTTGTCATGGTGTGAACTCGAGAGCAGATTAAACTCGGGCAGGCCGACGCTCCGCCCTGCACTCGCCCAAGAACACGCCCAGAAAAACCCACCCAGGCTGCACCGCCGCGCCCGTTTTCCCGACCGGCGCAACTGACGTGTGCACCGAACGGTGCTTTTCTTCTCACGGGTAAACAAATTTCCACCGCGGCCCCAGCCAAGATTTCTTTGTTTTACTTTGACAAAAAATTTAAAATGAAATAATATTTTAATTTCGATGGACCTCTGAATGTAATCTTTAAAAAAAAACGGCATTCTATCAGCAGATGGCAGAAGCCTGAAAATATGCAACCTGCACGACATGCTTGTCAAGAAGTTGCCTACGATTTTAATTTATTTATATTCACTTTCTTTTCCCAGAAGGTTCAATTTTTCAAAATCCTTGACGTGACTTAATAATAATTATTAATTGGCTGTTATTTATATAAAAATTACATTAAATAAAAGGAATCTAGTCAATTATTTTTTTGCCATAAAATAACATCTTTCTTTGCAATATTTTTTTGATCAAAATATCGATTTAATAATATAGTACTCAAAAATTTTCTATCATTTGCATCCGTGGAGCGCGCTTCCCCACATATTATAGTCAACGTTTTCAATCTAAAATCTTTTTCATCATAAATAAATGTGAAACAAAAGTTTTAAATTACTAAATAATAATAATTATTTCTAACTATTTCTCCAATTCGTTTTGCTTGTAATGCAAAAAAAAATGGTTAAAATAAACCTTTGACCGTTATTAAGAATTATGTAATTAAGAATTTATGTTAAATTTTTTCCATATTTTTTGGATTTAGTAAAAGTCTTTGTAATTAAATGGGAAAATTTTCAGTAATTAAAACCAAACCAATAAATCATTTATCTCTCACAGGCTCAATTGATCAGCTGATTGCTCCTTTCAACAAAGTGGTCGAGCAGGAAAAGCAAGGAGGGGCGGATTCACGATCGCAATACAAAGTTGTCTTTCTCTCTTGCAATCACATCGCCTCGCTCGCGTCTCGTTAATTGCGAATGCGTGTGCAGCAGCACAAGCGGGAAAGAGAGTCAGTCGTTCGGGCCGCTCGCTGCGTGTCGAGAGGGGCACACGACTTTAATTAAGTAAATTGCATCGGCCGTAAATATTCATTGTGCGCGACCTCTCATCCCTTTGGCCGTGTGTATTCTGTGATCACTCCATTTGCTAAGTACTCGCCGAGCCAATTATTGTAATCAGGAGAAAAATCCGTCTCCATTTAATTTAGCCGGGAGTTAGTGAGCCGGATTTACTTGTCTTGCTCCGATACTCAAGAACGCCCTGCTTAAAACAAGAAATAAACAAGGCTTTAAAAGAATTTCTTTAGTTTTTTTTTTATAAATTTAAATATTTTTCCTTTACTTACATTGAATTATTAATTTTTTTTTTTTTTAGGTTTCTTTTCCGACCTCTTTGATGTTGGTCAAGGAAACAATAATTAAATAACTTGATTCGGTTGAAGTTTCAAATCTTCAGCCATAATAAAATTAAAAAAAAAAAAAAATCAATTTTATCAAATCAGGCTGTTTTTTGATTTCTAGATCTATCTTAAAATTTCAGAAGGTTATTAATTTTATTATAATTAAAATGTTTCATTCATACCTTACAATTTTTTTCATGTATTTTGGATTTTCTTCTGAAAAATCTCAAATTTTTTAAACATTTCCGTTTTTTTTTCTTCAAAAAGTTTAATCTAAACTGACATTCAAATATTAGGCTTCAAACAATTTTACCTTTTATTTTGACAAATCAGGCACGTTCTGAACAATCCAGTCCATATGGAAACCTAGGTCAGTGATGAAGTAAATGCTAAAAGGAGAACGGGGAATATGGAGCACCAGACACCCTCAATTCTTTAGGCACGCCGTAAGTGGCGACGCCTCGGAGGAAAAATCTATCAGTTTTCTCCAAAATGAAACCACTTCCAGTGTCCATGGCGCATGCATTGCGACCTGTAGGAATTTACAAAAACGATAAATCAAAATTTCCAAATTTCAAGCTTCTAAGTTAAACCTTTGGTGTAACGAGCGCAGAAATTGCGAGTTGGTTTTAAAAAATGAGCCAAAGAATTTCCTGCTTGCTCGGAAACAAAACTCGTGCTGATTCGCCTGCGTAAACCTGCTCGCTGAAGATTTCCAGTCGGCTCGTAATTTTCATTCAGGTACCAGCCAAAAAAAATGTCATGAAAATGTGGCTCCGTAGCAATTATTTAACTTTTCCAATTTTCTTTGAAGAATAACAAAAATCTACCATAATTACTCATTTTATTTACAGTTATTGGTTTTATATAATCAAAATATGATGAGTTTTTAACATTTTTAACATCATTTTATTGTGCTTTGTTTCGCAGCCATAAAAAATTTCACAGGGCTGAAATGTCTGGGACGCTTCCCACAATCCAATCCATGTGGAAATCAACATCAGTGACGAGAGGGCGCTTACGTGGTTCGCAAACGTATTGTTTTGTGACACCCTTCTCCATATCATTTTCAAACAAGCCATTCCTCACGACAGCTCTCAAAAAGCCAATTCCATTCTTGGAAATAACAAAACCGGTGCCGTCGTTGTATGCACAGCCACCAGGATCTATTGATTTTCAAAATTAAGTAAAAAAAATTATAATAATAAAATCTTTACCGTTAGTATGGGCGATGCATAGAGTTTTAGTCGGAACCACCCACTTTTGAAATTCGCGATAGAATTCTGTGCAGTCTGCGTTCGACATAACTGTCAATTGTGTTGGCAGAAGTTTTTCGATTTGCTTCAAATCCGAATCTAGGGCCCAGCCTACCACCTTTGAAGAATTTTTTCAAAGTCATATTTTAGGTAATTATTTTATACCGCGCCAGTAGCGTTGACTATTTTCTGGACGTCAAAATCTTCGCTCCACAAACACGCTGGTTTCACAAAATCGGTGATTTGGATTTTGGGCTCGTCAAAAATTAACAGGGCGAGATTATTTGGCGTGCCGGACCCGCTGGATTCATCATAAGCAGGGTGCAAAATCACCGAGGAAGGCTGAAAATTACATTTATTAAAAATTTAGAATAAATCGTTTTTAAAAACAAAATACCTTGACAACTTGTCTCGATCTCTCGTTGGAATCAGATTGGTCATAAGCACCCAATGTGACAGTAATTTTGTCAGTGGACAAAGTTTTGCCATCATAGCGGACACAATACCCAGCTGAAAATTAATGTCTATATTTTTACATTAAATTTTCATACTCGAACAAGAATTAGGCACTAAAAAACAATCAAAATAGGGTTTTGGACAGTATTAATATAATATTTAAAATTGTTTATAATTAAAAATTAGATTTTAAGGTTTTAGTCCTGATTTTGCAAGCCAATCTCATGAGCAAAATTAAAAATAAAATAATAATAAATAATCTCGTTTTTATACACAAAAATCTCTTAAGATTAACAAATAATAACTTACTGATTTTATTAGCTATTTTAAATTTACTTCTTTCATTTTCACAGGAAAACTGTAGTTTTTAATTTGTTGAAAATTTTTTACATTGTATTCTTCATGCCAAAATTTGATTGTGTGATTGTGACCAAAACCAGTTTTATAATATTAATATTCAAATTTCAACCAATGAAATGTTACTTTGTCGCTCTCTTAAATAGTCACTCACTTGTTAATATTGCCCTTTTTGAAATCAAAGTTCCGGTGCAGGCACGTTTCTCCGCATTCCTCCCAGGCAGATTTGAATATTGGATGTTGACGTTCCAGGGGTGAAGTCCTCGCCCGCCCACAGAACCCGACACTTGTCCGCAGTTCGCGTAACTCTTTCCGCCGCGAAATGCTAAAAAATGGAATATTGGTCCGTTAAAAAATTAGTTTTCTAACAGTTACAAACCAAAACCATTCCTGGACGCGAGAGCCACATCGGCGGCCACGAATATTACGCAGCCAAGTAAAATGGATAAATTCATCTAAATTCAAAAATAATTTTGACTTTTTATGTTTTTGGAAATAATTTAAACGTTGATATTTCCTACCTTCAGTTAATTCAATTCTTCGTTACTTGGAAAAGCACGTCTTTGAAGCAAGTCTTGAGGAACAAAAGTGGCGCAGAATTTGATAAGCAGCTTATTTAAATGCTAGTGGGTCTGACCTTGGCATGACCCGTTGCTATTTTTAGATCATTTTTGTCTCCAAGGGTCAGGAAATCTGACTTCATATCATAGATAAGAGTTGCTTCATTTTTGCCGGAATATTGAATTTTTAGCCAATTTTTAATTTCTTGAGGCAGTTTAAAAAGAATTTTAAAAAACAACTTTTTGTTGGGAGAAAATTAAATAATAAATTATTGAAGAATTCATAGATAAATACAGCACATAACCAATTGTGTTTTTAACTCTTGTTCATTTATTCATAAAATATTATTCTAAATAAGATAAGATTAAATTTATAAATAAGAAAATCTAAGAAAATTTGCGACAAATTTAGAACTGCTACGTTTTATCAAACTGGCTTCTCGGAAGTGAACATATGTTAAGCCTGGCGGAGAAAAACGGGCCCCAAATTGCCTGCGAGTGTTATTTATGAGCCGATAACAGGAGCACCATTATAAATATAATTCTCTCTCGCGGTGAAAACTATTTGAAAGGTGCAGAACGAAGAGGTCCCGCCGTAAAACAAAATGCATTTTCCGTCGTTAAAGCGCGGCGACGATAAAGACGGCGCATGAGGGAGTCATTAGACGAGCTGCGACAATTTATATATTTTTCTCCACCTCCTCTGCTATATTTTTCCTCTCCGAAAAGGCTCAGCTATCGGAAAAAGGTATCAAGATATCAGCTCGAGTGTCGCCATAACTCTCATCCGGCCACATGAAATATTTTCGGAGAGAGCAGAGAGTCGTTTAAAAAGAGAAGAAGAAGGAAGTGGCCGCTCTTGCGAATAGAAGTAGTGCGTATTTGAACTCAAGTGCTCCCAATTGTAAATTGGATTCGTTATCTATTAACCGGAAATTAAGAATTGAATCAAAATCAAATCGATTAATATTAATTGAATAAAATTTGGGTGTATTTAACATATAATTTTAAATTTGATTATGTTTAGTTAGAATATTTAATGCAACGCAACGAGCTTTTTTGATTAAGACATAATATTTCCTAACCTACCACCTGTATCTATATATTTTCTAATATATTTTTAATATATTTCTTATATAATATAGAAAAATTAAGATTATTTATTTATTACTCCGAATTTATCAAACTTTTTGCAATAAAAATCTCCAAAATAAATTTGAAAATTTCTTTCGATTTTAAGCCTTAACGATTTCGTCACGTTTGAATTTATTCCGAAAGTATGCACAACTCTCTCGGAGCCTTGGTTTACTGGGCACAGGTCCATGATCTTATAATTTAAAACTTTTTTGGCCGGCGGCAAGGATTCCAAGGTCGTCTGACCGACCGCCAGCTCATTTATGCAAAAGCTGCCAAAACTCACTCCAGCTTTGTTTTTGTCGCCTCATTTTTACGACTCTTCTCTCTGGAGAGAGTCGCTCTCTAGGATGCAATAATTGAGTCGGCCGGAAGTCTCGGAAAATTTTCAGTATTGCGCGACGAGAAATTCTTCTAGAAAGAAGCTTTTTCCAAATTAAAAACAAGTCTCTCGATCGAGAACTTTTCAGACTCGGCAATTAATCGTTTTTGAAAGCTGCTCTTTCTCTTCATTAGATTAATGAAAAAGCTCGGCGGAGGAGGGATGGAAGTAAGTTTTTGTGCCTCTCCGAGAAACGCACATTTATTCCGATCGGGAAATGAATTAAATCAATTAGGAGAGAGCGGGAGCGAGGACGATTGCCAGCAAAAAACCAAATCGATTTCCGCGCTCACTTTTTGTCTCTCTCCGATTGCTAATTTGGAGAGTTTTGTGCATGTGTATCGGGATTTGCTGTGAACAACTTTACTCCCCCCTTGGTTGAAATTAAAAAAGTCCCTGCGTTAATTTATGGTCTTGACACGAAGTTCTTTTGCGAAAATAGCACTCTAGCTCTGATTTTTTTTTTTTGTATATAATTTGTGTTCGTCGTCGGAGGTGCTGAAAGTCTCTAATTGCAGTTTGTGTGTTTGTTGCAGGCTATTCACACAATCCTTATAACGGGGTGGTTTGTAACGATATCATATTAGCCACTGGAGTGTTCTCATCTAAAGAACTGTGGAGACTTGCCAAAGGTATGTATTGCTCTGCTCCCCCGCCACTTTTTTCATTCGTATAGTTACACTTAGCGAGCTATTTCTTTTCTAAAGCAAAGCCACTTGGAGCTTTTTTAATACGGTAGATAAAAGCTTTAAATTTTTTGGGGAAAGTTTTGTGCAGAAGCAAGTAAAAAAAGTAAATTTTAAAGTCGTAGTTTCCTTTTGTTTAATTGAGAGAGAAACGTTTGGCACTTTTCACAATTTCCACACTCCATTTAAAGTAAGGTGGGTTTTATTTTCAATTCATTTTTCTTATATTGATAGAAGAAAATGAGGTAAGCACTTCCAATACACGAATCACTTCTTTTTGTAGAAGATTTTAAAATTGAGGGTTTTTGCTTTGAAACAATAAAAGAGTAAAAATGAAATATTGAAAAATCACAAAAAAGCCCTGATTTTAATATGGTTTTTATCGTATTTATTTACAAAGTTGATTTTAGCTTTGAACTGACATCAATAATTTTGAAGAGATATTCCAATAAAAAAATCGTTTTGCTAAAAAGCTTAAATTTAAATTTGTTTTTTCCAACATTACTTATGGATTTTTTTTAAATGTGAATCAATTCAATCGATTTTACGTTTGACCTTCCCTCCCTCGATTTTGAAATTGAAAGGTCACCGAACTCACGAGCGTGTCGAGCTGCTGAAAGCCTTGCGGGCCGATCCATGTGCAGGCGGCTTTTGGTAGTGTGTGATGTTTAGTTTAATGGCTAGTAAAGGCAATCCTATTCATCATCCATTCGCGCACACCACATTGGTTTTCTGGGGGTGTGAGCACAGATAACTTGGTCCACTTCGCTCGCTCGCTCTCTCTCTCTCATATTTAGCGCAAGAAATACTACATGCGGACGGCCTGCAAAGGCACCCCCGACCGAAATTCATCCCTCTCGTAATATATTAAATGATAATGCAGCGACTTCGGTGGAGCGTGCACGCTGATGCGATATTTTTCTGCCTCCAACACGCCGAATTTCATCGCCACGTACCGCACTATGCTGACGGGGCGGCGAAAATGAGTGAAAAAAAAATGGAAATATATATGAGGGAGGGATGCACTTTGATTCAAAGGCTGGCCGAATGATTCTGTAATAGAATTAATTTTGCTGAATTGAAAAAATAAAATATTCGGGGGGTTTTATTACGAATATTAAAATGAATCAATAAAATGACTGAAATGTTATTAATACTTTTTGGTAAAATATATCTTTCCGTTATTGAAAATGAACAATTATTTCTAGAAACTCCCACTGAATTTATATACTATAAAATTTTTACAAATCTACCATTCTACAATAAATTATATAAAAATTTCCGTCATAAATTTTGTAACGCAAAATTAAAACATCTGAAATAATTAATTATTTTGCTTCAAATGAAAAACTTTTTATTCAGTCTAATTATCTTATTATAAAAACTTAATTTATGGTATTTTTCTTTGTCTGATTTCAGCGTCAATAATGCAAGGGCCAAACGGAATGCAGCCCCCTGTCAGTGCCATCAAGCTGGAGAACCCTGGCGGCTACTACTGCAACAGTTACACACCTCCTGCTCCAGATCACTCTTCAATGCTGCCCACCGGCGCCTATAGTAAAATTTTCCATAAATTTTTCCTTTTTTTAAATTAATTTTAAATTGTAATTTCTTCTCAGGTCCTATGTCACTTCCAAGAAGTTCCCAAAGTCCTGGCGAGCCCAGAAACAAACGTCTGAGAAGGCTGAGTTCCACCGAGGAGGAAATGGAGTTGGGCGCCGCGGGGCCAGGTCGAGGTGCGGACAAAAGTTCGGCTCCTGAGGTCGCTTACTACGGACAGAGTCCCGCGTCCCTGTCCAGCCAAACCAGCTGGCATTCGGACGTTGACCACGGTATGTATTGGAATAATTGCTTTTGAAAAAGAAAAATAATTTGAAATTCAGCATTGATTTATTGTAAAAATAATCTGGCGAAGCAGGAAGAATATATTTTGATGAACTATGGGGAAATTCATTACTTTGGCTATTCTCCCTCTCCGTCTCTTGTTTGTAACAAACCACCACACACAATTCTATTGTTCTCCTACTCTGTACATGCATTCCCTATCTCTCTCCCCACTCACTCGAATCCACATCTGATTTCTGTGAAATTTATTATTCTATATATTTTTACTTCCCGACTTCTTCTGACGTTTGTGTAAACACAGCGGTACAGGCATTGCACCAAAATCAATTCTGTCTCATCTCCCTTGAATAACTCTCAACCTCCCTATGTACACAAAAAACCTCCCATCCACCCCTGTACATACACATGTATATTTTATTTGCTTATATTCAGATCATTTTGAAGCAGGCACCAATAAACCAAAATTCACCTTACAATAATTATAGAAATTTTTACAAATGTAGGTTTATATTATTTTTTTCTCAATCAGGGTAAGTTTGCCAACACATGAGTTTGCCATTTTTCAAAATTTTTAATGCACACATACTTGAAATATTTTTTAATTTAAAAAAATGCATGTTTTTTAGTAACCCTGCCTGAAGTGAGTTTTTTTTTCATAGATTTTTTTGTTAAATCTTTCTATAGAGTAGCCAAGTAATGCCAAAGAGATTAGATATGATGAGTTTTTTTTCTAAGAGAAACAAACGTTTGGAGAGTGTGATTTTGCGCGATTTCGACATTGTTTGTGTGTGCTGATTTGCAGGCGCTTCCTCCTCAGTTCACTCGCCCCTGTCGGCGGCCAACAAGGTAAATAAGCAGGAGCAGGGTGGCTTTCAGGGCGGCAACAACCCCTCCTCGTCCGCCTTTGGCAGGGCGAACCACCACCACCACAACTCTCCACCCCACCCCTCTAGTCACACCACGGCCCCCACCAACCCCCGCCAAGGTAGGTCTGCCCTGCAAAAAAAATTAATTTAAAAAAATCAGGGTTTTAGTTAGTTGAAAAATTAGAAATATTCAATCAGAGCTTTGCATTATAGTAAAAAAAATATTAGGTTCTTGATTTAATTAGAAAAATTATACAAATCAAACAGTTTTTAATTGAATAATTAGTGTAAATTTCAACTCCATCGTGCAGTGCTGTTTCAATATTACTAACCACTAACAATACCCATAGATTTTCTCTCCTATCTGATTAATTCAGAGATGATGACGTGGACTTGCGTTTGTTTCAGTTAACCTTTGCATGCGATGACTGAGTCGTCTGTTGTTAACAGGTACTTCTGTCTGTGTGTCTGATTACTAATTAGCAACTCTCTGTCGCTCTGTGCACAAAACACAAAACAATTTTATATAACCCTGCTCCTCTTCTACCACTCTTTTCTAGTCTCTCTCAATCTCGGTGTTGGCTGTTCTGCGGATGCTGCCTCAGAAGTTTCTGTCATTCTGTTGAAAATTTTCACATCATACATATATACATCTAACACACACACGCCTTTTTGTTTTCACTCTGGAAAAAAAATCACACTGTCTCACAATTTTGGTGCAATTTTTTTATCTGTGTACACTTTATACGTTCCACTTTTCAGTGTATATTTCATTGGTGTTGGATGTGGACGAGGGCAACTCATTTTGTATAGCATGGGTGTTTAACAGTTATTCCTGCTTTACTTGGTAATTAAATATCCAAATTTAATTAAAAAAGATCCACAGAATATAAAAATAAAAAAGACTCAAATCATTTAATCAAATTAATTTTATTTAGAGAAAAATTAAATAATTTTTATAAAATAAACTTTAATAATTCTAAATATATCTGAATGTTGTATGCTGAGGATGACCTGTTCTCTAATCTGCGACCAACACACAGCAGTGTGAACATGGATTTTGCAACTATACTGTCTCCTCTCTCACTACTTCTCGGTGTCACTCTCTCTATTTCTCGGTGTTACTTAATTTCCTCGACGTCCACTTGACTCTTTGGAAAACTAGATTTTAACCCACGGTTCGGAACCCAATCGTTTTCCAGGCATGCCCTCGCAGCACAGCTCGGTGGCGTCGATAGCGTCTGCGAGCATCGGAGGCGGAAGCTCTTCGAGCAGCTACTACCCCCAGACCTCCGCCTCCGAGCACCAAAGCTCACAGCACAGCCCCACAAAGTACCCTGAAAACGGCCATGACACGCTGTCAGACTTTGTCACCTTTGTTTGCCAGGAAGCGGAAAACACACAGCAAGGATCTCAGGTCAGTTTATTAAAAAAATTTATTTTATTCAAATTCAATAATTACTTTTGGAGTGAATTATATAAAAATAAATTTCAAAATTTGCAAATAATACAGTTCATAAATATTGCAGCATTTTTTTAAATAATTTCTTTTAATGCTACAAAAATTCCATTATTATTGAATGAATTTTTATTATTTATTTTGTAATTCTTCACCTTTAGGCGGGCACATCGCGGAGTCCTTCGAAACTGGCGCAGTATTACCCTAGCTCGATGCTGCCACCGCCCCCACCGCCTCCGATGGCCCGACCTGTAGCCATCATTCGTTCGACAGGTACTGCTGTCCCCTTGGCAATCAGCTATTCCGACCGTAATAACTCGTCAAATTTCTTTTTATCAAAAATTGAAATTACTCTTCTGTCTGCGTGGAAAAACTCAATCTGGTCTAATTTCCAGGAGAGTTGTCTGTCGCCGCCTCCAACTCGCCGCCCGCCTCCTCCACACCACCCATGGGGGACTCATCGTCACCCCGCGATGGCAGGGGCAGCGCCCTCAGTCCGTCTCCGCCGGCCTCGGCAGGGCCCCCCATCAGCCAGGGTGATTTGCCTCCACCACCTTCATCCCGGTCGGTGGTCAGTGGCCCTTTTTGTGTGAGCAGAGACTACGCGTTTTCACACCTGCACCCACAAACTGGACAGGTATAATTTTAATTTTTATCCTGAATATTTTTTTTTTTTACATTGCTGGATTAATTTTCATCAACTTTTTATTATACTTTCAATTTGATTGCAATGTGAAGTTGTGAAGGAATAATTGATCCATCACTGTTAAAAATTCTACGTATGATTGAGACGTAGCAGAAAACTAAGAGCTGCTGAATTAAAATTGTTCACCTAAGGAGAAATACATTGAACAGCTGTTTTTCTAATTTTAAATTTAATATTTTAATTTTACCTGTTACTTTATCAAAAGAATTTTTTTGACTTCTCATCTTATTGTTAGTTGAATAATTATTTAATTTTTCCAGTGTTGATTTGGCTTTATAAAAAGTGGTTTAACAGTATTTAAAGCAAAGTATTCGTTAAATTTCATAATTTTTATTTTTAGTTTTACAATATTTCATGTGCATTTTTAATTTATAATAATTGTACTTAATTGCTATATAAAAAATAATTTTGAATATAACTGATTTAAATTCATTTTTCAGTTGTTTACCTACCCAAGCTTGAGTCCTGTCGGAGCAATGTCAGGTGTAATTAGCCCGACCAACCTGAACCTTTTCTCATCACCTGTGAGCAATTCGCGGAATTCGTCTAGATCCACGTCAATTCCTCGATGGAACACGGGGCCCTTCATCAGCCTCGAGGAGGACTACATGATGGCGCCTCTGATGGGCCCTGGAAACAGCGCCGTCGAAGCCATGGATGACGGTAAGCACGCCTCCGAGCCACCTCCGCCGCCACCTCCTCCGCCAACCCAAACCATCTAATGACTTCCGAGTTCTAACCCGCGTGCAGTTTTGTTTTGTGTTCAAATTTGATTTCCACCCAAGAGAAGGATGATTTTTTAAGCTAAACAAATTCTCAAATGTTGCATAATAATGAACTTTTTATTTTGTTGTTTTGTGTGCGAAAATGATTTTCTGTTGCTCTACTCTCTGTTACCGGTTGACTTTTGTTTCCTCGGCTAGAGTTAGAAGGGTCTCCAAAGAAAGTATAAATTTATTCTGAAAGTATGCAACCTGCTGGACAGGAGTGTCAAAATGTTGCATACCTTCATGGTGGGGAATCTTATCAAGTAAAATATAACAATTATTTGCAACAAGAACATGAAGCATACTTACTAGAATTTATAAAATTTTGGCAGAAAGAAGAAAGTCGTCTGACAAGAAAACATGGAAATTATTATGATTCACATTTATTATCGTTTCTTGAAGACAAGTGTCCTATCAAGTAGGTCGCAAATTGTCTAATATGAAGTTAAAATATATTTTTTTAAATTCAATTATAAATATTTTGGCTTAAATCTGATTTTTATTCATATATTTAAATTAATCAATCAATAATTTCAGTCGTTTAAAATTAAAAATAGTAAATTTGGCTCTTATATGTTAATTTCACTCTGTTTCGCTCCCTATAAACTTTTCTTTTAGTTCCCAAGAAAACTAAATTATAACAAAACAAAAATTGTGCTTCTAATTATTAGGGGTGATTTTAAAAAGAAAAATGAAACCATTTTACTAATAAATTTAAAGTTTTGCATTGATAATTTATCTTCAAAAATTGATATTTTTTCTTATTATTTTTTTCAAGACTAAATTTCTCTGGGGACCCTTCAGCTGCGAGTTTTCTTTTTCCACTTTTGAAAAGTGTCCTGTTTTGCCGCGCGGCGTGTCCGAAGTGTCTGAACTGACAAAGGGCCTGTGTGTCCGCAGAGCGCTACTTCAGTCCAGTGGTGCAGCAGGCCGGGGGCGGCGACCCGATCGACGCCTCCGATCACGCCCCCACGGACGGTTCGCCGCCGCACGAGGCGTCGGCGGTGACGGCGGCGGCGGCCGGCGTCGCTGCCATCACCGTGGTGGCGCCCGACAAGGGGGCCGGCGGCGCCACGGCGCCGCAACAGTCGTCGACCGCCTGACCGCCGCTCCGTTTCTTCCGAGACGCAGAATCGTTTGCTGTTAACTGAGAATGCTGTTGTTCAAGTTTTTTGCTCAATCGAATATTTTGTTTGCGGTGCCACTGCAGCCCCTGTACTTTTCATTGTTAGAAAAAATACGATTTTTTTGTTTTCAAAATCGGGAGTTTGAAGTATTACGTACGATTTGTGTGCTGCAGATTTACCATTGTCAGTGTAAATAAGGTAATTATAATGCCGTCAATATTGCAAGAAAACTCTGTAATTCAATTATCGCAGAAAAGCCAATAAGAAAATTCAGGTGATACGTCAGTCTATAGCAAAATCACACACTTTCTGTGTAGGAGAATTGCTGATTTTAAATTTTTTTTGTCATGTTTCAAACCAATTACATTCATCTTGGTTTAAAGTTTGAAAATTCCAGGAGAATTTAAATTGATTAATTGGGCGGATTTCTCTCTTTAAATCGCATTATTAATCATTCATCTCCCTGGCTATTAACTTAAAAGAATTGATTTAGATCAATTTAATCACTTAAAAACTTCAATATTTTTAATTGGCAAATACTTTGTGAGCGAATATATTAGTCAAAACAAATTTTGCACGATTGGATTTTTTGAACAGAATGTGATAACGCTTCTAGTTTTAACTAGTTTTTCAGGTAGTCCCGTTGAAGAACTTTTTTGATATTGAAATAAGTATTGAAAATCTAGAGCGATACACACACAAATTATGGAGTCGCCCGCAACAAACCGTTCTCTGCTGCTAGTTAGCGTAAAAGTTATACTTTTCTGGTGTAAATAATTGTTAGTTCAATACAACGCAACCTATAAAAGGCCTATTTACATTACACGTGCTGGGAAAAGGAGAAGGATAATTAGAGTGGATAAATCTAGGAAAAATTCTAGTGCCATATTTAAAACATAAAGTAAACGCGAGAGAGGAAATTCGTAGGTGATTAGCTAGACTATAATTAAAAGTAATAAATTATGACATGACAAATTTTATATAAGTAAAAGATACAATACAACGATTCTCCATTAAGTAAGAAGCTCAACAAAGTGCTATTTTGCAATATACACTCGTTGTGAGGGAAAACAGTTTTAGTGCGCTGATTACTTAAAAGTGTTTAATTACGAAACGGGCTGTATCAAATTAGCTGAGAGAAAAAACTAGCGTTTAGCGATTCAATTAAAGCATAGCCAGTACTTAACAAATTTAGCGAGTTTGAAAGATAAAATTTAATTAGACAGATTTTCAAACGCACAGGGCCTTTTAAAATAAAGAAGAAAAAATTCAAAATTGTGTTCCTTTGGTAAAAGATGAAAATGAAAAGTGCCCTATTGAGAAACGCGAACACGTGTCTCAAATTTTGGTTGCAGTCACGATAAAATTACCTTAGATGCCTTGCAACGTGGGAAAATTCGATTAGTATTGCAGCAATAAAAAAACACTCAATACTCAAAATGCAGCGATCGTGTTTGTGATGCATGTAGGCATATATATATTGTTCGGGAAAAAATTCAATACTCATGTAGGCCGTAGCGAGAAAAGTATAATTCATCGTAGTGCATTAGCAAATATGTGATCACAAAGTTGGATCGGCACTTTAAACCAAAGATGTACTTGGAAGAAAATTTTCGTTCTGCGACTTTTGACGTTTTATCGTTTCGAATTTTAATTAATTTGCGTGTGAACTTTAGAGTTAGCGTGTTCTTTTCTGTTGTAAGGAAGATAATAAACGAGAGATTAACTTATTTTATTTGCAAAGGTACAAATCTGTCAAATTATAAAAAGAGTGCTGTAGATTGAGAAAAAAAAATGACGAAGAAAGAATCAAAATGATGTACACCGTATATAATAATAAAAAGTAACTACTGCGCTATTACCATTACTAATATTAGGGGTCCATTGTTAAAAAAGGGATAAAAACCAGTTTGTATTAAAATTAAATATTCATCCTCGATTGGACGCTACTGAAATAAAACATCTTAAAGTCAGAGGTGGACAAAATTTTTGATAAAAAGAAAAAAAATTATAATCGTAGTGAGGGCGTGCAAACAAGATTAGCCATGTAAGTTAAACTATTATTAAATTTGGATTCTGCGCTGTTATATTGTTGCTGAAGAAAAAGTGTATTCGGAGAATATTGTTGTGAACTTTTTCAATACACTTAAGCTGCTGAGAGAATTTGCAGAAAGTGGTGCCAAATATATTTAAATGTTATTTAAAGCTGCATCTGAACGCACACGTACTTTGTATTTTTTTTTTATCACCAATATAATTTCTTCCAACACAATTGGTAGGTTTTACAGAGAAGACATACACTTTTTCTTTAACCTGTAGTGCCTAATGTACTGGTAAATAAAAAAAAAAATATATGTTCGCGCAAAAATTCAACTTAATAAAATGGTTATGGAACACCACGACAAAAACTGTACAACTTCACAAATGCATAATAATTAAATACACTACATTTGATAAGCAATTAAATAAAATACACATCGTAGCAAGTTGGAGCAACTCACATTTTGTACGATTTCAAAATGCAACATGTACTTGCGCAAAGTAACACGAAAGCTCAAAAGTTTTGAGTCCACGCTGGATTAAAAAACCAAATTCTCTGCAAGTTTGATTTTTCATTAATAACCGAATCGAGAGTAGACTGAGTTTTAACTGAATATTTAATCGATTAACAAAAAAATTTGAGAGAGTATTTAATAATAAAGCCGTAAATTTTGCGTTGTTTCGTTGTAAATATGCATAATTTCGCTCATTTATGTGCCTATTGAGTTGGAAAATATGTGTGTGTGTGTGTTATTGCAATGCAATTCACTAGCCCCGTTGTTTCTTTTGTAAAATGTAAGTTTTGTTAATATAATTATTATTCACTTTTTCCGAGACGCACCTTTGTAAGAAAAAAATATATCTGACCATATATGAGCCATACACGTTTTATGTTTTTCGTCATTGTAATGGTTGCGATTATTTTTTTGTGAAAATATAAATACGTATTACCATACGGAGGAGCAGATGTTGAAGTTGCTGAGTAATTTAAATAAGTGGAGGTGATAGTGAAGCTGATTCTAATTACACAATTATACCCCCAATTTATGATTATATTATTATTATTCATGATAATGTATAATGTTTGAGACACACTAACATGAAATTTATTGAAAAATACCAAAATATGAAATAATAAAAAATAAAAAAACAATACAGTAAAATTAACTGGAGTTTATTTTAATTAAACAAGCCCTACAAAAATCCAGAATTTACGTGTTTAATGTGAAAATTTACTTGAGAACTAATCAATATTACTTTCATGAAGATTTTCAACACACAATTTAAATTTAGTTTTTACAAAACATAGAAAATGTTGCTGTATATAAAATATTGTTATTACTTTAAATCATTTTAAATTTTTTATTCTTGTATTAATGCTTGTCAAATTAAAATTGATAAAAATATTTTTATATAATTTATAATATAATATTTTCAGATTCTGACAATAAAGTTCAATTGTTTCATCGACAGAATTAATATAATACAAAGTCCTGGGCCTTTTTTTAAGAACTGGAATTACACAATACATGGAGATTTTCCTCCGACAAAATCCATGGAATTTCCAGCACTTCGCGGACGGTTTGTGCTGTGGCGAAGAATATTCGTAATGTTAACGACCAAACAACAGAGAGCTTCAGTGGGGCGAAAAGCAGAGGAGGAACGCGCACGAAACGCGCTCGGCTCTATATCAGTGTCAACGCAGCGGTCGGCACTGGCTGATGGAGAACAGGAAAGGACAACACCAAGTATAGCAGAGCAGAAAGCCGCTGGCAATTAAAACGTACCAAAAAGTATTAATTAAGGTATGTAATGTAATAACCAATTAAATAATTCCCAAATTGGAAATGTTGCCTTAAGAATTTCAAGAGAATTTAATTGTTTCGAGAAAAATATTTTTAATTATAAATTTTTAACAATTTTTTATGACAACATTGTCGTGATATATTTTAAAATGCGTCAAGTTTCAGTCATTATTTGATATAATGTTAAAGTTTTAGGTCAATCATGACTTCAAATTCTTCGATTGATTTACTAGATCTACTTTTTAATTTTCAGCATTGTTTTGCTTGCTGTCGTGTCTCTCTAATTACTGCCCTCGGGGCGTTGTTTTGGTAAATCCAATTTATCGGAGCACGTGGTTCTAACGTAGAATGCGCGTCAAAATAATCTCGTACGAAGAGAAATTCGTGCTTGATTCGGCTTCAGGCATCAAAACAAACGGTTTTCTAATTTAATAATTCGCGGTCAGAAGACAAATTAGAGGAAATTTGGAGATCTGGCACGTTCTTAAAAATTAAAAAAGAACAAGATGTATAAAATACACAAGAAACGAGAATATTATTGGAATTAAAATTAGATCTGGTTATAGAGAGGGTTTGGTTTTTACATAGAGTTGTTAGCATTGCTGATTGGCCGACGAGTTTTGAATTGAATTACTGTGAGCTGGATTTTAAATTGAAGGCTCATAAACTCTCACCAACATGATTCAAGCATTTCAAGCTTTAACCAGAATGTCCATAGCGTTGCTAATTGAACAAAAAGGTGTGGTTGAACGAGTTTAATTTTTTTAATCTTAAGGTCAAAATAGCTATAAATATTTTATACCAAACAGATATAATAAATTATTATACTCTGTTTATAAATTATTATTAATAAATTTTTTTGTCAAAAATCAAATCTTTATTTTATGTAGGAAATATTCACTTAAATTATTAATTTACGAACGTGCTTTTAGAATCGAATCGAAACAGTCCAATTAAAAATTAATTCTGCTCAACCGCGGCGTACGTGCGCAGCCTTAACCACGGCTCCTGACTTGTCAAAATAATGAATGCGAACAATGCACATCACAATGTCACGCGGCCAGTTGCACTTTTTGACATTGGGGCTCCGGTCGCCTTGACAGTTGCAGAAGTCGAAATAATAATGCATTCCCTTCCTCGTCAAAGCGCAACGAGCGAGAAATACGCCTCGCTTTTTCCCTCCGAAGTCCGTATCACACCACGGAGGCAATTATATGTTCCAACTTTTCTTATCAAGTGTCGCGCTCGGAAACGGAAATAAAAAGCCAACGTGTCCTGTCGTGCCGCTTTCTTAATTGACGTGGAATTTTAGTAAATATTCTTCCTTAATTGTTCTTATTATATGATTTTTAGTTTATTTATTTAATTTTTTAAATTGCTCTCAAAATTATTTCTTTAAAGGAATTAAAAAAATTTTGTTTTAGAAGTTCAGAATATAAGCAAAGTCCAACACACGACGTTTCTTGTTGGCTCTTTTTTTTTCCTTATTTGGTTTGCAATTTTCACCTGAATTCACACACAGTCAGAAGACGCTAAATAGTGAACACACTTATATATTTACAAAATAAATAATAATGGCGCATAATGGTTCCGTGACAAGCAAAACGCCAAAAAAATATGCCTGTCAGCAAAAAATTGAGCTCCAATTTTCCAATTATCGCATTCTTAAGAACATTCTAGTCATAAAACTCATAAGTGATGGAAGGCAAAAAAAAAAAATATCATGTTTTCTTTTTTTAAATTTTTTTCAATGAATATTAATAGATATTTAAACCTATTTTAATTAATTCTTTTCTTTGTGTTATTATAATATATGCATATTATTATTCACAAAAATTTTAACTTATTTTTAAAACGCAAATTGACGAGTTATTTTTATTAATTTTTAGAGCAGAAATAAAAATTTTATAAATTTTAATTTACTTAAAGAAAATATAACATTACTTGCTCATAAAAATCGATTACATGAATTTGAAAATTAAAACTTCGATATTCTGGGATGCTCACACATAAATATTATTCTTTAAAGTTGCCTTAAAATTTATGTTAGGTCTCCAAATAATAATTAATTAATTATTTATATAAATGTGTTTACCATATTTACTTAATTATACATCTTAAAAACATAATTTTAAGAGCAATTTTATTATCAAACTTATTGAACGGTACCTGAAATGGAGAGAAAAAAAAATTAAAATATTCTCTAAAAAAAAAAAACTTCCATAGAGGTCGTACGGTCGAAGACCCTGGCCGGTAGCAAATTTCAAAAACCTGCTGCTCTCCGGCAATGCGAAAGTACCAAAGAGAGCTTTGAATAAAATATTCGTGGCACGCATCGCAGGCGAAGGTCGGGGATTTCCCTGAACAGGCGCGCGAGACAGGTTTTGTGTATGTTTTTTTTACTTGGCGCGCCGCGGTCTGTGAGGAAAGAAATCGCACGAAATTTCCCCCGTTCTCAATCAGGAAAACGCATCCTTGTTTCCATTCTTTATTTCTTTCTTTAGATAACGAGAATGACTGCACGCGATCCGAAGAACAAACACCAAACGGATAAAATAGCTTGCGAGTGCGACGAGAGCAGAAAGTCGGTCAATTTGTCTGCGCCGTGTTGTGTTGACTTAATTCGGCGGCAAATATTTGCATGACGTTGATTTTATTGCACTCCACGCCTGCAAAAAGCAATCGGCATAATTCGCTCAGTGGAATCAAAAGGGCGTCGACACTCAACTCGATATTTCTTCCAAGGTTGATTTTTATTTGATAAGGGACTCCAATTAAATTATTTAATTCATAAAAGAAATTAATTAAAATCATATGATTTTCTTATTTTGAAATTTACGTTCTAGCTTGAATATAAATTAGTTTTTAATTTTTACAGTTTAATTCGTCACTTCAAGATGAGCCGAATGACAAGCACTACTACCCTGGTCACTGGCTCGGTTGACTCGGTGGCGGCCAATCTCAAGGCTGAAGAGGCAGCCGCTCAAAATCCAAAACCCCGTAGACTAACACAGTACATTGCTGCAGTTTCAGGTAAGCGAAAAAATTATATATTTAATTTTGACTTCATTTTAAATACATCGAATTTATTTAAATTTATAATTATCAATCAATAAGTTAAAAATATTTTTACTACGCAGATATTTTAGAAAAAAAATCATAGATAATTCCCAGAATGATATAAAAAAGTCTGCAGAGACTTTTGCCAGGTTTATAAATTTAGTCAATTTATATTTTGTTTGAAGTTCATTTTAAAATTTCATTACTTCTTAAATTATAAATTTGATAACTCTGAGAAGTTTTTTACTTTTATTTCAAGATCTCTGAACCAAAACAAAAGTTGATTTAAAAAGAGAAAAGTTATCAAAAATAGTCCAATCAGAAATTAAATCTCAATACATCAATTAATTTCAATTTTAATTATTTTTTTTGCAGCAACGTTGGGTGCTTTTGCGTTGGGAAATGTAATCGGCTGGTCGTCGCCGGCAAGTGGTCGTCTGCAGGGCGACACGTCCGAGGTTGACTTTGACGTGTCGGCGTCCGAGTTCGCGTGGGTCGGCTCGCTGCTGACAATCGGCGCTGCCGCCTCCACTTTTCCTGCAGGCATCCTGGTCGAACGCGTTGGCCGAAAGCAGACCATGTTCTGGACTGCGCTGCCCTTCATCTTCGGATGGGCGCTCATCCTCTTTGCGTCCGGCGTCGAAATGCTTTACGCGGGACGACTTATCACTGGTAAAATTAAAAAATAATCAATCCCAATATAACATAATTATTATTTAATTGGAAAATCTAGATTAACCTATATCTATTATTTAATAACATTTCTTTTCATTAAAATTTTATGAATTTTCATCATAGCAAATTTGTGTTTTTATAATTCCATTTTTTTACATAGACTTTTCTGAAGTTTATGATATTTATCTGTTTAATTATTTTTTTAATTCATTTTCTTCTAAATCTTTTGAATGAAATGCTAACAATATTATCCCAATTTTCAACTTTCCTTATTCTCCGGAACAGGATTCTGTGGTGGCGTTTTCAGTGTGGCGTGCAATTTGTATGTGGGTGAGATTGCTGAAAAGGAGATCCGAGGCGCCCTGGGCACCCTCTTCCAACTGATGGTGGTTGTCGGCATCGAGTTTGTCTTTGTTCTCGGCGCATTTATCTCCCTAACCGCTCTCAATGCGGTCTGCTTGAGCGTGCCCGTCATTTTCGGCTTCCTCTTTTTCTGGATGCCCGAGACGCCGCAATTCCACCTCAAGATGAAGAGACGGGAAGAAGCCCACAGGTATGAAAACCTAAAAATTTTAATATAAGTTAATTATGATTAAAACTTTTTTGTTTTAATAATAATTTAATTTTAAGAGCTTGTTAAAATTTTGCGTTCTTATGTCAATTTTTGAAAATATTTAAAATTGTTTTTTAAATTTACGAACAAAATACAGTCATACAAATTAAAATATTTAAAATAATTAAAAAAAATGTAATCAATCAATTTATTTGACATGATTTGACATTTAGAATATAATTATAAAAATAACTACATACGTCTTGCATTTAAATTTTATATATTTTTACGATTATTACAATTTGCACATAAACTAACTATTTATTTTTAATGATACCATTTATGATCATGTATTTTTTTTTTATCTCAAATTATAAATTTTTTTTTACATACTTTCTAGAGCCCTGCAGTGGTTCCGTGGAGGTGCAGATTGCGAGTTTGAACTGCGCGAAATGCAGCAAAATTCTGAAAGTCAGCGCAGCGTCCCAGTGACTAGAATGCTGGACACGTTGGCCGCAAGAAGGGCCCTGATGGTGTCGATCGGTCTGATGGCCTGTCAGCAACTGTCCGGCATCAACGCCGTCGTTTTCTACACGGAAGATCTCTTCAAGGCGGCCGGTTCGTCGCTTGAGAGCCGCTACTCGGTGATTGTTGTAGGTGCCGTGCAACTCGTGGCCACCGTGGCCGCCCTGCTCGTCATCGACCGCCTTGGCCGCCGACTCCTCATGTCCGCCTCTCAGGCCGCAATGGCCGCTTGCACCCTTTTCCTCGGCGTCTACCTCTACTTTAGGTATAGAGGAATATTTTTTTTAACAATTATAATTTATATTTCATTTTACTTTACTTTTCTTATATCCCTTATCAAAAAGACATAAATTTTGTAGAAAATATTATTTTATGAAATGCAATAGAACATAAAATTAACAAGTTTTCTTTAAATAATTACTTTTCAAGAATTTTGTGATAAATTATCTTCATCAATTATGTTTCCCTTTAATATTTCATGATTTTTAATTTTGCTCTTATAATTTAAAGAGGGGTATATAAATTTTTTGTTTGAGTTTTGGTATCTTTTTAAAAATCCAAATTTCTTTTTAAATTTATATTTTTACAAAGATTTTAAGTGTATTTCATATTATTATTTTTGTTTTCAGAGAGGTAGATGAGTTAAGCGTGTCGGGATTAGGTTGGCTTCCCATACTCCTGATTTGCATCTATTTTGTTGCCTTCTCCCTCGGAGCTGGACCAATTCCGTGGTTGATGCTCGGAGAACTTTTCCCCGCAGAAATCAAAGGCTCCGCATCGGCTTTGTCAGCGTGCATCAACTGGCTAATTGCCTTCCTTGTTACCAGGTAGGCTTTCTTCATAACTTATTATATTCCTTATATTCTTTAAAATAATGCGAATTATGTTTGTTTCTTGAGCAAACACTGTAGGCATGCAAATACATTACTATAAAAACAAAACAACACATTTACATTTTTACTTATTATTTATTTAATGATTTTCCTTTCATATGTAGTATTTTATATTTATTAAATTATTTTCATTTTAAACATAAATTTTAACAATTAAATTTGTTTTTGTGATCAAATTTCATTCATGGTGATTTGAATTCAAAGTTGGCATTTCCTCAATGGGGTTTATAAATCAAATTTGTTTTTACAAAAAAATAAGTAAGTTGCAATTCCCATACTGGCAATCTGAACATCAACACATTGAAATGGGTGCTTAATAAAAATGTGAATTCAATTCATGATTCAATTCTATTCGATCAATATTCCAAGTGTAAAAACATGAAAAACATTATATCCATAAAAATAATTTTTTTCTCAGATTCTATGGGGACTTGGTGTCTTGGCTCAATGGGTCCTCAACATTTTGGATCTTTACAATCCTTCTGCTGGCAGGCTTGGCTTTCGTCCACTTCTTTGTACCTGAAACGCGCGGCAAGAGTCTCGACGACATCCAAGATATTTTGGCCAGCAAAAACTCGGCGCACAACAACCTGACGCAATTTTCGCCAAACAGCATTGCTCTCTCCAAAAAGGAGCAACACCACACTGTTGACATGCAACAACGATTTTGAGGATTTTAATCTTTTTGTGATATGAAGGAAGTCTTTTATTCTAATCGGTGTAAAGAGTTATTATTTGCTTATTTTAAACTTTGGAAACATTTTGTATTTTATAAATTGGTGCAATATATTTAAAACAATTAATCTGATATGTATGATCTTGATATATGAAGCGTGGAGCGTGGATTTTGCTTACCTCTTATCATGTGTTCTATTTTTATTATATTACGTTTCGCACACATTATTTGTTGTTCACCTGCTTTTAAATTGCCAGCAACATTTTAAATGAAGCGTTAATACTTGTCGAAATTATCAGATTTCCATCCAATAAAGCTATTTTTTCTCTCACTCAAAGATTAACTGCTGGGAACACAAGTGTATTGAATATATGATAATTTTTTTCCCAGAAATTGGTTTATTTTATTTATTGTTCAATAAAAAAATTATATAATTTTATTTTCTAAAACTGAAAACCTTTGAATTTATCTTTTTATAAACCTGTAGAGAAAGAAGTTCTTTGAAAACAACAAGTTCAGTAACATTATTTAATTCAAAAACTAAAACAAAATCAGTGAATAAGCCTACCATACTTAAAAAATTGTACCCTGGAATTAAAAAATATCATTTAAAAAAGTCAAAATATGGAAAATGGCCCATAATTTTTCAATAACAAATAATATAATGCGAGTAATCTTATTTTAAAAAAAATAACGACTGTCAAGCTCAATTAATTATAATACAAAAAAATCTTCATTACTAACCGATATATAGGCAACTTGCCAAGCGTCAGTGAAAAGCGAGTTGTTGGTCTACTGCTTCAGGCAGGTGCTCGGTTCAGACTTTACTATTAATAGACTTGAAAATAGAATGACCAAATGTGGCTCAAATTTCATGCTGCTAAATTATTAAGTTCTTATTTTTTTTTTTTTTTTTAATACAAATGTTTACAAAAAAAAATGCATAAGATCAGGATAAAATAATGTGTTGACTGAAAGTCCCAAAGCTCTGCAAACGTGACGTTTCTAATTATATTATATATTAATAATTAATTCTTGACACATAGTTTAATCAATGCACCTGTGTTCCATAAGATAATAAATGAGCTGCAGGTCAACAGGACGACGGTCGCTCTTCAAGTAATTCTTATCAATCATACCATTTTTGAGACAAAGAAAACGAGCCGTGTGCAAATTTTTGTCCGCAAAAGCCGTGTGATTTTCTTGGTGTCGGGTGAAATCGTTTTTATCGTGTATTTAAATCGCAATGCATTGCCTATGTGCATTTCATATCAGTTGATGAGCCGCACAAGATTTCTGCTTGAATTTTTCAAAAATAAGAAGAAGAAAATAACATTTGATCCAAAATTTTCATAGTAATTATTCCAACCAAAAGGCAGAAATGACAATAAAAGAACTATAAATTATACATTATCTAAGTTTTTTCATACAACTTACAACATACATTTATATCAATAAAATAATTAATCAAAAATTTTTTTATTTGAATAGAAAGTAAATTTATGAAAAAATTTTAAATGGAAATATTTATAAAAATCACTACATGAATCTATTTAAAATGCCTCAGGCCTCTCTTCTTTAACTTTTGAATACGAAAATTTAACACGCTATCGTGCGTAATCTAAGAATTCTCTGATAAAGTTTGACTGATTGATATACATATATGTATAAATACGTGCGAGTTTGTTGTGCAAGTCACAAGTTTCTAACCACCGATCCAATCACTTTTGTATGAAATGGAGGAAGATCCGTGCATGCACTTTGACATGGGTCACACCATGATGTCTGTAAGTTTCAAATTTTTTCATTTTTCTTTATTCATAAATTTTGAACCTAGACGTCTTTCCATTTTGGTTACTGCGAAAATGTGTTATTCGACACTTGGAAAATCCGAAACGAGGGCAGTTTGGTGGGATCCATGTTTGGAATTATGGCAATGGCAATTTTGTATGAAGGGCTCAAATCTCTCAGGTATTTTTTTGCTTTTTGAAACTGAATATTTTTATTTTTGTCTTTGTCAGGGAGCATCTTTTTTGGAAAGAGAGTTTGAAGAAGGTTGAAAATCTGACGCCAATAAGGTATAGTTTTGTTTTAATCTAATATAAAGCAAAATTGTATTATTATTTTTAATGTTAATTTAGAAAACTGATCTTTGGCTCTCCTCACTTGGTGCAGACTGGTTTACACGTAGTTCAGGTAATGCTGAGCTACTTTCTGATGCTGATCGTGATGTATTACAACGCGTGGCTCTTTATTTCCGTCGTCTGTGGCTCGACAATCGGCTATTACGTTTTCGGCTGGAGAAAACTCAATATGCTGCAGCAGGAATCGTCGCGAGCAAAATGCAATTGCAAGGAAAAAAGCTAAATTGATGAGAGTCATTTGATGATATTGCAGCTTGATCATGCATGATATTATTTTTTTTCCCTGAAAGTATTAATTAATTAAGTCATTCTATTGGTAAATACACCTTGTATATAAAAAACAATATAATTAAAGAATTGAAAAATTGTGTTTTAAATAAATGTTTTAATTTAAAGTCAACGGTAACTGATGCAAAAGCTAGCTACAATTTCTACGTTCAATTAAAAGAGCAAAAATAATAACTTGTAACCACCATGTAAATCGTGGAAAGTTAAATACTACTTCAGTTTGTTTTGTCTCTTGTACTATTTAAAAAGTTTTAAGAGTTTTTGAAATTTTAAATCAAGGATTTCCTCCTTTTTTTCCTTAATATGCCGTCATTATTTTTTACTTATTTATTATTATTTTTTTTTTTTGGTAAAATCTGAAAAATATAATTATGCTTGCAGACTTTTCCATTTTCAACTTGTACCTTTTTAATTAGTCAAGATTCAATAAATTTGCCATTCATCAAACAAAAACATAACTCTTTTTCACTAAAATAATTTATTCCCGTGAATTAAAAAATACAGTGATGATAATAATGGTAATTAAATTATTTCTATAACACACCAACATGTGAAATTCTTTTCTTACTTCCGGTAAACAATTTTAGCATTTTTAGCAGGTAATTATAAAAAAAACATTACGTCAACGTGCAATTAATCAGTTCGCGAATTTTTGTGTAATTTCACAGTAGAGAGAGCTGAAAAATCGTCGAGTGACATTTCCAAGTTTCTCTCTTGTTAAGAAACGTGTGCGGTGGCATATCATTGCAATTCACCAAAATAGGAAGCGGCCTGTGAGAATCAATTACTTGTAGATGAGATCACTGCAAATCGATCGAGTAAAGCAGTCTTGGATGAAAAGAGATCTGCATCGGCCGCTGCTTCCTTCGATATAATTCTCACCGCACGCGACGATCGGTGGCGGCCGGTGCGCGGAAATGAAGAGTGAAATCCTGAGAAGATTTTTGGATTTATTTCGTCCCACTGCAAAAACCGCACTTCATCAATGTTACGTGTATCCATTTCCTTGCAGCTGATAGTAAAAATGCAGAACATCGTTTTATATTCTCACTTGCGAAATATTTTCACTCGCTCAAAGACGAGATTTGATTGTCCGAAACGACCTGGGACGAACAATGCTCTATTTTTTTCTCGCGACTCTATGTGATGTAATTAAATAGAGATTGAATAATGTCGCATTGTTTGGTTTTACAATTTCAGTACAACTGTTTGTGTTTACACTGAGGAGAGTGTGGAGCTAATCTCACTGTTTTTGGTTTCGACCATTTAAAAAAAAGTTAATAAAGATTCCAAGACACACGGTTCTAAAATTTTTTAATATATACCATATTACCATATCTTTTTTTAAATTTTTGCATCTTTTATTGATACAAAAATCTTCTCTTCTTCTGAAAAACTAAATACATGTTTATTTGTTATTTATTCTGAATATTTTTGGAAGTTTATTTTAAATTCTATTATAGTACAACCCATAACCCGGTACAAGTATAGAAATAAAAGTGAAAAAAATCTATGTACTTTATGCTTTAGTTAAATGAAACTTGCATAATTGGTTTTTTGTAGTTTAGGCTGCATTACGGCGAGTAATCGGGTATTTATCGCCTCTTGGTAAATACGCGGTTATGAGTTTCAGTGAGTTGTTCACTAGCACTGTGTGCCTATTTTTCTCCCAACCAATTTTTACACAATTGATTGTACTGACTTGTTTGGAGAAAAATAAATTGAATTAAATTGAAATATTTCAAACTACTTTTTGTTATTTTTCAGCATTGATATATTACATATTATATTAAAAGATTTTGTTTCAATATTTTAAGTAAATTTAAGTTACTGCAAAAAAGAGGTAATTCATATTTTATTATCATTTTTTTTATAATAAAAACCAATTTCCTGTGCGTTTTTCTTCTAATTTCAGGGTCGAGTTGCGAGAATAGCTGAGCATTTATAAACTGGCACTATGTCAATTGAATTCAGGTTTATCTCTTTTTAACGATCTCCTGAACATAAAAGATAGAATCACACCATGCAGTTTGCATCAGTGTTGGCGCGTCAGGTTGCTCTCTTTTTCTCTCGTCGCGACAACAATTAATATAATACCCATCAACGGCCGCGTTTCACAACAAGATTTGCCTTTTCTCTCAATTTCATTAATTGCAGCTGCAATCTTCCCGTGTGCATAACACAAAAATCGTCATCATGTCATAAAAGATGTCCCGGAAGTGGCTTGTCCAAGATTCTCATTCATTATTTTCACCTTTGTTTGTTAGCAGCGAGAGCAGGGAATGAGGTAAAAATTTAATAATTTGTTTTGAATTAACTGAAGTGTGAAGGATCAACAAGAGTGAGTGACTTTTCTCATATGATGAAATGAAGTTCCGTCAATAAACAGCAAATTTTGAAAGTGAAGATGCATATATCCTTTTTCGTTATAAATTTTTGGTCTCTTTTTGGGAAATTTGGTAAATAATAGGAAAAACAAACATGAAAACTAAATTATTTTTTGTCAACAAAAGCTCCTGATATTTTTCTAATTAGGTTATTTGCCCTTAAGAAGTTATTGCAGCTACATTTTGCTGTTATTTTGATAAAGCCAGCAAATTTAGTCTTTTTATTTTCAATATTAGCTGGAAATTTTAACATTTGTGCTCATACAATTTTGAAAGTCCACCTATCATCTTGTAAAGATAAGAAAGTAAAGATAAGTTGATTTATTGAAATGAAGACTAAATTAAAATATATAAAAAAAATTAACGATTTGTCTATATAATTATCCTCTTTTTTAATTTTAGAGTCAACTGTATTGTTAATTAATAGCAGAATTAATTTTAACAACTATTGTTATCAAAAAAATGTTCTCCGTCCTTTATAAAATAATTCTTCTCTTGCAATCAAGGCATCATTCTTCTTGTCTCACTCAATGGAAAGGAAAGCAATGCATTTGAAACGGCGCTGCAACACAGAGGAGTTTGTATTGCAAGAAAAGTAGTAGGGGCCTGCGCTGGAGCTCATTCACCGCGCGCGTTGCGTCTTTCTTTCAGTTAGTTTGTTAGTTAGTCTGAATCAGTGTTCGGTGTCGGACGCATTTCTTACCTTATGTCGGTGCGGCCGGCATGCGTCGCGTGCTCGTGCTGGTGGCCGCCTTTTTCGCGGCCGCGGAAGCCGCCTCCGTGCTGCCCTACGTGATTCTGACGCCCGACTACGGCCCCCAGCGCCGCAACGACGGACCCGAGCCGGACAAAATCATGGTGGCGTGGCCGTCGGGGGTGCGACTGCCCTCCAGGCAAGTGCCCTTAAGGTTCGTGGCCGCCATGGCTGTGCCTGTCAACACGGACCCTCTTCTCACGCAAAAGGAACTGTCCGAAGTTGTCTACTACAGCAGCATGGACCTACGAAAGCTGAACAACACCCGAGGCTCCAAAGATGCGAGGAATCCTCAATCTGGGGTGAGCTTTGTTATAATTTAATTGTGTAATTGTAATACTAACACAAATTAATTTAATTTTACTGTGGTCCAATTTTTATCAAGCGATTTTTGTTCAAATATTTTAATTCGAGTTTTTTTTTATAATAAAAAGTCACTTAAAAAGTTGCAAGCTAATATTTATGAATAACGCTCAAATTTTCAGAGAAGACTAGAAAAATTATTACATTTTATTTTTCTTAAAACATAGCTTTTTGGAAATACTGCTAAAATGGTATAAAAATTTTATGTAAAGGTTGTTTAAAATCTAAAAAATTTTAAATGAGACAGACGCTATTTGCAAAAAATCTACGTTGTCACGTTGAAAAGTCCAATTTTAAATCAAAATAAAGCACTGATTTATTTAGCAAATGATATGGATTGATCTAGTTGGAAGAAACTACAGTTGCAGTAGAATAAAAATTATAATACATTAATAATTATTAAATTCAAGCACTGGTGATTCCGAGGTTGCGTGACGCAAAATGAATGAGAAAAATGTTAATTTTCAAAGAAAGGAGATAATAATGACTGATGACAAAATGACTAAACTTCCATTTAGCTAAATTATATTGTCATTTTTATACGTTTCCTCCACAATAATGGTTCATTCAGAGCCGTTTTGATGGAAACATCACGTTAAATTTTAAAAAGAAAGTGCGGATTTTGCGTTATTCTCTTCTTGTGGCAATGACTTGCACAATGCTAACACACATATTTTTCACAATTGCGCGCGTTGAAGTCTTTTGTCAGCAGCTGACGGGCTTCGCACGGTGAAACAAATAACCCAAAGCACGCCACCTCAACATTAATGCAATAAACGCAAATTTCATTAAGTAATTGACTGCAAATATAATTATATAGCTTTCTAAAAATTGTACTCTTTTTACGGATCCTTTTATATAATTAAAATACTGAGTATAGAAAAAGAATTTGTGAATTTTAGCCGTCGGTGGATCTGGTGGATTTTTATTGTGGTGCTGCTCTCCTCGCCTTAGGGCTCCAATTTCGCTTTCTTTCATTAGAGGATAATAAATGCGTCCAAACGAGAAGGTTTAATGGCGTGTGTTAGGAATATGAATGTGCAAGTAGCAGCCGCTCCGTTTCATGTATATCATTTTACCGACAGAGAAATCCGCACCAACAATTTTATATAATCTGTCGACCAGATCAGCCGGAGAGTTTTCCGCTTGAGCACTTCTTCGCTCGAGTATAAAAATAATATGTTTCACACCAGGACGATTAAAACAATGGCCAGGGCCTTGAACAATTTATAATTCAAGGTGTTTCGATTCGCACTCCGCTGCAACTGTGCCATATTAATTTCGCCGAATGCACCGGCCTAAAAGCGTAACGGTTTTTATGTTCGATAATTTCCAGAATCATTCGAGTCAGTAGGTTAATTAAGAAAAAGTAAATATAATTTTAGATGCGGCTGTTTACTCGATGCGCGGTCTGCTGAACGCGTCAAACTTTTACGATCAGGATGTTTAAATAGCACCGTCATCATAGCCAGCACCATTTATTTATAATATTATACCACAGGCACGCACCGCAGTGGAGATATTCTTTATTAGTTTTCGTGAAAATATTTCATAGAAAATATTCGACAAGCGAATACGTCACGTAGTGAATAGAGAGTAGTCCATTTTTCCAAAAAAATTGCAGTTCCGTTAAGAAAAAACAAGAAGCGCAATAAATCTTGACTTTTACCCATAACTGAAATACATTTATCATGATAAATTTTTTTAATTTTTATGACAAATATCTTAATTTGTAGTAATAATAGTATTTAAAATATAAATCAAACAATTAAATTTATATTTTTTATAATATTTTATTTTTATTTTTTTTTTATTTTAGTACTATTTATTTTATTATTAATAATAATGTGTTCATTTTTGAATATTTAGATTTTTATGAAATTAAGATTTATAAAGCAGAGGTAAAAATTTCATAAAAATCTTTTTAAAATGATCAATATTACAACGCTTATTAACATATTTTACCAAATTTATCTAACTAATAATTTTAGCAGAGTTGCCTTTGAGAGAGTTAATATATGAATTGTTTCCTGCTGTTTATGAGTTAACAATGAAGAGGGAAAATTAATAAAAAATGTGAATTCAGCTAAATTTGTCATTGTTACTAGATTTTGTGTTTGTCGCTATTTTTTAAGGTACCAAAAACTTTAGATGAAGCTTTAAAGTACGAAATTGAATAGAAACAAAAAGGTTTTTTTTACCGTTTTTGCCATTCATTTTTACTTAAAGAAATTCATTTTTAGGGTTATTTAAACTACGGTAATTTTGGCTTATTCAAAATATTATTGATTTTCATTATTATTGTTCATTTATCCACATTGTATTCATTTTTGTCAAATAAGTTTCTAATTTTATTTTCCAGACGGAGTATTACTTGGAGGAAACTGGAGATGACGATGAAGAGGACGACGAGTATTATTACGAAGATACAACAACAAACATCCCCTCGACGGTCACCCCTTTCCCTTTCGTCACAGCATCAAAAACCCTCTTAACTTCAACAGTGGCGCCGACCCCAAAGAGCACCACCATCCCTCCCTCTCCAACCACCCCTCCTACCAGAAGCACCACCCCCCGAATCCGTCCGACCACAGCACCGTTCCTTCCAACCGTGCCCACGGAGGACGTGAGGGAAATCTGGACGACGTCCGCGAGTGCAACTACCGCCGTCCGGAGGGCCTGGACGCCCAACCAGACTGCCCGTCGAGAAGACGAGTGGTCGTTGGAGGCGGAAAGCGTGGCCTACATCGTGGTGGGCACTTGTTGCGGCCTTTCGGTGCTCACTCTGGCCATCGTCCTGCTGGTATTTAAGATGCGTCGGTCGCCCCAACCGCCCCGGACGGAGTCCACGTCGGACGTTTCCTCCGAAAGGTCGGTCGGCGAGTCGTCCCTGCACCTTCCGCAGCGGCTAATCAACCTGATGAATTCTCACTCGCAAAGTGCGTCAACCCACAAGTTGGGTTCGTGGTTCAACGGCCGTCCGACGGCGCTGTCCATCCACGGACAAGGCATGGCCTTCCCCAATACACGCGTCCACAACGCCAGTCTCAATATGGACGCCCCTGAATTTGAGGAATTCCAGGTGGGAAATGACGTGTCGATGGATAGGCCGGACAGCCTGTCCGGGTCACACATCGAGGACGACTCGCTGCAGAGGCGGAACGTGCACGTGGAGGAGTTGTTGGAAGAGTTGGACGAGGCGGGCAGCAGCAGTTCAGCGCACTCGTCGCGCCACAACACGTTTATCTTCTGGTCTTCAAATAGTGACCGGCTCGTATGACTAGACGGGAAGAGTGACGATTTTTTGTGGTGAACAAACATTTAAGAAAACCGGACAGCGCGAAGCCAGTTTTGCTGCAGAGATTTGCTCATTAAAATTCACTGAAAAAAATGCATCTTCCGTTCCGTGAGAAAGTGACAATTTCATCAGTTTCAAAAGAAAGTTACCAAAAATTACAAACAAATTTAATTTTAATTCCTTCTAGATATACCTTTTTTAAATTAACTTATTATTTATGATAATTCAATTCATTGAAAATAAGTCATGGCTAAAGAGAATCAGAAAAGTTATATTCACATATTAAATTAAAATAATAACCCTTTTTATCTTGCTTATCACTTAAAAAAAAAAAATTTTATTTTCTATCTTTGATTTTGTTAAGCAGCGTATATCAGCGCATCAGTTTCTCATTGTTATAGTAAAAGGAAAATATTTTTAATTCCCATTATTATGAAGGACTAATTCAGATTAATCAAGCCAAAAATTGTAAAAAAAAAATTATAAATACGTCATTTTTACTTCTAATTTGGAAATAAGTGTTTTGGTTGCAGTAGAATCTCTTCAATTAATCCAGAAGTTAATCTACTTCCTATAATTGTACATACTTTTAAAATCTGAATTTCTATCATAACTTTGAGAAAATTAGCAACAAAAAAAATAAGGAAACAAAATTAAAATTTATCCTTGGAAAATCATTTGCAGTCGGCGCGTTTATAAAAAAAAATATATGATATGCAAATGAAATCCACACCATAATTACTTCCCAAATACTATGGTCTACAGATATGTTCAACGCAACTTTCATTTATCATGATCTCGTTGACTGCGGTGCAAAAAATTTTAAGCAGATTTATAAACCAGCATATATTTTTTTTTTCTTTAATTTGGGAGAGTTTCACTGTGAAGGCAAAAATTGTGTACACGACTTTTTAGTAATTATTGTATCTGCAACAAAAATTGCAATTCCGCCTTGAGAGTTGTATATATGCGCTTCGTTTGCTTTTAATTACATACCGGCTGACACACGCTTTGCTCTTTATATTTCTCGCAGATAACATCTTTCCCCTTTGTGCGCGACGAGCCAGTTTTTGCGCATCCGTAACTGTTAATGGTATAATAACGCTTCAAGTATTATATTTATTTCGCTCGTCTTTTGAGAATGTACAAACCGGAGCATAAGGCGCGTCTCGATCGTGCACCCAAAAATCACAATCAGCAGGAAAAGTAGAGCGCAAAAGCGTCAAAATTTACTGCTTACAGTTACAAAACCCTAATTTGACTATTCTCCAAACACGCAATCCATCATTTTGATAAAATTTCTTATTATATCATTAACTTTTCAAAGTTTCAATAAGTAGAAAAGCTTAGTAAAATAAAAACTATAATTAACTTTGAAAACGAATCAATTAACTCAAAATTTTTATTTTCATTTAATTAATTTGAATTAAAAAATATCTTTTTTTAATATTTTAAAATACATTATTAGAAAGAATTGCTCTAATATCATGATGAAATGCGCCATGATTAATATATCCACAAAGAGCCTATTTTCTACTTCTTGAATATCTGGAATAAATTCTATTGTTTTTCTGTTTTAACAAGTAAATAAGAATTGTCATTATTACGTATTATTCGTATTAATATTCAAAAAGTTTGCATTGTTTCTTTTCAGTCGTAATCAAATATTTTATTTAAATTTTGTCGCTTTTATTTATTATGATCAAATCAACATAATTTACAAAAACAGTTCCATATCACATTCATAAGTACCACATAAATATTTTTACTGAACACATCTCGTGCATTAGAATTAAACTGTATAATTATTAAAAGTGCCACTGTGTGAGAATATCAGCGTGTGATTTCTCTGATGATGGACGAGTGTATCTGTGATCCTCATAAAGGAGGACGAGTGAAAGGAATCGCAGGCAGACGCGACGTGTTTATAGGACTGCCGAAGAGGAAAGTTGATTATGACGTGTGGTGGCGCGAGCCATAATAATCTGCATAAAAAACGCACGCACATCGACGACATGCATGGATGGACAAAAAGTGAAAAACGATGAGGTTTTGTGAAGAGACTCGTTAACTTTGTGAAAACACGTCGATTTCCATAAATAAATAAAAAATACAATTTTGTGAATATGTAATTGCCACTGTGTGATTTTCTTCTAATGCTTTAAAATCGTGAATTGGCTAACTATTTTGACTTGCTGATTTTTATTTCTCCGAAGCATGAGGAGGATAAGAAATTCGCCGCGTCAGAGTTGGAGGTGCAGGAGATTTCTATTAATTATATGCGTTTAACTGTGAGAAAGAATGCTTCTCTCAATTACAAAACAAATTTCTCTAGTAAGATTACAAGAGAGTGTTCTACTAATAATTTATTCTAAGATCGTGATATATCTGCTTCAAACTGAGTCAATTTGTTATGAGACATTTGAAAATAATAATATTTTGTCTCTACAAAAAATATCTCTAATGGTTGTGTTTTTAAAGACTTTGCAGAAACCGTAATAACTGCGCGCTAGAAAAAATTTCGCGACCAAACTATGCGGGTAAAATACTATTCATTTTACATTTATCAACCATCTTTTTATTAATTCCCGTTACAAATTCATCGCAGCTTTTTATTTGTGCAGCAAAAAATTTTGCGTCTAATGAGTTTAAAAATATAGATTGAAAGCAATTTTTTTAAATGGTCACTTGTCTGTAATTTTTCAGGATTATAGCGTGAGCCCCGCCTGCTCTCCAAGAATAAATCTGCAATAAAATTAATCTTGGCTATAAACAAGCCAAAGCGGCAGACCGGATTAGGCACGTCAATTTCACTAGAATTTGCACTTTCGATTATATAGCAGTGATCGCGTGCAAGTGAGCAAAAAAAATGGTAATTTTTCAGGAGGGCCTGGTTTGATGAGAGTTGACCAATTTTGAAGGCCTGAAGAAAGAAAAGTGAGAGATGAAATTCTTATTTATAATATTATTAATATATATCGTCTCTCATCAGAGAAATTTCCATTTGAGGCGTGTAATTATATAGCAAAAGGTTTTATTTAAGAAACCTCTATAATTTTAAATTCTTGGAGCAATCTATAATTTCTAATCAAATAATTAATGAATATGTCATCCTGGAGATGATTTATTCATTAAATTAAAATATGCATTGATATGCATGGTAAATAAGATTTTTTCAATAAAGCTGTCAAAAGTTTCATCTGAATATTTATTATTTTAATTAGGCTGCGTTTGAAAAATAACATAATATTGCTGAAATTTAGTACATGTAGCTTATTTATATTTCACAATTTTCCAAAAATATATCTCTAACTATGAGAAAAAAAGAAAGGTTTAAAAGGCTGACAAAAATTAAAAAGAAAAATCATAATTTTTGAACAATTGAGAAAAAGAATTATTTCAAAAATTTACATATTTAATAATAAACTTAGGGGCAATGTTCAAGATTAAAAAAATTTGTCTAACCGTTTCCATAATTTTTATTGTTATATGGAGAGAATTCTCAAAAGGAGCATCACTTTTTCTTTTATTTTCTCTGGCGCTTCTTTTCTGACGAGAGTGATGCCACGAAATTTCACATTTTACTTCTTTTGGAGTTAAATTTTTTAAAAAGCGCCGGAACCGCGTGCATAGGACCAATTAATCTTGTCACAGATGCATGAACACGCGTACGGGCGTTAAATAATAACAACAACTGCTCACACCGCTATAATAGCGACGCCTGCTTAATATGTTTAATTCGTGTAATTATTCTGAATTTACCCACGCGCATTTTCCTTTTTATGCTCTGTTTGAGCTTTTTTTGTCTAAATTAGAATTGGTAAAAAGCAACAAGCGCACAATTTATTAGCAATTAAATTCATTAGAATAAATGTAATTAATAATGACATTAAATGAAACATTCAGTGTTTTACTGAAAAAACTCATTATTTCTAAACTTTCACCCACTTAAATTAATTTTAAATTCCTAGTAAATTTTATGTGAAGTTGAGATGTAATAAATTATACTTGTCACATAATGTTTTTTATATATAATTGTATAGAGTACTCAATATTGTTTAATAATGATAATGGGTTAATGGTTAATAATGACTGGCAAATAAGGATTATGAATTAATTAGCAAAGCACTGCTGGGTTTTATCATACAAAATACTTTTAAAAATTTATACACCTTTTTTATTTTAGTATTATGTATTTTATGCTATAAAGCAGAAAACTAAAAATAATCTTTAAAGGCAGGAAACCAAAATTTATAATAGTTTGAGCAATAAGAAAATAATTGAATTGTAAAATAGTTATATAACTTACATAACTTACAATTAAAAAAAGAAATAATGGAATTACAAAATAAAAATTTAATTATCATTATCATTGATAAATTTTCTTTTAAGCAAAAGGAAGTTTTAGAACAAAATCGATGCTTTTTTTAAGGATGCAATGCGCAGGGAAACATTGACCTAGAAATAAGAAATTAAATTTCACGGTTAACAATGATTCTCATAAAATGGCTTATTATGTGATTAATATGTGAGATCGGCGGCACGTATGGTACCGGGGCGAAAGCAGCGAGTATTAAAACGTCAGCCGCGGCGGCGCTCCAATTGAGTGGGAAAGTCTCTATTCATCTTGCACTAATATTGTATCCGTGATGCATTCTGAGAGCCGCCGAGATGATGCACATTTTGGTGAGAGAAAATTATAACACTCGCTCCTATATGTGTGAGTGATAGACTGGTCGAACGTATTGGGATATTTATGGACCAAATTAGGAGAGAAAGATCATGTGGTTGGGAGAGATGGAGTGAAGGAGTTATGGAGAGAGAGAAATTACAATCAAATAAAATTCTCCCTAATATTTGGCTAACTGGCTCTGATTTTAATGAGCAGCATGAAGTAATTTTGGCTTTTTTATATTAAATTTGGTTTATGCATTTTTTAACATTATATCAACCGCACAAAGGCTGTAAATTATTTTATTTATTTATGATTATATGAATTTAAAAAATTGACATGTTCTTAGTTCTTATTATTTTTTCTTTTTCAGCACAAACATCTAAAATTAATGAAAAAAAAAAACACTTACCTGACAAAATCAAATTTCGTTTTATCGGTTAGTGTGTAGAATAAAAATTTATATCTTTTTTACTAGTTAATATTAAAAGAGGAGAAAAATGGTCTTGAGTCTTAATCAGAAATAGTTTTTGTATTGCAAATTTTTGAAATTTTTCTAAGCCATCACTTTTTGGCGCTTGAGGAGCCACTGTTCAGATAGCTGAACAAAAAAAATCAGCGGTTCCAAGGCCGTGCGTGACGTCACTGCTACTTCACGTCCCCAGCTGATCGGGGGCCGGTCGTCGTGTTTTTCTCTCTCTCTCATTTTTGCTTATTTTCGCCCACAACTTTCGATTTCCTTTGCATTTATTCCCTAGCATTTGGCCCCTGGGTTGACCTTCGACCCCACAATGGCTTCCCGAATCTGTTCGCTGGCCGGAAGAGGCCTCCGACAAATCCTTTTGGTGAGCACTGAAAAAATCAAAACTCTGTCTCTAAACTTTTTGACAATTAATCCGAATCGAATTTCAGCCGAAATACTCACAACAATCCTTTGTGCGGAGTTTGCGGGTGTCGCCACACTTGCTGGCCACGGTGCCATTCAACCTGTCGGACATCGGCGAGGGCATCAAAGAAGTGACCGTCAAAGAATGGTTTGTCGAGGAGGGCCAGAAAGTGGCGCAATTTGATAATATCTGCGAGGTGCAGAGCGACAAGGCCTCGGTCACAATCACCAGTCGCTTCGACGGTGTTGTCAAAAAGCTGCACTACAAGGTCGAGGACGTGGCCCTCGTTGGAAAGCCTCTGGTTGACATAGAAGTTGACGGTTCTGAGGAGGAAAAGTCTTCCAGCTCATCTTCGAGCAGTTCTTCAGGTTTGCTATAAAAATCTAACTTGGACTCAATAAATTCATAATAATTGGATTTGAAATCTTTCAGACAGTGACGGTGAAATAAAGACAACAGCTCCTGAGTTAAGTGCAGAGGAATTGATGCCAACTCTTTTCAAATCCCTGGCAACCCCAGCTGTCCGCAGAATAGCCATGGAACACAAAGTATTTAATATTTTATCAGAAAATCGATAGAAAGAATACATTAAAAAATTTCAGATCCAATTGGTTGATATCAATGGAACTGGTAGAGGGGGCAGAGTTCTTAAAGAAGATATTTTGGCCTTCATCGATGCGAAAAAAGGACCTCCGAAAGTTGTCTGCAAGGCCGAGGAGGACAGGGTCGAGCCCATCAAGGGTGTCATGAAGGGAATGGCCAGAACCATGACCGCTGCTTTAGTAAGTGGATAAAAACTTTTATCATGTCAAACAAAACTCATCATTTGGAACAAGAGTCAGTAAATCTATCATAATAATTAATTATTGCAGCTTGATTTTGTGAACGTAATCAAATTTTATTATAAGACCTTTTTTTAAATCCTAAATTAATGCTAGAAAAAGAGTATTTTAATTTTTCCTTTAATTTTTTTTTTCAAAATTCCCTTATCGGCCGTGCTCGAGACCATTGGTCTCGGCCGGTCTCGGTAGGTTTAAGGTCCATATACGCATTTTTTTTTTTAATTATGAAATAATTTTGTTTCTCATTTTTTAAATTTTGTTTTTTATTCTAGGAAATACCTCACTTTGTGTACAGCGACGAAATCAATGTTGACAATCTGGTCAGTGTCCGGCAGCAGCTGAAGGAGGCCTCGTTCAGTCGAGGCGGAGTCAAACTCACCTACATGCCTTTCCTGATCAAGGCAGCCTCCCTGGCGCTCAAACACTTCCCAGTCGTCAACTCCTCTGTGGACAGCAAGTGCGAAAACATAATTTACAAGGCAGACCACAACATCGGCGTCGCCATGGACACTCCTCTCGGACTTGTCGTGCCCAACATAAAAAAGGTCCAGTCCCTGTCGGTCTTTGACGTTGCTGCCGAACTCAATAGACTGATGGTACTTGGCATGAAAGGCTCCTTGAAGCAGGAGGACATCACTGGAGGAACATTTAGCCTTTCAAATATTGGGATTGTAAGTTTCGACTTAAAATTTACACAATTATGCAATGACTAAAAAAAAATCTTCAAATTTTTCCATGTTTTACCTTGTTCTTCTTATTTATAATTGTAGATTTAACATGTATTGTGCCCAAGGTTAATTGAATCTTATGTGTCATATTTTCAATTAGATTCTTGGATTTAGATATAAAACTAAAATATTTTATTCTTCAGATTGGTGGAACGTACACAAAACCTGTAATTCTCCCGCCAGAAGTGGCAATCGGCGGCATTGGCAAAATTCAAAAGTTACCACGATTCGACTCTACCGGTAATGTGGTTGCGGCAAACATCATGGTTGTCAGCTGGGCGGCTGACCACAGAGTGCTGGACGGCGTCACTATGGCCAAATTCTCCAACATGTGGAAGCACTACGTGGAGAATCCTCACAGCATGCTGCTCGACCTCAAGTAAAAATTGCAGCTGTTTATATATAATTTTTTTTCTTCATTTATTCGAATCAAAAGCTATTATAGAAATATATTTAAAGACTAGGCAAGCTCAATTTTGCAACCTGCTGAGGAATGAAAAAGTGCCATTATGACAGATTTATTTTTATATTCTTGCCCGAATCCTTTGCAAATTAATCCCTGCCAAGTCTTGCTCGGTTTAATGTAAACCATGACAAGTGTCAAAATTTCAAATTTACAAGTCGGAAAGCAGCTCAGGAGAATCTCGAAAGTGCCTTATTATAACATTATACAAAAGAAGAATCTATTTTTTAAATTTGTTGCCATGATTTAACTGTTTTTGTAGAAAACGTTGACAATAAAATCTGAAAGTTATCATGTATGTATAATTGTTGAAACAATCCGCTTGTTATTTGTTATTCCTCAAATTAAATAATAATAATTGTTACATTAATAATTAGGTTTTTCAGTATAATTAAACTAAATTTAGTGCATTGTTGAAACGTGTTTTTTATTTATTTTATTGTAGGAGTCACCGCGCAAATAAAAAATTTACATGCGTCTTACATTACACGAAGTATCAAACTTGTATGTATTTTTTTCACCATGAGAATCAAGCGTACTTGAAATTTGTATCATCGAGAAACAAAATCTCACATTCTTGTTATTCTTTCTTTTTTGAATTGGGAACACATTGAGGAGGAAACAAAAAATCATATCAATTAATCAATGTATGCAGTAAACAGCAGCTCTCTCAGAAAGGAAGAAATTGTTGTTTCGAGACAATCATCAGTCATATTATTTTATATGTAATTATATATAATTAACAATCGAATGACTTATTATGTACACTCATATTTCATAGACATAACAACTTTTGTTTCTTTTCGCTTATGTACCTGTTGTTTTTATGCTCTAATATGATTTTTAAGGTTTACACTCACACAGCAAGTACTGGAAATGTTTGTTAACCGCACAGACAACAGAAGAACAACAGAAATCGGCTCCATCAATTTTTTTTCACATACTGCTCTGTCATTATGGAGTTTGGGATAATCATTCGTTTTTAATTACGCTTAAAATTCTGTATATAGATTTGTAATTTTTGACGAGTAGCTCGTGCGCGTGGTAAAACCAACTGGCAAAACTTTTTTACACTAATGCTCAACGCAATTAGGGGTCAAACGAAGGAATGCATTTCATGCAACTGGGGATTAGTTGATTTTACAACGAACACGGAGCAGTAGTTTTTTTAAAAAACACCAAACCGAAATATCCAGGGGCAAATTGTCTAACTTGCTATAGCTTGAATATTACGAGTTTTTATACAAATTTTAAATCTCCCTAAGAATTTAAGAGGTGCGCGTTATTTAATATTTACGACTCTCTGCCTAGGGTGACTCTCTTCATTTTTAAAGCTCCCTTACAATGGAAATGTAATTTAACTGGAAGCAAGTCAAGTAATAAAAAGAAATAACAAAACGAATCACGCCACATACAAATGAAATTCACAATTTTTCTCAGCACAGATGAACCAAAATTTACATTTGGAAAATGCATATCTGTTTACGCAGGAAGTGCACTTTTCACTAAAAATTCAACACTTTTTTTTCACTGACACGTGATTGAAACTTTTGGCAACCGGAGTTGATCATTAAACGATAATTTGTACGAGACGTGAGGCGCAAATTGAGCTTTAATACAGTGGACCTTCGTCCCGGAACTCATTCATGAGACCACAATATGATGGATGAACAAAACGGTAATGCAATTGAGATACATTAATAAAATGCACATAATTTGGCGAGAAGACAAATGAACTGCAATCAATGAATTAACAATTAATCAGTCATACATTCATAATGTGACTAGGAATGCATCTAGAACAATTCTATTGGAACATGAAACACCAAATAGTCCCTCGTCCGCGCCGCTCATGGCTTGAGCGCCTTCCGAAGCAATCAATGTTTTTTAAGTACTTTGTACTGCCCTTGGCCAGAATTGCAGACACTCAGATCAGGGTCTTTGACCATGTCATAATTTCAAAAAATCATATAAAAACATCAAAAAAATTTCCGAGGCGTAGTCAAATGAAATTAAAAAAGAAAAAAAAAATTACAAAAAACGTAGTAACAATCAGAAACTTTAAAATTTTAATGAGGCCAAAACCCAATCTTGGAGCTCTATTACTTTTTCTTCCCAGCCTTGCCATTCATTTTCTTGGCGACTTTGGGTGCTGTGGGACCGCAACAGGCGCAAGACGTCCTGGGCTTCACCGCCCTCTTTGCCTTGGCGGCCTCATCACCTGAGCCGTCCGTGTCCGCAGCCTCATCCTCCTTCCTGCTTTTCAAGGCCGCAAACGGCCTCGTCAGACACAATTTCCGGCGTTTAGGAGACTCGTCGCCAGCAGCGCTGCTATCCTCACTTCCTCCGTCAGTGGCGGCACCACGACCATTGACCTCGGCGCCGTTTCGACGCCGCTGTTGTTGCTGCTGCTGTTGCTGCTGATGACAAGTGTCTAAGTATGAGAGACTGGAGTCGCTGTTATTGGACAATTCAAAGGGCAGGTCGGCGTCAGGAAAGAGTTCAGAGGTACTGGGTGCATCCACGCCCAGGTCCTCACACTCCTCGGACAAGCTTTTCTGCATGTTGTCTTGACGCACAAGTCTGCGTTTCTTTTCCTGCAGGGGCGTGGTGCACTTTGCCGGCACCGACTTGACCCTCAAAGGCGCGGCAGCTTTGGTTTCTGGGACGGGAGACTGTGATGCTGAATGGGCATTGGTTTCTTCTTCTTCCTCCTCGCCTGAAATGAATTGGAAATTTTAATTCAAAATATTGTTATAAATTAATTATTAATTTGGTTAGTAGGATTATGTAATTGATTGTGTACATTTAACTTTAAACTACTTGATAATTAATGGAGATTTTAAACAACAAAATGTGTCAGCAGAAAAGAACATTTGGTTTTAATTTGACATTAATTTATTTTGGAATAGTGATTAAAAATTGAAAAACTGATTTAGAGAAAAACTCAACATTTCTCATACTGAGAGTCTTTAGGTAAACCAAAACCAATAGCTCCAATCCAAAAGTGTTTTGTTAGTTTGTAAGTAAATTAATCTATCAACTTGTGTGACTACCTGTGCAAACTTAACATGTCCGTTGCTTCGGCCTTATTAAAACACGAACTAAAACAAGAGAAATGAAAAGAAACAAATGAAAAAAAGTAAAAACCAACAACTGAAAATTTCCAAACTCTTCTCACAAAGGCCAACTTACTTGGCTCAACCTTGACGTGCTCCTCAACCTGAGTCTTCAAGGTTTCTCCCTGCAGCAGGGTCTCGATCAAAGTGTTGTCCACCTCCTTTTTGATGCCCTGAGAGGCAAACGGCATTACAACTGGCTGCTGCGTCTGCACCCCTGACAAAGACTGCGTCGACATGACTGGAAGCTTGACACTTCTGACGGACTGGAAGTTGATCAACTGCTCGGGCTTGCACATCTGCTGCAGCAGCAAGGTTGGCGCCGAGGTGAGCGCCCGCAGGTTGCTGTTGTGCGCTGGAATGACCCGGAACAACTTTTGGCCTGGAGTCTTCCCAACAACCTGCAACAGAAGAAAATTTTATGGTTATAACATTAATTATCCAGCAAGTGAAATAGAAAAAGGTAAAAAAATCCAACAAAAGTTATAAATGAAAGAGGAAAATAAAAGGAGAGGCATAGGGCAATAAGATCAAAATTTTATTTTAAAATGAGAGTCAAGACTTTAAGAGAAAGGATGAAATAATGATACAAATCAGCGTTAAAAATATTTTTAGAAACACACATAAATCAAATAAAGAATATCGGCAGCACACAAGGTAAAACACACTCATAAAATATAAAACCATATTAAAAAGTCTGAAGAAGAGCATCATTTTAAACAATGAACCACTTCTTCAACATCATGAAATGTTATATATATTTAAAATTTAACACATGGCATAGAGAGGTTTTACGTAAAGGAAACAGATCTATATGGTGCACAATGGTGCAGAAAAAAGTAAACAAGGACAATAAAGGTAACCAAAAACGTCAAAACACTAATAATTGAAAATTAATAAAAATAGCATTCAACAAGTTTTCAGGAGCTTTAGACTGACCATTAGTTGCCTCTGCAGGACGAGCGGTTTTGACTGTGAAACTGGAATGGCAATAGCAACAGTGGGGGCGGGCTGTGGAGGCGGCTCTACAGCTGGAGGAGCAGGGGGCGACTCGGCAGGTAAGGACGAGCCAGATTCGCTGACCGAGTCGTGCTCCTCGCTGTCCTGGGCCAAGTTGCTCGAACTGTCCTCACTTGGCACATGCTCGTCAGCCTCTTTGGCCTTCTTCTTGCGCTTTGGGCTTGGGTTGGTGGGCGGGTTTGAACGCCTCCTGGGGGCAGGCTTGTTGTTGAGGTCAGGCGAGTTTCTCAACTGCTCGGTGTATTCGCTCAGAATTTCATAAATACGCTTCTGCGTCTGCTCGTCCTCTACAGAGGCCTTTGGAGGAGTCTTGGTGGGGGCGGCTGCTTTCGGTGTGGAACTTGAAGAAGCAGGGGCGGGAGAGTTTGTGCTCAGGGGAGGGGACGTTGTTGAAGTGGCCACCGTCGCCTTCGGAGGAGGCACTTTCTTGGCAGGCGCTGCTTTCGAGACGGTTGCTGTCGTCTTTGGGAAGGCAAGAGGGGGCGGCTGCGAAAAGTGGGCTGTAGTGGGGGTTGTAGTCACCACTGTTGTCACCGTGGGGGTGGGTGTTGGGGCTGGTGGGGTTGGCGTGGCAGCTGGTTCTGGCCGGTTGTTGCTGCTGCCGTCTCGCTCCTTCACACTTCTCAAGACGGCGTCAAACTCCCGCAGCTCGTTTTCCAACTGGCTGTTATTAGAAGGAGCAGGGGTTGCTTCTTGGGGTCTCTTGACAGGCCGTTTGAGCCCCGAGGTGCCGGGCTGGACTTCAGGCCTGAGTCTGTCTGTCAGGATGATGTTTGAGCCTTGCTTGAAGCACATTATTCTGCCCTCCCGACCTGCCAGGGCGGAAGCCAGTTGAGGGTGTGCCTGAATGAGGGCCTCCAAACTGCTCTGCGTGATTTGGACAGGGGTGGCCATTCGAAGAAGACTTGCTTGATTTGTCACAGTCCTAGACTGGCCAGATGTGACTTGCTGCTGTTGGACTGGCTGCGAAGTGGCCACTGCTTGCTGCACTGCAGGAGTTGGTTGCGCAGGAGGCTGAGGGGCTGCTTGTGGGGTAACCTGAGGAGTCCCCTGGGTTTGAGGCTGCTGCTGGAAATTCTTTCCAAAGACCTGCTGGAACTTTGGTAGTTGCTCTGTTGGAGCAGTGTTGGTTGCTGGACCGTTTGACGGCTGCTGCGGAGGTGGGGGCGGTTCAGGAGGCGGCTGGCTGACTGTCGGGGAAGAGTTTGTCTGTGGCGGTGGTACTCCTTGACCAACCTGCACCACCTGAAGAATTACAATAGATATTATTACTAATTGAATAAACTCTAAAATAGAATATTAAAAAAATTAAAAAAAAAAACCTTTAATTTCATATTTTTTTAAGTCACATCTGTAAATTTTAGAATTATAATTAACTTTTAAATTAAACAAAAGATTTTATCATTAAAAAACGCGTGGTTTTTTACCTGAACAGTCGGATTTAGCGGAGCAGGTGTGAAGTTTTCCATTGATCTGATTCCCGGAACAATAGCCAATAGTCTCTTGTGAGACAAGGAGGACAGTCCGTTTCTGATGATGCTCACCTTGACCTTTGGCTGCAGGTTCTGGCCTGCTAAGCTAGGCGCACTTTCCTTCACTGCTGTGCTATTGTGCTTGAGAATTCGTAGTTTGCTGATCAGATCCAAGTTAGGTTTCCTATTGCCAAACTCTGGCTTGGGATCCTTAGTTCGCGATGGGTATGTGTAACGCACAGGTTGCGTCAGCTGTGGTTCAGAGTTAGATTCGCCCTCACTGCTACTCACTACCAATACTGTTCTCTGATATACATCCAAATCATCCGAAAAGTCTGATTCGGATGAGGACACAGTCCGCACCTTCTTTGGCTTGGGTTCACCATCGGAGTAATTGTCGCTCAACCCAAAGTCAATCTCTTCATACCCGTCAGACTCCTTTGCTCTGTTTCTCCGCGTCAGTCTGTCTTGGTGGATATCCTCGTAGTCCATGTAGACAGGCACCTGTCATGAATAAAGAAGTCAATAACTTTGCAAAAAACAATTATATCTTTATTTATTTCCTTACCTTTGCATGCTTCAGCTCCTCTTTTTTGTACCTAACCCTCTCAGGGTCCTTGAGGTACTCTGTGCAGAGATTCTTCAGCTCATCCCATTTGGTTTCCCACTTGAGCAGCTGCCACCGAGCTGAGTTCAGAATGATAAGGAGATCGTCACACACATCATCATTGCAGCCTATTGTTTCTCCAGTGAGACTCAGCATGCCGACTGCTCCATTGGCATCTTCGTTTGGCGCAATCTTCTCCAGTTCATCAAGTCCCTCGGGTGTTGGTCGCAAGGAGAAGGCAGTGAGCAGGCACTCTCGGTAGGCGGCCATGCAGTCTTGCACCAAGTCTCCGAGCAGGAGGAACTCCTCGGCCAGTCTGTGTTCGGCCTCCAGAACTTCTCGTTTCAGATCGGCTCTCACTTTATCGATGTCGGGCTCCTCACCAGACTCAGTGGCCACTTTCAAATTGTCTCTGTCCTGAATGTGCTTTTTAACCTCATTGTGACCTTCGTTTAATCGTCGAATTATCATCTGTAGAAGGTCGCTGTTTAGGTAGGAACGAGGCCCAAGCTAAAATCGTGTTTTAGAGGGAATAAAGTAAATTCATTTCATGATAGTTTTTTAACCGACCTGGGTTTGGATTGCCTTGCACATGAGATATGCGTGAAGAGTGGATGCGGCCGTGTCTCCGTACCGAGTGATCTGCATTTGCATCTCCGATTCGGGTGTTGCCCACTCCATGTTCAGCGCAAGCCACTTCTTGGCCACAACAAACACCTGATCCTCTTCAGATTTGAGAACACTTTCTTTGACCAACACTTGAGTTAGCAGGTGGTTAATGATGGACTGGCTGGCTCGCTTCATCCCATTTTTCTTGAGGAGAGTACTCGGCGCCAGAGTTTCGAGCCGAGAGTACCTCTGGAGAAGTTGCAGTCCATACTCTACTTTCAGATCATGAAGAACCTGAAATGGTAAATGAAGTTTTTTGAAAACGCTCTGATTCAGTTTTCCAAAATATCTACCTCCTCGCAAAACTCCTTGATGAGTTTGAATTTGTACAGTAGACCCACATAGTAGTCGAAAAAGAGGTTTTGATCCTCCTCTTCCAGGTTTTGCAGACATTTCATGCAAACCCTGGCCAGGTTCAGTGCCAAGAAGGCAGAGGCTTTTACCAGAATGGACAGTCTAGTGGTCAGCACTTCTACAGGCTGCGAGTTAATATACTCCACAACTGAAAACGATTGAAAATAATTAATAAAAAAATCATTTTGCCTTTAAAATAAGGTCTTACTTTGATTATTCAAGACTGGATAAGCTGGAGGCAGCTGCTTGCTTTCGCTGTCCAGCTTGTCTCCTTTCGCAGTCTGAATGGTGCTGTTCAGAAACTCGACTAGCGTACTGTCCCATGGGTCTTTGATTAGTCTGGCTAATATTCTACATCTCTCTGAGGCTAAAGGAGACTTTTTCTCTAATTTATTGGCACATGTCTCGAGGACAGTTAGTAGACAGGTTTTGTTGATTTTTGGAATTTTCTCCCAATTTATCGAGAGGATCACTTCAAGTGTTTTCCTGCGAATCAGAAAAAGGCAAAATAAAATTTAAAAAAACCTCCGCTAGATTGATTTTGAATTAAATTTGCATACCTGTACAACTCTTCGTGATCTTTCTGAAACATGGTGACCTCATGCACTTGTCCAGCAATTCCGCCAAGGGGCTCCCAGATATTGCTGTACAAATCTTGTATAACTTTATCGTCGCTTTTGGTCTGGTCAATCTGACGGGTATGGTTTACAATTTTCTAAAACAAAGCAGGTGGAGAATAAATCAAACGCTTGACCAAACAAGAGCTGGCGAACACCAAAAATTAATGAAAAAAATAAGTCAAAATAATCGGAGAGCAAGCAAAATCGCAACAGGAAAACGCAAAACAATATACTAGGAGAACCGAAAAAAACTGACGCCGGGGGTGAAACGAAAAGTATTAACTGGGTCCTCGAAAGGACGAATCTCAACCAAAAGACACGACATAGTTGGCGGAATCGGCCCTCACCGCAAAGAGGTAGAACAGGGACGACATTCAGCGACTCGAACCGCATCCAGGACGACCGCGTTCCTTCAAAGACAGACCAAAGTTTGCTTAATTAGTGTGGGAAAAGGGGTTGGGGCGGCTTTTCGGCGCCGCCGGACGAATTCGCAAATGCCACGGCCGACGGGGGTTGGTTCCCATTTTCAGAACATGGCGGACCTCTGTTATTATTAATACACCCCGACCCTCCGAGGGTGGAGGGTAGCTGCTGTCACATTCGGCCCGTTCAAAAGCCCTGAAGGTGGCACGCAGCCCGATTGCCGACCCTCTGGAAACGCCCTGAGTGCCCACAACGCACCTGCCAGACCGGGAAGTGGGCGCCGTGATGCCTGCTAATCACATTCCGGCCGCTTTGCTCATCCGCGGACATCTTTTTCGGAAAAACACTACACTCGTTCTCACGACGAAAGCAGCATCAGGGGTTGGAAAATCACACGAAATTCTTAACGAATCCACCCCCAGATGGCTCTGCTGCACGAACCCGCTTGCTTTCGCAAACAAACAGAAAGATTTGCACCTTTTTTGCCAACCAAACAAAATTAACTTTTAATTATGATCCTCAATTTGGTAATGATATTGATTTAATTACACACAAAAATATTTGAAAAATGTTTTTTTTTTAATATCATTGTGATTTAAGGTTTTAAACGATGAATAAAATTAATATTACTTTGTGAATTCACTGTATTTTGGTTAAGTTGTCTGCAGGGTTTAAAGCCCTCCACCGACAGATGGCAACACCCAACTTGCCGCAGGCCTGCTTTTAGATCCGTGCTCTTCTTATTAAATTATTTTCCTCATGTAAATAAGCCGTGGATCCTATTCGAGTCGCAGTTTTTCTTCATTTTCCGCCACAATGAACGGCCGGACGCCCAAGTCGTCGCTGATCACTGACGACTACGAGATCTCAGACAAGGTTCTGGGCCTCGGCATCAACGGCAAAGTGCTTCAGTGCTTCAGCAAACAGACCCGCCAGAAGTTTGCTCTCAAGGTAAAACGCGATAATGTATAGTTAACTCGATGGTGTGGTTTATTTGCATTCATGATTCACCATCGAGTCAATAATCAGTGACTTTTAATCAATTGAAATTTGGTGCAGGTGCTTCATGACTGCGTTAAAGCGAGACGTGAGGTCGACTTGCACTGGAGAGCCAGCGGGTGCCGGCACATCGTCAACATCATCAATGTCTACGAGAACTCCTACGGCGGACAAAAGTGCCTCTTGGTGGTCATGGAGTGGTCTGTTATCAGTTGCAAATCCTTGCGTTAAATTTACTTGCCGTTTTTATATTCAGCATGGAGGGAGGCGAGTTGTTCCAAAGAATTCAGGACAGACAGGATGGTGCTTTCAATGAAAGAGGTATGCTTTCCTTAACCCATCACTCTTAATTCATGGGAGGTTGAACAAAGGATAAGTTCTAAGGCCTGAAATGGCTTTGACTGTATGGGGAATTTATTGGCTTCTCTTATTCTAAATGTGGACAGCTGTTTGTGAAACTGTGCTGCTCAGAAAAGATCTAGATTACATAATAGGAGAGAAACCTTTTAAGAAGAAGTTACAATCCAATGTGCATAACATGCATAATATGAAAGGTAATAGTTAAGTGCTGGTTAAATAAGTTTAAAAATTGTAGCTTATTCAATAATTTTGTATCAACAAAACGCTTCATGTTATCATAGTCAGAATAAAATTTGATAACACAGACTTCTTTGGGTTGAGTGGGTAATTAGTCTAATTAGTACCTAATAGTATCTAATTTAATTAGTATATTTAGTCTGTGTTTGTTAAAAATGGAGGTTGGTCAGTTAAGGTAAAAATCAACAGTTCAAAGTTGGAAGAATAAAATGAGATGCCATTATTTAAATTAATTCTGCTTAGAGTTATCAGTCTGATTTTAGTATAGATTTGTGAAGTTATTTTTATCAAATTTATCAAAACTCTGTAACCCATTTTAAATTTTATATTTAAATTCTTGATTTTAATTAGTATGCATCATAATTACAGAGGCTGCACAGATCATGAGAGAAATCTGTTTAGCGGTTAAATACCTGCATGACATGAACATAGCGCACCGAGACCTGAAACCGGAGAACCTTCTTTACACAAAACCTGGTAATTTTCTCACATTTTATACAATTGTAAAAATTTACATTAGACTTTATTCTCTAAGGTGACGAAGGCATCCTGAAGTTGACAGACTTTGGCTTTGCGAAGGAGACGTTTACAAAAGACACTCTGCAAACACCATGTTACACCCCATACTACGTTGCACCTGAAGTTTTAGGGCCAGAAAAATATGACAAGAGCTGTGATATGTGGTCTCTTGGTGTGATAATGTACATTTTGTAAGTCCGCATTAATATTTACTGAGACTGTTTTCAATATTTTGTGTCAACTCTAGATTATGTGGGTTCCCTCCATTCTACAGCAACCACGGTCTGGCCATCTCGCCAGGTATGAAGAAGCGGATCCGCATGGGCCAGTTTGACTTCCCAGAACCTGAGTGGAAGCACGTCTCTCAAGACGCCAAAGACCTCATCAAAGGCATGCTCTGTATTGATCCCACACAGCGACTTGACATTGATCAAGTCATGAGCAACAAATGGATTGCTGTGAGTTGAAAATAACTATGTTAATTTTTTTCTCGGAGATAATCTTGAAATGTAAAATTTGGGATAATTATATGAATTGACTTTTGCTTCCTTTTCTCTTTTCAGCAATACACTGAAGTGCCTCAAACACCATTGTACACCGGCCGATTGTTGAAAGAAGGTGAGGAAATGTGGCCTGAGGTGCAGGAGGAGATGACTCGTTCGTTGGCCACAATGCGAGTTGACTACGATCAGGTGCAGGTAAAAAATCTAGAGCTGTCCAACAACCCTCTGCTCAACAAGCGTAGGAGAAGGGCAGAAGAAACTGCAGCCAATTAACTAACAGTATCGTCTTCCCGTAATGATTAAATCTACACATTTTTCTGTTACATCATTTTAACAGCCTTCAGAAGGCCACCCATGAAAGAGTGATGATTTCGCTGTTTTACCCCCTTGATTCAAATTGAAAACATCTCCCTTGCAAAGAAAGGGAGCCGATATGTATTAACCCAATACTTAACTAACACACTATCAAAAAAGATTCAAGTGCGGAACTGCATTAAAGACAGTCAAAGTACACACGGTTGTCTTTGTCACTTTTCTATTAGAAACGTGATTTTTTTTTATTATTTCCTTCCATATTTTAAACAGAACTGTTTTTCGACATTTTATTCTTTATTTTTGTCTTGTTCGGATGAGAAATTGTGTGATATAATCTGGAGTTCTTGCTAGAATTGAAATTTATTGTATTGGCAAACTGAAATAAAAATGAGCTTTAAATAACGCACACAAGTTGAATTGAACGTATTTCATGCAACAACCATGATAAAATGATAAAAAAATATATATCTAAGATCAAAGACACTTTTATTTTACATCTTAAAATTTCATATATTTTAGTCACATGTATTAAAGGATAAAATATAATCTTTTGATATATGCAAAAATTTTGCATCTCAACAACCATTTATCAATAAGGCACATTTTTGGCAAATTTAAGACATCGTCTCAATTCTCCGTGTGAATTTTACCGAATTTCCGAGTTTGGGCAAATAATAAATTTATTCTTGATACACAGAGGTACGATAAAAAATTGTTTCATAATTAGGACAAATTCGACAGCAAGGCTGTAGCAATATTAAGTTATATATATATATATATATTTCATTAAAGTTTACTTCGTTAGTATTTATTTGAAAAATTCATCAAAACATTGTTAGTATTCATTTACAAATTTTTTTGATCAAACATTTTTATGGAATAGACCTTAACATATTAAGTTCTTCTGTTAAAACGCTGGCTGAATTTTAACCAGCCGGCTAGATTAACAGCAGAGACTTGTTCAGTCTTGAAGCAGCGCGGCGCCAAAATTGACTCTGGAGGCGCCGTCGCCGGCATGTCAGCAATTTGGCCGGACGACCCGAATTGGAGGTAATTACGCGGCGGAACCAAAGCTAGGCCGAGCTAATATTTCCAGTGGCACACGCTTAATGGGATGACAAGTGAGGCCTTTCTGGCCCCGCTTCCGAGAGGGATGAGGCTGGAATTATTAATGCGGGTCGAACGAGACGCGAACTTTGTGCAGGTCATTACGCCCTGCACTGTCAGACAATAAGGGCCTTGGGTTCTTGACACAAAGAACGTACGCTGCACGCATACCCGCTAAAGAGCCCGACCGAGACCCCAGGAGGGGTTTTCTGATCTAGTTTCCACTCACTGTCGGAGAGCCCTGCTAACTTCTCTTGTCTACAAAGTCTCCCTCGGGAGATGCAAGTGGTAAAATATAGAGAGTTCAAGTGAGAGAAATGAATAGGTGCTAAAGTTGTCAAGTATTATTTTGCATGTAAGTTATTTTAAACTTTATAACATGGCCTTTTTATTTTAAAATTAAACTCTTTATTTAATCCATATTAGATTACAAAGTTTGCTCTTTGGGTAAAGCAATTAGCCCTAAATAAATTAATGACGTCGTTAGTTGGTATTCGAAAGTCGCTTTCAAACTCTCATCCCCAAATTCCCGAGCGCGCTCTTGAGCTCCGAAGGCGAGTACTTGAAACTTTTATTATTTTATTTAGTCGCTCAAGAGCCAATTAGTCGGCTCTCCAAAGCACACAAAAAGTGTAATTAATTCCGCCTGTTTTAGAAGGGTTTTTGTAAATTAGATTTTTTTCTTGAACCCTCTCTTGAGATATTTTTGGGAATCATATTTTTCCCTTAATAAAGATTTTGTCGCGGAAAATCTCAGTGATCTAATAAACTCCAGCAGCTGTCACGCGTATCAAATTTGCATAATGAGGCAAAATCCTATTAAGGAGACCACCGCGAATTCAAATTATTCCAGAAGAAAGTGTGGCGACCGCCGCGCAGTGGTTATATAATTTTGCATAAATTAATTGATTCGGGTCGAACGGTTAAATTTTTTCACGTTTGCGAAATCAAACGTGGCTTGCCAACATGCCGGCGCTGTACACTCATACCCTGAAGGAACCCGGTTTCAACCTGGACGCCTTGCAACTCAGGGTCGAGCACACGAAGAGGAGCAAGGTGCCGCCGAGCAGCAGGTGCGCCGAGTATGACAATTCACACGGACCTGAAACATAAAATTATAAAACTTTAAAATAATGAATAATAAGAAAGCTTCTTGCATTTTTCACCAATATTTTAAAATAATTGTGTTTGAGCGGGTTGTCTATCCTAATTTAAGACAATTCAGTTGAACAAAATCAGAAATGATCAGAAATTTAATTTAACACATTAAATTTTTTTGTATAGAAAAATATTAAAAAAAAATTGCATTCACATATTTTTTATAATTTTTATGATTTTAAAAATTCATCGAAATATTAAAAAAAAATTCTAAGAGAATCTAAATATGTATATCATGGAAATTACTATTTCATATTCAGAGCATGAAGAAAACGTCCATGGTGCAATTTTTTACACCAGAACTTATCAGCAATGGACTAGAAGGAAAAGAGAGCTTTATTGTCGGCCGCGAGTCCTTTGAGAAGCGCTCGTTTAGATAAAAATCAGCAAGCAATTTTGAAGGAATTCTGCCGCTCAAAGGAGAGGAGTGTAATTCAAGAAGGTCACCGAGGTCATCACACATATATTGCTGTCGGCTCAATTTTCCACAACAATCTTGACGATGAAGTAATTCTCCGAACGTAATGCAAAAAACTTGTAAATTAAGTCTTTCGCACTGTTTACAATTAGTTAATAAAATGAAAAAAAGGCCAGGCCTGGCAGTGAACGAAAAGAAAAAGCAATTAATTTTCAAGCGCCCAAGCAAATAAATTCCTCTCCCGAATCACGATGCAAATATAATTTGCTTTTTGCAAAATGAGACCCTGGACGTGATAAAGCACTAAAAAAGCTCGTGCTGAAATACGGAAAACGTAAAAAGTTGTTTGCAAACAGCACATTTCCATTCCAGTCCAAATAGGCAAACGTGGGAAATTATGCAAATATTTATTGTGTCTTTCTGCCCAACCCAATTTGCATCATAAAATCATCCCTAGCGCACAAAACACACAGGCAGGTGATCAATTATGCGCAAGCGAGAGAGAAGAGCGGCTCGTCGATAATAAAACAAAACGTGATGAGCTGCATGGCCGGCGGCCGATTCAATTAGATTCGCCTTTGCTGGCGTTCATGCAAATGCGAGGCCGCTCGGGCGGATGTACGCGCGATGATTCGATAGCGAGTTTCAAATTGGATTTGCCGCAATTCGAAACAAAAGGCGCATTTTTTGGACAGTGAACGAAACATTGGTTCCGGGAAATACCAGCATTCCAAAAATGTTATTGATTCTGCGTTTCATTAATTATAAATTTTAATTCATTTTATAAATATAAATTATAATATAGTCTGTCAAATTAATTGATGGCAAATAATTTTGAACGTTCAATAAATTTTACATCTAAAGCATTTTATTGAAGATTTAATATCTTTTTTTAATTAAGAAATTGTGGTAAAAGCTTCAATTAAATGTAAAACATCAATTTAAGGGATTTTTTTCTAAATGTGTTTAAATTGTTTAAATGCCATAAATGTCTAAGATAAAGATTGATAAAAAAAAATGAACCTGTACTAAATTGACATAAAAAAAGGAAAAAACGTGTAAAAAATTGAGGGTAAGATTTTTTTCTAGACGCGTGGAAAATTTCTGTTCATATTTCTTCACACCACTTTCACCGCTCAAAACTGGAGAATTTTCTTCGTGTTTCACGGGTGTGACACTGCCCCTGCCATTAGGAGGCATCAGCATGACGACCGTCGCGAGAGTCATGCAGGCCAAATTGAATTCTATTCTTTGCGTCGCTTTCGTTCGCAAACACCATCAGCGTCGCGCATCTGCAGCTGGCTCGTATGCCTTTCGCCGGTTTCTCTCTCAATATGTATTCAAATAACACACATTACGCCGCCCGAGGGCGATTCAATTTTGAGCTCTTTTTCACATGCAGAATTCCAGCAGCACCGACATGCAAATTATCTCCGGCGAAAAAGGAGGCGCGACTATGATAAAAATGTGCCACCGGCTGCAATCTTCCGGCTCCTAATGACGCCGCCACTTTTGCGTAGCCAACAAAAAGGGGTGCGTGAAAATTTCCTTTGCCACTTGGACGGAAATTTTTGTGGAAAAAAACAAGAACTGTTTCAAATTAAAAAAAAAAAAAAAATTGTGTCAATAAGTTTTTAGAAAAAAGTTCATGATTTTGTTTCTGATCTGCTCCAAAATGATTTTTGACAAAGAGACGAAGAATCAGACTTTTAAAAGGTGTTTAAAAAAAATTATATGAACTATTTATGTACTTTTTTTTTTTTTAAATATTTTCATGTACTTAAATTCAACAACATTAGTTAAATTTGGTATTGCACATCAGGAAATTAAAAAAATCCCAATGATTTTTTCTATAGTACAAATTTAGCAATCCGATTCCTCGAACTAATTTTAGTGAAACAAATTTAAAAAAATTTCTGATGTTAATTTGTGGATTAAAGCAATTATTGAACATTCAAGCAGCTCGCTTTCTCAGGTAAGGAGCGCCACCTACATGCTTTCTTAAAAATTTACGGCCACATTGTAAGCTTAAGTAACGCCTGCAGCTTTCAGAATTAGGCAACCTGCACGTCTGGTTGCATTGAAAATTTTAAACAGTCATAAATAAAATTTTCAGGGTTTAATGATTTACTGCGAAACGCAATTTAGCTCTGCCTACATTTTGTTTCCTGCACTCCGTTGAGACAGCAATTTTTTACACAAATGGAGCGAGTTACAGGCACAAAATTGCTTTTCCGGTCACGCGCTTGCAGTGAGGAGAAAAATAAATTATTGCAACCCTTGGGAATGCGAGAGCCTGGTAATCAAATTCACTGCAACCCGCTCGTCTGTGATGCAGAGCGTGTTGCATACCAAACTAGAAGGGACCGTTTGAGGGTTTAACTTCCATCTAAATTCAATCACCCTTTCCAAGTAGAAGAAGAGTTGAACTCATTCAATTAAGAGTCCTTGCTTGTTTTTCAAGTGCTTCCTAATCGAGTTGTAATAAAGTTTTTTGCGTCTGATCTGAAACTCATCATATATTATTTGCCACAGTAATGGGTTGTCGTTTTCGAGAAAAAAAATATGTTGTTGAAAGGAGGCAAATCAGTACTTTTTCCTTCACAGCACAAATCACAAGCTGCGAGGAACATTGCAAATTGAAAAAAACCTCCTCCGCGAGAAACATCAAAGGCAGTCGATTTCTCTGCAGACTCTTAATAAATATCTTCTTTGATGATGGAGCTTTCCCGTTGTTGTCAAATGCAAATTACTTGTCGACACGTTCTGCGTTATTAAAAATTCCAGAATGATTTTCAAATGCACTCTTCCTTGCTTGTCGTGAGCATACATTGTATGTGTTCGCGTCGCTGCTTGGAATTTTGTTTGGCCCAGGCACAAAAGGCCAACACACGCAGACGGATCGAGTGCGAGAGTTTGCCATCAGCGATTCCGCACCACTTGTGACAACGCATTAGCGAGGGGCAGTGACACAATTTGAAATATCATCAATCAAAAAGAAATTTTGATTGATGAATTCTTGTTAAACTAGTTCAGGAAAACATCTTTTAGAGATTTTCAAATTTTGCTTAAATTTCTAGACTGCTTTGGGACTTGCGACATTGCTGTCTACTTTTATATAAAAACACAAAAAAATTTCGTCTGAAATGAATTTTTAAGAAGAGAAAAACCTTTCAATGTGCTCTTTAAAAACAAAACAAAAATAGCGCTGACGTAAATTTTAGTCAAAAATTAAACTATCATCAGTTCTATGTTATTTACCTTTTTACTATGGAATTTTAACAATCAACACGCTATAAATGCCTTGTATTTTGCTTAAAAACGACAAATTGACTTTAATGAAGAAAGAAGTCCGCAAACAGGCAAGACAAAATAGTCTAATTGTAAGATAAAATGTCAAAAGAACAAATTTGCGACTTTGAAGTTTGATATTGCTAATTGGCGTTCCAGATGTTTGTTTTTAATTTTCATACTTCACAGAAGTGCTCTCTAATTACCAGTTTGCAGCAGGTACCTGCGAGCTCATTTTATTTTTACAAACGACGCAAATTAGCTTGTGTCGAGTGGTGAAACGAGCAATTTGTTTACAGAAAGGCGACAATTTGCACAAATTGCCCTACTTTGCCGGTTCCGAGCTTTCTGAATTAATCATCACGCTCCGACTAAATTTCCTCTCGCGGAGGTGGAAAGAGAGTGGGTGAAACAACCAGAGATCTTTATATATCTAGAGAAAAAGTTCACCGCAAGTTTGAACAAAGCCGCAAAAATCGGTGGTGGTAAAACCTACTTGGGCCACCCGCGGGTGGTGCCGACAGAGGAGAGAAGATGAAATATAAATTCAAATTATTTTTATCTCTCAAACGCAGCTCGGCAAAAAGCGAGATGAGAGAGCCCATAAATTTGGAAAAGCCCTCGTCGCAAGTACACCCCAAAACTTACGCTTTATAATCGTTGGTGTCGGCGAAATGTATTTCTCGCCGGGAACAAGTCCATATTCGCGCCGGGCTGCTTTTATCACCCTCGGTTTTATCGCGCTCCGGCTGCGAGAGAGAGAAAAGGGCAGCCCGGATTGAGAGAAAGAGAACGCAGCCCTATTGTATTGATGACGGTGGAAGGAAATAAATGCTTTGCACCCCTCTACGCTTAGCGTCAAGAGCTCTGGATGGAAAAAGGGTGTGTGTTTTCTGCCTCGACGCCTTTCCTCTGCCAAACGCTCGCATTTCGCGGAAACTTAAACAGGGCAGCAGGTGCAGAAAAAGAGATCGCATTAAATATTTAGAAAGGAGTGCAGAATTAGAAATTATTCATAAAAAGCGATGCGAAAATTATTGGAGCCAATTGTTTAAATATTTAGAGGAAGCAAAACTCAAAGGTTTTGTAAAAATCAACAAAATTTCTCAAGATGTGACTAAGCATCACAGAAGACAAAGAAAAAAATTATAAAAATTTAACTTTTTCAAAAGATATTTTTAGATTCACCTAGGCAAAAAACATCTCAACTCTGAAAATTACGAAGTTTTATAATTGACGTAGATTTCAAATTTACTAATCAGAGGTTTACTTGCTTCTCCTGCCAAATGGCTTAGAAACTCTAGGGGTTATAATCCTGATCTCCCGTTATGGGTCTTTAAAAGGAATTATTTTCCCCATTTTTATTACATATCCAAAATTAGAAAGCTGTCATTATAAAATATACCGTGATAATTATATTAATGAAAAAAATATCATTAATTTCGGCCCACTCTGTGAAACTTGAATATTAAATATCACAAGAATTTGATAATTAGTTTAAATTTAAAATATATTATTTCACAGTTTCATTTTTGCTTCAATTTTTAATTAAAAATTCAAGTTAAAAGTGGTTCAAAGAATAAAAATTAATTTTCATTTCATTAATTTTAAGAGCCGCCGCATGTTTGGGCTTGGATTTACATACATGTAATATCCGCTTGAGAGCTTTAACCCTCTCTGCTCTTCTTCCTTCTCAACAAGGGTCTTGCCATAATTTCCCCACATGTGCAGACAGGATTTGCACCATGCATTTGCATAACCCGCCCCTGCGGCGCAATATGTATAAAATACACGCGCGAATAATTTATATTTCATCATCTGCTTGTGCTGTGAACTACTTACCCCGCTCCTTTCCAGGACAACTCACTCAATCACCCCTGGGAGCAAGAAGTAAAACGCCAACATTCGAATCCATATCTCGGACCCATAAAAAGACAGGCTGTTTAGTTCAGGCCCATAACAATTTTCATATATATCGCGTCGTAAATTTCCAGTTTGGGCAAAGTGAAGGAGGGAGAGAGAAGAAATTCACCTGCTCCTTCACTTCTGTCTGAATAATAAAACCAGCGAGTCGAGACGGAAATTTCCTCCATGCTTTGGAGCAAAAAGGAAAATGCGTTTGATATAAAGAAAAAGACCTTTGTTTTTCATCCTCTTTGCCGAAGCTATTTTTAACGTAAAACCTTTGTCAGTTTTTTGCTGTTCTGGCTTTCAACCCTAGAAACGCATTTATTTTTTTATATCCTCGGATATTAAGTTAATTAGTGAAATGGCAGGATTTTTCCAGACCAGTTCTATTTTGCTGCGGGAGAATTCATCCCATCAATTCTCATATATTCCTCTCGGCGCGCTTTTTGCATTTTAAGCACCACGGACAGCAAAAGAGCGGATTTGGCCACATGAAATGCCTCCGCTCGCTAATCCTTTTAAAACAGCGGCCCTCGCGGCAAAAGCAGATAATGGATGTGCCTGCTGTTAAATATTAGAGGATAACACTAAAATTTTTATCTGCTGCTCTCCACTCTCTGATTCTAGCCTGTGTTGTTGACAAGAAGCAACTTTTCTAAAACCTCTTGGAAAGCAAAAGTAGGCTTTAAAAAAGATTTTTATGTACTGTGTCTCAATTTCTTGACTTTAAAGTTTATTTTTACTAAAGAAACTCGCAGAGAAACTCTTTGTAAATTATCTAATTTAATTTGTCAGTGAGGGCAAACAAAAAGCCCAATTTGGCCCATTCATCGTCACGTTATTTGAATGGCGGGTTAAATTAGCCCAGGCCAGGTTAGGCTTTTGAGTCGCCCTCAACATTAATGTATAGCATTTTATACACCCACTCTTGCAATTCCAACAGAAATTTTAAGTGTTATAAAATGAAACTTTTAATCATTACATTTGAACTGCATGTTCACAAGTTGCTTCTTGTCAACAACACATTATTATATTCAAATTGTTACACTAACATAAGAGTGTATAAATTTTCATCACTCACTGACAGAATATATTTGCACAATGTAGTGTATTTTGTATGCGCTACTTACTGTACAACAATGGACCCGATGCAAATTGAATTTGGAAACATAGCAAAACAGTGCACAATTGATGCCATAAATTTGCAACGACGGAAAATAAACAGAGTAATAATCACGAGCTCGAACCGCCAGTTGGGCAAACAAGGGTCTGCGTAATTGGGTGGTAAGAAAACGTGCATACAGAGCCGATTAATTAATTAGGCTTACCCAGTTGGTAGGGTTTGGAGAGGCCGCCGCACGCCTGCTGCACTTCGATGTTGTCCCAGCCTAGTGGGTAGAGCGCCACGCCGACCGCGATCAGCACAGCTGCAACACCAAAATCCACCTCGTTAGTTCGAAGGCAAACTGGCAGAAATTATCTGCTCGTGAAAATAAACGCGCGGTGGAGCGAGGAAATTGAAGGGAAAGGAAATAATGGAAATTGAAATTTCTCTGAAAATTATTAGGAGGAAAGTCAATCAAAGAGGGTAGTTCAGAGAGAAGGGGAAGAAATTACTGATTCCATAAAGCAAATAAAAAAAATAGAGATAATTTTCAAAGGATTTATTTCAAAAGTCAAAAGTACTTTTAAAAGAACATTAATTATTACTTTTCATGAATTTCAGTCTCAATCTGATTTTATAGATTTTTTTTATTCAATTTCCAAAAAGCTTTTCCATTGAAAAGAAAGATACGTCCCCCCCCCCCCCCAATAATGTTATGCCTTTTTTATGGACAGGATATAGTTGCAGCAATCATATTATGCAGGGACCATGCTGAAAAATAATTTTTATAAAATTAAATATATTATACAATCTAGGTTTTAGAAAGAAAAAAAAAATAAAAATTCATTTAGAAAAAGGGTTAGATCTCATTAATTAATCTCATACTATGTGAGTGCATTTTATTGTCAGACCTCTCTCTGAATTTCTTTTAAGAAATCTGCGCTCAACGCTCAACAAAGCTGAAGTAATTTCAGAGTGCAATTCAACTGAGCGGAAACGGCCACGGAATATCGCAGCGAGAGGAGATTTTTCTGCTCCATTTCTCACGAATTCGCGTTGCTAATGTAATTGAACTGCGAGGTCAATGCGGTACACCGGTATCGGCACTTCTGCAGCACAACTTTTGCCTCGAGAGCGAGCGAGCGATCGAGAGGCGCAAAGAGCACTTATTTGAGGCTCTGCCGATGCAATAAAGGCCTGACTTTCGTGGGAATCATGCTTTTCAACGACGTGCTCCCACAACATTATTTGTTTTCAATGCCCGACGAGCCATTGAGAAATCGTTTTTATTGGATTACTCCACGCTCATCCGACCGATCAAATAGAAAATAATATTGGTTTATCAGAGTAATTTTAATCCACATTTATATGAGGTAGGAATAAATCTGGTTGATTTGGAGAGTTCAATAAATTACGCGTACCTGATTTTAGATAATATATGTATAAATTGATATTGGAGTTTGTCTGATGAAACGTAAAAAATTTGAAAAATTGAAAAGAAATCAAAAGTATTATTATCAATATAATTTACTTGACATTAATTTGTAAAAAAAGTAGCAATCTCAAACTTAGAATAAAATTTACCATAGAAATGATAAAAAAAATACATTTTCACGGCAATATTTCCTAAAGAAAAGAAAATAATCCTGTTAGTTACCAGATGAATTTAATCTCGTGGATGAGTCGCTTGGAAGGGAAAAAGACGGAGGAGCAGATCGTTTATTTCCACGGTTTATGCTAATCTCCGTAATTGCGCCGGCTGTGGTGGGACTAACTTGATTCAGAAATTCCCATGAGCCAAGCTGAAAATCTATTGCATGACTTTCCAGCTCGCGTCCTTTCACCAAAAGTGAAGTCCCGCGAGATTCGCTGGTGACGCGCGAATCCATCCCTTTGGTGATCCAAAGGGTTCTTTTAATCGCTCTACTTTAGCCGGTTTGATTACCGAGTCGTGGAATAATTTTCGCAACGGATTGCGCTATTTTCGCCAGCCAGGTCTCTGTGGAACGGTTACACAGACGCGCCGTAAAATGGTTTATTGGCGCAATGCGACATCGCTCTTGCGTAGACACATTAAAAATTTCAAATCTCGCCTATAACTGTTAAGTGCGGTACATGTGATAAATGAAGCTGCGTTTAGCAGTAAAGGGGGATTGTGGTTTTAGCATCAACCACTCTGCGGCGTTCAGACTGATTAGGGAATTCCAGATAATCCCAAAAAGGTATATTGATGTGACAATTTTTCAAAGTGGAATTTATTAGGATATAAATTCTCAATTTTCTATCGTCAAATGTGTATATTGATAAATTAAAGCAACATAAATAAAATAAAATAAATTTTGTCAATTATTTTATTTTTTAATTATTTTGACAAAATATATTTTAGCATTCTAAATCTGAAACAATTTTTGGGATTTTCCACTAGTAAATTTTTGGCTTTTTTGTTTAATTTGCTGCATAGTTTCAATTCCATGAAACGTGCCGCGGCCATAAGCCCTGTAAACCCTGGTAAACCCAAAAGCTTCTATTTCAACGTCCAGTGCGGCAAAAGGTAAAAAAGTCGGCAGAGGCTATGGAGGGTGTTCTGTTTAATTCCGTCTTCCCCGAAGCGACAACCAACCCGTCGTACTCTCTCTATATGCACCTTGCAAAAGAAAGGAAGAATTCGCAGCCACCGCGACTTTACCCCCGCGCATTAATATTCAACGGCGTTCTCGGCCGTGCTCTCGTCGCCGTTATTCAAGCACAAGGCACCGCGGTAATGATCAAGTTTTAATTAAAACGCGGCCTGTTGGTTTTTCTTTGCCATTCTTTTCGCCAGTTTGTTTTTTGGGCCCTTTGTCGGAGTCAAAAGTCAGAGCACGTGCGGGTTTTTTTTGCCATTTTTGCGCGCCAAAGCGAGCGGAAAATGAGTGTACCTTTGAAACTTTCTGCGTGTGCGTCAAAAGTTAACGACTTTTCATCCCAGCCAGCGGTGCGTACGCTTTTGAATGACGACCGACTGAAATAATCATGCCGACCGGCATCACGGTATAGTTGCTGGCTGATGGAGTCCATATCGTACAATAGGGGCTTTGTGAAATTTTTATATATTGGAACTGGAATTTTTGACAAAAAAAAAAAATACCTTCGATTGTATTCAAATGTTGTTTAATAATTAATTAAAATTGATTTTATATTCAATCATCTACGAAAATATTTGTGGTGATTTTCCATTAAATTTTAATTATTAATGAGGCAGTCGAACTCATTTTCCTGAAAGTCAAAATTAATCTCTTGAAACCAATCTTTCCGCAACGATTACATTGACTGATTTTTTCAGGACAAATATTGATTTAGCTCCCAACAAAAATTACATACTTCACCCTCTTTTAAAACTTACGGAACTGAAAATCTGTCCATTTTTGTTTCAGAATTTTTTAAGAATGTTCAATCGTTACTTAAAAAACTATTTTCAGAATCTTAACTTCTGTCATTTTTCCATGCACTTTGAAGCAATTAAAATCTTCAATAATTCTTTTTAAACATATATACCAAACATACCTCCCAATATCACCGAGTTAAAAGATCTTAAATAAAGGTGATTTTTCCCAAAGTAATCTTTTCATGTTAATTTATTGACAAGTGGAAGTTTTTCAGACATCAGCATACTGAGTGAAATTTTTAGTCTGAAAATAACAAATAATGAAAAAAGATTACTAGATAGATCTCATTTTTTATGAACTTCAACTTTTGTAAATTTTTTCATACACTTCATTTATAATTTTTGAATATATATTGAATGGTCTATCTTATATCTCGTTATAAGAAGAGATTGTCTTGTGCACTGTGGTACACCAATAAGCATAAATTGTAACTGAAGTCTGAAGTGTATTAAAACTTTAAAAGAATGAATGTATCTCATCTAAACAGACAGAAATATCATTCATAAATTTAGAAAATTTCCTTTTTCCAGAAGCAAAATCTTTGCGCAAAAGTGCAATTTTTGTCCTTTCTTTCAAAGTTGATCCATTTTTATTACAGCGTAGGTTTTATCTCAAGAGGGATACACTTTTTGCGAGTGACAAGCGCCACGGTGGAGCTGCCAGTGTCAATCCACTGCGGGGGTGTTTATAGTCTGCGTGGCAGCTGCGAACTTCTTCCTCAATCTTCTTTCCCCGGGCGAGGAAAAATTCCATCGCGAGCCAAATTGAATTGCAGTTGATCAACTTGAATGGAGGCTCAGCTGTTCTTTTGTTGCCCCAGATTGGTTTTTTATGGGCACCGACGGGAAAAGCTGCAGGCAACTTTGCTGCGCTAAATTGTGCCAATCAATTTTCGAGGAACGTCCATCGAGGAGGCCCTTTTGTTGCGAGAGAGAGCAAACTCACTGCTGGATATATAAATTGCCTTGACACGCACCAGTCCCGAATAAGTGAACTTGCTATTGATCATTTAGGGAAGCGAAGCGACAACTGCTTGAATTGGAAATTGCAAGAGTAGAAAACTTCATTCTGGAATTTTTCATGCCTTATGTAAAAAAAATTTGTCAACGCACGGCCTCGTCCTTTCCTTTGAAAGGTCTTGAAGAGATCAAAGGCGGAAAATTTCCATAAATAAATGACAGCGGACAAGATGAGAAACTTCAAAGGCTGGAGAGGGAGGACCTGAGGTTGTACCAAGAAATAAAAATGTACAACACGCTTATACATACAAATTTTCAGTGTTCATTGTCAACAACAGCAATAATAGGGCTTTTTTTGCATTTCAAGATGAAAAGCGCAAGGTCCGCGCATCTGAACAATCGGGGAAAGTTTTGATTGTTGCAGCGTTTTGATTGGGCACAAAACACACTACAATTCATTCTGGGTTGCAAAAATAGGCAAAATTCAAAAAATGGCCTGCTGATTTGACTTTATCAGAAGCCACTTCTCAAAATGTGGCTTCTTGTAAAACTTTGGTAAAAAATCTGATTGTTTGATATGAAAATCAAAAAGATGTACAGCTGAAAATTTTAACATAGTCTAAAGATGAATCCGGCCAGGCCAGATTAAGAATTTAGGTTGCAACTCACTAAATTCTTTATTTCTGATAATAATTATTATTATTTTTTTTAAATTTTGAATTGCGATCATCCTATTTATTCTTTATTTCCGTTTTTAATATTTTGATGTTATTTATTTTTTTTAGGTGATTATTTTTTTGCATGCATTTTTTAGCATTAAGAATGAACAAGAATTACCTGAGAAAAACTGGAAAAAGCCGACGATTCTGGCCATGCGGCCGTGGATGAGGTAGGAAATGCAGCAGGCCGCACACGCCGTGACTGACAGCAGCAAAGATAGGCCGCTTCCAACGCCCACCAGCACGGTGGTGGCCTGCCACCAGGGGCTCGGGATGTCCGCGTACCTGTAACAAGACGGCCGCAGCATAAGTACCAGGGATCACTCGCACACACGAAGCCGGAAAAATTAAGCTCTTTTGAAAAGGGAGAGAGAGCGCTTTGATTCCTGCCCGCTCTAATGATGTGCATTGAAGCGGCGTTGCGGAAAAATGGTCGGTTTCGGGGCAAATTTTTTATCTCCTGGAAAAAAGGGAAGATTTTATTTCACCGGAAAGTTCTGAGAGCCGCTTTTATGAATTATTTCAAAGTTTGAACTCAAAACACACCCACAGAAGTGACGGAACTTTATCAGCTATCGCGGACCAGAGATAGAAAGTTGGCAAAACTTTGCTCCTCCGCGACTGAGAGCTAAAGGAACTTTAGACTTGAAGCACCTGTCGGAAATTTCGGCCTTGATTGCCGGGAATTGATTAAGTCTTACTCGTTAAAACTTCCACAGTCAATTTCCCGCAGGCAGGTCTCGTTTTAAAAAAGTCTCACGGAAAAAGCACTCAAATATATTATGAAAGTTCCTAGATATTTCTGTTATCACACGATCTGCCAGATTTTGCCCTACCCCATCGAGTGATCGATTTTTCGCATTTTATTTCCTTTTGTTTGCAGTCGTTTTTCATTTTTGTTGATGTTCCGATCTGCTTGCTTTCCTTCCAACCGTTCCCGAGGGTCGGGTGGAAATAAAATCGAATGGCGCTGTTTACTTGGTTTTATTTCCCTCTTGGGTGCGCCGAATGTTTTCGTTTCTTGCTTGGTACACAGAATGCAATTCTATTTATTCGGAAACGAAAAACGGAGATAATGTATCAAATTTCAAGCACAGAGATAAATAAAAAAAGATTTAATCAAACCGGGATAAGTGTTGACTTAACAAATTTAAATGAAGTTAATTCTTTTTTATTACAATGATGATCATAATTTTCCTTGTTTGAGAAATATATTATTATTTAAAAGATAACAAAACCTGACTAAATTAGGTTAGGCTATAACTACTTTCTTCAACGGCAAAAACGAAAGTTGTATTATAAATAAAATAATTATTAACTGAAGATAATATGAAAATCGCAACAGCAACTTACTTATTTTATTGTTTTAATTTTTAAATTGAATTTATGTAAAAAGAAAAAAATGCTTTTCCCCCTTTTTTATTAAATAGGCCTGCAGTATAGTATTCAAAGCTAATCTCGCAACTTAGAAATGAGAAATAAAATCATCAACAAAGGGGAAAACCTTTTTTATCACAATGTCACTTTCTTCAGCAAAATTAATCATTTCATTTTTATTTAACTATATCACTGATCTTATATAATTTTGGAAAATTTAAATTATTCACAATATTTGAAAACTAATTCAACATCATTTTATAATACATTGTAACCTGTATATAATATTATTACATGTGGGTAATTTTATTTATAATTTAAATGGAAAAACTTTCACACAAAGTATGGTCAAAATTATTGGTTACCATTAAAGCTGCAAACTTAATTTTTGCACTTAAAATAGCCTTCGTAAGAAATACTGATTCCGTGAATTTTAACATAAGAAAACAAGGAAATAATGAAAATAGAACTAATCAACCTATTGCTTTTAAACTTATATTTCCCACAAGTTCATTGCAATTTAAATTTGCTTTCAAATTCTCTTCATAGAATCTATAAAAAAAGAGAGTTAAACAACTTTTATATTCATGCTATGCAATAAATTGTGTAGACATTTGAAACCTGCCGGCGCCTAGCAACTGCCACGCATCGCAATTAATCCGCAAGTCGGTGCTAAATCATGTGCACATAGAGATTGAAAAAACACTCTCTCACCTCCCGATATAGCAGTTGGGGCACCCGTAGGAAAAAAGACAACAGGTGTTGAGCGCCCGCATTTTTTGCAGCTCAAGCACATAATGGAGTGCGATAGCAGTGCTTACTTTTTGCGGGAGCCAAGGCCGCCACGAATAAATCTCGGCGATTCTTTTCTTCCGAGGATAATTGGATCGGCAATCAAGTGTGCTCACTCGAATAGATCCCTCTCCTCCAGCCCATGCCGTGCAAAAGAAAGAAAACTTTGGACAACTCGAGTCCGTGCAGTGGTACAAATTCATTAATTGGAAAACTTGCTGCTGGCCAAGCGGGCGGAGCGTGGGTTAACTTTTCCGACCGCAGGCCACGAAACCGCCAGACCCGATTTCTTTTGGCACGACGGGTTAAGGTGGAAAATTAAGCGCCCTGTTTGTTCTGCTGGGATTGATTGCGTGCGGAGGAGGCACAGAGCCAAACGTGCTCAAATTTCACAATCAGCGAGCTAATTAATCCAGAACGTTGAAAATTCGGAAGGTGCAAATTCTTTTTTATCAATTTCTTACGGATGAAAAATTTGATACTTTATTTTTTATTTACACAAGTGCCAATTTGAATTTTTTTACGGAATTTTTGTCAAATTCTTTCCGTTGATAGCTACAAACTTTGGTAGATTTCATGAAAAAATGAATCCAAAAAAATTGTAAATGTATTTTACGGGGTGCCTCACAATGTCCTAAAGACAATGTCCTAACAGAAAATGTCCTAACGGAAAATATCCTAAAGAAAATGTCCTACAGAAAATATCCTAAAGAAAATGCCCTAAAAGTGAGAATTGAAAATGTCCTAACAGAAAATATCCTAACGCCTGAAAGTTATGACAAGTCATGTGTCATGTGCAAAAAAAATTTAATTTATCCTTTCAAGTAATTTTGTGTTAAAATTTATCCTGATTCAAAATATTATTTTACGTTTCATATATAGTCTTTATCGGAAAATATACATAATTACATATATATTATAGACTTTTGAACTAATTTTAGTAATTTTAGGCTTTTGTAATGACTGTAATATTTTTTTTTAAATATTTTTTTCTTCGCTTTTTCTACGGGTAGTTGAGAAATTATAACTATTAATCTTTCTTCCATACAATAGTTTCAAAGAATTTCGTAAAAATCTTCAGGAAAATGTATTTTTGTTTCCTATGAAAAAGTTTACTTAGAAATATCATTCGAATTTTTTTTTCAAAACAAAAAATTTGAAAAATTCTAATTGAAAATATTCGTTAAATTTATTTTCAATATACGTTATAGTAATAATATTATTTTTTTAAATTATTTGTATTTGTGGAATATAATATGATTGTTTCAAACTTATATACACTTTAATATTTTGAATTATATGATCAACTTTCGTTAGAAATGTGACAGAGAAGCTCGACAATTAGCATCATATTCTTTCTGCATAAGTGAATTCATTTGATAAGGAATGAAGTTCATGTTAGTCCCTGTTGAAAAAACTAAACTTTTATAATATATCAACCAATTTTCCGAAATTTAGGACATTTTCTTTAAATTCAATTAGGACAAAATCTTTAGGACAATGTGCGATCATAGCTTTTAGGACATTATCTTTAGGATATTTTCTTTAGGACATTCTCTGTTAGGACATTGTCTTTAACCTCAATTTAGGACATTTTCTTTAGGACATTATGATGGTACCCGTATTTTACTTTCTAAGAAAAAATGAACCAAAAGCAACCTGCGGTATGTTGGTACTTTGAAAATTCTAAATTTTCAGTTAATTTCTTCACTTGTTTATACCAGTTTATACAAGAGTTACAAGTTACAAAAGATAATTTTAACTAGCAGTGTTGTAAAGACTTGATTTGAATATGTCCTGAAGAACAAAATGAACCACTGAAGGATTATTGTGTTTCCTTTTGTTACTTTATGTGTATTAATCATTAATCATGAAAAGTAATCCCCAAACTTTGAGTAAATATTATGAGTTTCAGTAATATTATCTCCTCAAGTATGACGTGTTGGGTGAATATTTCACCAAAGGCTGATAAAGTTGATCTTAATTGAAAAGTTTCGTAATTGATTTCACTCTCAAAGTTGTGCAAGTTTGCGAAAGGCAGGCAAATTCACCCTCGGCGATTCCATCATCGTCATCCTTCTGTACCCAGCAGACTTCCACAAAGTTTCACAGAGAAATTAAAAGCAATTAGCCCGGGATTGTACTTACGTGGAGTATCTGCCGCAGGCCTCGAGCAGCTCGATCTGTCCCCTTTCGTTGAGCACCGGGTAGTTGCAGCGGCGGAATGAGCCGAAGTAGGTGTCAAACCCTTTGGTCAGCTCGCCCTGCAATCACAAACACACGAAACCATCAATCAACGGCCGCCCTCTAATTCGCTTAATTGAGATTTATGGCGAAGAGGAAAATCGCACGCCCCCTCGCCGGAAATGTCACTCCCTATCTATGCCCGCATCGCACAGAATGGCCAATTTTCCACCCGGCTCGACTTGATTTATCAGCGAATAAAAATGTAGCGACTGGACATTTTTCACCCGAGGCCTAACCAACGAGGCTTAAATCTGCATGATTTATCGGTGGCGCGAGCAGAAACCATTTCCAATTTGAGCTCGTTGATTGCGTTGGAATTTATCAGGCTGAAATTCTTTGTATTTTATGCAAAATAATAAAAAAAAAGAAAATTTTAATTTTAAAATTCCCTCTACGCTTGTGAATTGGAAAAATTCAAACTGATGAAAAATCAGTTTAAATGATATAAGGGGAGGGTTGTACAATCTTTAAAACTTGGTTTCTGCAGTTCAATTTCTGCCAAAAAAAAAAAGATTTTATGAAGTAAACTGAATAGTTTTTCAAGTAATAACCCATTTAGGAGGTTCCAAAACTTTCATTTTATAATAAACGAGCATATTTTTAGATTCATATTTCATATTGAATTGAAAATGGGTCTCTTTATCCATTTACCTTCACTGGTAAATCTCTAAAAATAATCTCTGGAATCATATTAAATTTAAAACAAACCACATTCCTTGATAATGAAAATCTCAAAAAATGTGATTTATTTGCATAATTATAAAAATAAAATTAAAAAATATCAAGTTTTGGAATTAAAAATTCGCTCTCTTAATTTTGCTAACAGCATACAAGTTTTTGTAAAGTTTTAAAGACTTAACAAGAGCTTAAATAACTTTTTGTAAAAATCTCTAATCGCCTTGAACTTTGGCTAACATTTTTATTAAAAAGTATTTTGTTTGGATCAGTATGTATTAACGGTCCTGAGGCGAACAAAGTTCAAGTAATTATAGAGATAGGAAAAAGTAATAATAAAACTGTTGGTGCTCATTTAAGAACATGACTTTGGGGCTTAAGCAGCACACACGCAGCCAAGTTGAGCTTAGAGCAACTTGAGCTATTCCGCCTTTCTCGTCATCCGCCTCATCGTCATTATCATCCCGACTAGAGCTCTCATTTTAACTGGATACCCTCCTTGTCGCTAATTAATACCATGCCTCATAGCCCACGCGGCGGCGATCGGCTTCAGGAGATCTTGTTACGCAGGCAGGGTATATCGGCTTTCACGGCAGAGTATGCGTCTCTACTAGATTCGGAATTCGAAAGGAATTTAGTTTATGTTCAGATGAATTGAAATTCCTCCATCACAATTATAATTAATTATGGAATAAAATAGCTTTTGTTTTTCAAAGCCTCTATGAAAGTAAACTAATTATTATTACTGTTGAGCATTTTGCGTAAAGTTCCAGTAATTAATTGAAGTAAATTGATACTTAAATTAATTAATATTATTTTCATCCTGCGTATGAATTCATCTTCCTTCACGCTGTCCCATGTTGAAATTTTTTACTTTATGATTGTTTTTCTGAACATTGTTTGACCAAAGCACAAGTTCAGATTGTGAACCTATAGCAGAGTTCAGCAAAGTTGATCAAACACAAAACACATTACGCAACGTTGCGATGTGTACCCTCTTTCCGTCAAAGTTGTGGGGCTTATTTGAAAGTTTTTGCCAGGCAGGGCGATGTGTGCATAAGCAGGCTTCGTGCGATAATGTCGCATTCAATATTCAGCACCCGACAAAGGGAACGAACAACTAATACGGGTGGGCGGGCTGTGTGCCGGTTCAAAGGGTTAAAGCACAGAGCGTAGGAGCGTTGTGTGTTTTATGGATATCGGAAATTGATATACGCGCGCGGCTTGTGAAGGATCTCGTTTCAGCGTCCACAGAAATCTATAATGTTTCAAGCAATAAATATTTTTCTTTCAACTGTCTGGATGTACAGAAACAGTATAATGCGTAAAAGCGAGATAAAAAAAGAGGTTTTAAGGTTGGGAAAATTGAATTAGGAAAATAAAAATTCCAGAGTTTAATAAATTAATGATCTTTGCTTCCTCGAAGGCGTCAAAACTGTAAGAGTTTTGCGTCAGAATTGTGAATGATTAACTATACATCAATTTTATGCCTGAGCTTGCTTTGAAGGATGACGGAAAAAGGTGATTGATGGGTTAAATATTCGTCCTCTCCCTTCATCTTCAGCGATGTTTCTTTTTTAACAAAATTTGTATTTTTAAAATTAATATTGTTAAATACAATATCTATCCAATTTATCGTTACTCAACTGGTTAAAAAGTATTTTTTTTTTTCCAAAAAAGACAAGGCAATTTTAATGAGAATTCAATATTTTTTTATACAATAAATAATAACAAGAATTTGCTTGAAGCTTTAAATAATTTTTATACCAACAATTTTTAAACTAACATTTTTGAATTCCATAAATGATTTAAAATCTCCATTCCGAGGCTGTTAAAGTGTAATTTTCTCTTCACTGGCATTAAAAATTTATCCAACCGTTACTCATTTTCGCAACTTTTTTTCAAATTGCAGATTATTCCAGCCTTCTCAACTTTCCTCGTTATGCACAGCACTTTTCTGCCGCGTCTATAAAATATGCATCGGGCACGTCGGGCACTTATTTTGTCGCGCGCGGCTGCGTTTTCCTCGTTATAATCTCTTTTCATCGCGCGAAACGAATTTGGAAAAATATATGTGGTGGAAAAGCCGGTTTGGATCGAAAATAAATCGCATTTTAACTCCGCCAGCAATATTGATTTTGCAGGAAATAAAAGGTTTTTATTTTTCCATCAGCACTTTTAGATGCGCATTGGAATTGACGTGTCAATGAACGGTTGGCTTTTGTTTTTGTTGCTGAAATGTACTCAGCGCTGAATAATAAAAAGCTTTGCTGCCAGCATTTTTAATAAACGTGGATTAATTAAGGATTTGCCTCGCAGCGATTTTGATCACCGTTGACTTCTAAAATGCTTTACGATATGTTAAAAAAAATTCAAAATAAAAAAAACAGCAATCTAAGTTGAGATGGGATTGGAGACTGCTGCAAAATGCTTTTTTTATTTCTTTTAATTATTTGAAAAATCCATTCTGACATTTGAGGATTTATCATCCAAAATATTTTAGACTGAAAAAACGACTCCAAGGTCTTTTCACAAGGATTTTTGAACTTTTTTTTTTTATTTATTTGTCTGAATTTTACATTTTCGTCTTTCCAGATTTTTTGAGAACTTGAAGCTTATTTTTTTTGAGGTGTTTGTTTAAAAATTTAGGATTTTTTTTTTTCTAAAATTTAAATCTAAAAAAGTATATCTTTTTTTGGGAAAAAACCCTTCATCAGTTTTTGATTGGCGTATGAAAAGAATCCATTTCTTCAATACCTAAAAGCATTCTTTGCTTGAAAACTCAATAATAAACTCCTTCTCGTTTAGTATTCCGGGCCAAAACATTCTCAATGGAAGCCCTTCGGATGAAACTCCAACGTCGTCTATTCACTCTCTCGGAGAAAACAAGACGCGAGAGATATTCATCTCGGAAATTTATTCACAGGCACACATTTTCTTGCACGTCTCGAGACGGAAGGACAACAAGACGCCGAAATCAAGCCGATATCTGTGAAGCTCGGTTCGATTTGCATAAGAAAAAACCGAGAGCAAACAAGAAGGAGAGCTTTTCTGTATTCCAATCGCAGCCGAGCCGCAGGGGCTGCTCGGTGATAAGAATAGAAAGCAAAGCTCTTCGTTCGGAGCAGGTGGCTGAGAAAATTTCACCTCTCAAGACAAACACGGGGGCTCTCTGTGCGTAAGACGAAATTGGTTTTCCCTGGCGCTCCGATTGTGCGGGATTAGCAGAGAGAGTAACGAAGGAGGGAAATAATTTAGTTTCGCGATCACGCCCCGCTCGACGCACAGCAGTCAAAGCAAAGGGCTCGTCCTTTATGAGAACCAGCACAGTACGCTTGGCACCCTGCTGTCGGCAAAGAGCACACACACGCCGCCAGATTTATGGCGCCTTTTATTGCCTAATATAGAAACGGGCAGGCCTCCCTGTCGGGTCGTGGAAAGTAGTGCAAAATAAATCAAGTTTTACATTTTACAATAATATTAACAATAAAGTAATAATCTGTTTATCTTCAGCAATTTAAAAAGTATTTAAACGTAGGTTACTAAAATTACAGCGAACTTTGGACTAAAAGTTGTGATTTTTTGAACATGTTGATGAATATTGATGGTATTCAGTGTGCAACATTAAACATTATAAGATTAAAAAATGAAATTTAATTTTATTATTATATAATTTTAATAATTCAACAGTTCAATTGAATTACAAAAACTAAGTAATTGTGTTGCGAAAAATTGAAAAACATCTCGATCAAAACATTATAACTTAGTTATTGACAATTTCTTCTGATGTAACTCAACACACTGTTTGTATAATAAATATATGAAATTAAATTTTACAAATATTAATTAAAAATAAATTCCAACAAAATTTAAAAAAAATTTAATGAAATAAAGCAATAACATAACAATTTTTTTAAATATAAAAAACTTTCACTTTATTTGTACAAAAATTAAAAGAAATTGCATGTTTAAACTTTTAAAAGTTGAAATACTTCATTTTTAATTATATTTTTCGCTTAATTTTCAAGGTTTTAAAAAAGCACCTCACCTCCAAAGAAATTTCCATTCTACAACCCTATAGTTCTATTGGCTGTTTGGCGCTCGTAAATCGAGGGCTGCTTTTGCACCCCCACGTGAGCCATCCGTTCGCCGACGGGCAAACACATGCAGCCAGGACACACGTCCTCCGTGAAACTCATATCAAGGTCTGCCGAGCCTGAAAATTGAATAAAACACGTTCCCGCTAAGTCCCTTGGGCAAAGTCCATACCAGGTCCATACTAATCAAATCTCGGCAAAAGGCAAATGGACGCCCAGAGGTGTACATTAATTTGGTCAATCAC